AAAAAGATTTTCCAAAATCTTAAACAAACACAAGATCCAGGTTAATTTCAACACAGTACACAAAATCCGTGATTTGATCCCATCTGTAAAGGATGTGATTCCTGATATGCAATACCAGAGTGTCTACAAACTGAGTTGTGGCTGCGGCAGCAGTTACATTGGGGAAATGAAACGACATGTCTCGGACTGCGTTCGCAAACACAAGGCAGATCTGAAACACGGTAGGACCAATACCTCTGCCGTTGCTGATCATTTTCTTAACGCAGTGGGCTAACACTAAATAGATTTTTGTAAGACGGAGGTACTCTGCAAACCTACCGGCTACCTTCAGAGATTTGTTCATGAAGCCATCCAGATATATAAACACAGACACAACTTCAACCGAGAAGATGGATACAAACTGAGCAATCATTGGAAGGACGTTATTAACCAGGTAAAGCCTTAACTGACTGTGATGTTTCCATCCTCCAGGCCTATGTCAGCTGTTATTTCCAGTACTCCAGTAACCCGGGTGCTGCCACGGGGTCCACTTTCTGCTCCGCCCCCTCTCTCCCCCTACCTCCTCTCTCCCCCCCCCTACTGCCGAGGCCTATATCACCTCGTGCCACGGCAGCTCTTTCGCCTACTTCAGCAGTTTTTTCTTGCTGTGGTTGTCCCACCTGATGACGATTGCTTGTGTTGCGATCAAAACAGCGTGATCTATTATTTTTCTACCTACATGACTTTACCGAAAGAACCAAAGAGGTTGAATGCTATAACTAAACTATGTAATTAACCTTGATTTGAAGCTTTCGCGACTGCAGAAATCCATACTCTTTGGTTATTTCGGTAACGTCACGTAGGTAGAAAATAAAATAAACAAAAAATAATATATCACGACGTTTCGATTGCAACACAAGCGGTTGTCCTCAGGCAGAAAATAATAATCCAGCAGTGGAACTGCTGATTCAGCGATATAGCTGTTACAACAAGAGGTTATTTCTGTGGCGATGGGCAAGCAAGCGGGGTCTGAGCTGGAAACGAATTCCATCCCCGGACGCAAGCACGTCAGTTGTGTTAATAGGGGAGATTAGGGAGAAGAGAGATTAGGGAGAGAGATGAGCATGAAATGTGCTTTCGTCGCCGCATAAGAGTATCGCCCCCGCATATGCGCACAACAGCAGTGTTAATGGGAGATTAGCACTATGTTGATGGGAGAGATTAGGCAGGGCGATTATGGGGATTAGTAAGTTAATGCCATGTCTATGAGGACGTACCGCTTGTGTTGCAATCGAAACGTCGTGAAATATTACATATTCTTTTTTGTTTTATTTTCTACCTACGTGACTTTACCGAAATAACCAAAGAGTGTGTAATTAACGTGACCAATACAGATTTTCGAATGTCCGTACAACATCATTGACAAGTGAATAAGGTGAACGTATTTTGTTCAGGCAGTCAGTCTATCATTTACCAGTGGTCACCATTCAGCAACACCTGAAGTCACATTTCAACACTTGAGGGATGCTGTGGGTGGTGCATTGGTTCGCGTACCAGGCTTGCGATCCTTAGGTCGCCGGTTCATTTCAATCTCCCGTCCCAGCAGTTGAAACAATGGGCCGCCCTTCTTGAGTCCCGCCACCTCTGCCTCCGCCAGTATGAATGGGTGTACCGCAGTCCATCAATCGGCAGGTCGCGTGAGTTGGGGTAAAGTGTGGGTACGTCCACCTCTTCCGAGACGTCTGGCCAACGTGGAAGAGGAGGCCAAATGCCCTCATGTGGGGTTCCCTGTAGCTCCGTCTCGTGGAGGCTCTTCTGCCAGCAGTGGCTTCAATCGATAAATCAATCTTTATTTTGTGTGCCAATATCGTCCTCAATAAAGTAGACGTCAGTAGGCTTTGGCACCTTATCTTTTACCTGGGAACATCTCTTGTATTTGTATTCACGTACACATGCAGCGACGCTTGAAAATTGGCAGTTTTCTTCTTCTATCTCGCTCTGTTGAATGTACAATACATATGCCTCCTATTATTTTGCTTGCTAGCGCATTACAGTAGGTAGTGTTCAGTCATGTTTGGTTCCAAATTGCAAAACTAAATAACAGGATATGTTCAACAATGAATGCGGTCTTTCAACACTCACATGAAAAACATGTCCTGTTGAATAAACCTTGAGACCTTTGGACGCGCTAAAACAAAACATAGCTTGGTGCACCCACAGGAATGTTTGGTGCATGCTACCGTCTGAGGAGTCAGTGTCATGTCAAAATAGGGCTTCGATGCCAGATAAATTTGACAGGTATTGCTCTGAAACAAGTCCTCCTGGTGTTCCACCCCAGTGAGTGAGGTTGTGTCTCAGAAAATCTTTGTTGAGATGAACAAAAATTTTTTTATAAGGCGCAGCAGACCCCACCAAAGGGCCTCAGAGTGCCAGATGGTAAAAACAAACAAAAACATCTCAAATGTATCTAACATATCATGGCAAATAAGTAGGTTTTATTTTCTTTATAATTGGGAGAATCTCGCCGGTTAGGTGCAGTTCTTGAAGCAGTGCGTTCCAAATTTTGAGGGCACAAGGACCGACAAAGCCTGAGCTCTGAAACTTTTTTCCCCCGATATCTTAACAGTACTCATTGGTTTTTTTCGGTAAAGTCACGTATGTAGAAATACAATAAAATTATATTAAAACAAAAAACAATCACGACGTTTCGATCACAACGCAAGCGATCTTCATCAGGTGTCAAGAACAAATCACGGAGGTAAATATAACAAAAAGATGAGAGACGAGAATTCAACAAACCTGAAAAAACATTATGTGAAGCACATCCAGTCAGGCCAACAACACAGACACTTCCTGGCGGACCACGAATTTCAGAAGAGTGTTAAATTTCGTGTTCAACCTTTGGATTGCACATACCAGCATAGATAGAATGAAAAATACGAGGTACACGGTCAGTAGAAATACATATACAAGTCCACCAAGAGGTAAGGAGGGAGGAAAGACTAATGGCAGATAGTGGAGAATATTTGACGGAGTGTCAACCAAAGAACAGAATGTTTCTGAGAGGACATCCACCCAGGAGGTGGAGCAATGAAATCCGCTTTGTGTGCAGCCACATGGTGGATTCTTTTTTCTCAGGATTGTGAGAGATGGTGGCGGATTGGGGAGGCCTTCATCCGGCAAGTGGATTAACTCAGGCTGAGTGCTAATTTCATACGAAGAGTTTGAATGTGCAGTAAAGAAAATGGGAAAAAAATTGTGAAATCAGTCTTTGTGTCTCTACAGATTTTTCATCGCTTGAGTTTGTACGTTTTCTCTCCCCCTATTCTGCATGGGTTTCTTCCGGGTACTTCGGTTTCCTTACATAGAAAACAACAATGGAACTGGTCTTGACAGAACAATTACCTGCAACTTTCTTAATTGGGATTAAACACAGCAACAGCAACATCGCAGCCGCACTGCGAGAAACTTGGCAGAAACCTCCTGAAATAGACTTTGGAGGCTCAGTGAGGCTTTCCTGGGCAAACAAGTGGAATGATAAAAATATAATTAGTGGCCCTTGGTGCTGTTCAAGACCAAATAAAGTAAAACAAAACTCGCGTATGATGTGGTATTTGTCTTTGGAATCATTGGTGACCGGGCTGAGACCCGGTAACTCACTTTCCATCAGAGCCTCGTTTTCATCACGGGCGGCTGTCCCGCACTCACACCAGGATCTCAGCTGCGCTGGTTCAATGCTAACGCAGACATTAGCCTACTGAGCAAACCTGCCACAGTATTTCCACGCTCTGTTTACTTGACCACATTCCACAAAGCACCGGGGTGGAAATATTGCCATCCGCAAACGAGGCGGCAACGTATGCAAATCCGGCCGCCTACGTGGCACTCCGTGGCCCGGAACGGTTGTCTCACAAGTTGATGATTGCGAGTTCACGTCCCAAACGGGGGGGGGGGGGGGGGGGGGGGGGGGGGGATAACGTTCTTCCATCATCACTCTGGGGCACGGGGTGGGAAACCTGCGGCTCCAGAGCCGCATGCGGCTCTTTAAGGATTTCTTCGAGACGTTATTCGCATGCATTACGGCTCTTGATATATTGAGGGTTTTTTTTTTACCGAATTCTAAGAAAATTTGCTGCTATTGTTATTTTATTTGCAGGCCCCTGCTCTGGGGTCAGTATAAGGCTTACGTCAGAAGTTAACAATGATCACTGTATGGGGAGTGGTAGTGAGATGTGAACTTCCTCGCTTGGTATGCAGGAGTTCCTGGGTTCGATCTTGACCCTGATGCCTGTATATTTGGAGTTTGCATGGCTCTCTCCCCATGGGGCCACGTGGATTTTTCTCCGGGTTCTCCGTTTTTTCCTTCCACATTTAGAAACGTGCCTTTAGAGTATTTGGCTGTAATAATGTTCCACGTAATAAGCCACTTCGTTGAGCTATCATTTGTGACCAGGTCACTTCTCAAAATAGCTATATAGCTTAGTGGGGCCTTACCCGGTAAAATAAAAATAGTAAAAAGAAAATAGACAGGCCCTGTCGTGGGCATGTGAAATTTCCATCAACAGAGATTAGCCGTACCTTATATTGACATGAGCAGGAAAACACTGTCATTTATGTAAATATGTGAATATAACCGGATATAGTTTATGCTTTTAATTTAAAGCTTTCGTGACTGCAGGGATTCATATTTTTGGTTCTTTCGGTAAAGTCACGTATAAGGGAAACAATAAAATAAAATATATAGAAAAATACAATTCTCACGACGTTTCGACTGCAACACAAGCAATCCTCATCAGGTGTGAAAACCACAGCAAGAAAATTTGAAAAAATTTGGTGTTGGAAGATCTTAATCCCTGTTGTTTTATTACCTTTTCTTATTGTTTACTATTGTTTCATCAGTAATCCGATTGCTTCGGTAAGGGAAGTGCTCTCATTCACCGAATTCTCTTACAGATAGTAGCATGATGCAGAGAGCACGTGTTAACCAGCTTGTCGTCGTTGTTGTTTCACTGTGACGGCAGCTCATAAGCTCGCTGAGCGCAGTGGCCGAGTACTGCCTGCCCTCCCTGCTGCGCACGCTCTTCGACTGGTACCGGCGGCAGATAGCGTGCGAGGATGGCGCACACAGCTATCGGCCACGCTCCAGCACAAAATCCAAAGGGTGAGTCCTGAGAAATGAGGAGTATGTACAGCTCATTTCAGTTTAACACCTGGATTATGGACAGTCCATTCCTTTAGAATAGTTTTTTGTTTTTGTTTAGATTGTTGTCCTTCCCCCGTGCCTCCGGTTATCACGGTCGGCTACGTACGGTGCGAAAGAAGTTCAACATATGGGACCTCCTTTGCCAGTACCAAAATATGAGAATAGGTTTTCCCCTTTTTTCTGGCAACAAAACAGGTTTGAAGCTTTCGTGACTTTACCGAAAGAACCGAAGAGTAATAAAACAGCTGTGTTAAGGTGTTTAAACACCAAACTGAAACTTTTTACAAGGAATCATGTCTGCATTAACCACAATACTTTTGGTCAGAATGCAAAAAAAAAATCAGTTTCAAAGACAATGCATATATTATCAGAGTATGTTTTTTGTTTGCATTCTGACCAAAAGTATTGTAGTTAATGCAGACATGGTTCCTTGTAAAAGGTTTCAGTTTGGTGTTTTAACATCTTAACACCTGTTTTGTTGACAGAAAAAAGGGGAAAACCTATTCTCAAGTTCAACATACATATTAACTTCACTATACACTACACTCTACACTACTATACACTACATTATTCACCTAAATATACACTACATTATACACTACACTAGTATACACTACACCACTATACTCAATTTCTTTAGAACTACTTTTTGGCTTTAGTTTGTTAACCTTTCTCCCGCACCTCCGATTAGCACGGTTGGCTACGTACGCTACGAAATAAGTTCAACATGCATAAGCCAGTGCATCAGTGTGTGTGTGTGTGTATCAGTTCATTGTCTGTGTGTGTTTCAGTGTGTGCCTTTGGGATATGAGTCTTACAGGTTCCAAGTTCAAATCCTAGTTGGTGGTTGACTCGATCTGTAATCCTTCCAGGTTCAGATAAAATAAGTGCCCCCAATGTGGAATGGCAATGCTGCTTGTCCCATAGAGACACTGCTGGCCCCGGCCATCAGAATGTGGAGTGTCGGTCACTTGAGCCAGGGTCCGCCATTGTAGATGAATGCTTACGCCATTGCTTGATGGAGCAGGGAGACACTTTGACTTGAGCGCTCCGTTGTGTTTTTTAGGTTGTAAATCCCCTTTATTGTCTTGGCATACGGTGTCTGACGTTTTTGCTGTCCGTGTGCTGGCAGCTTCTTTTTGCTGCAAGCTTCAACTGAATTTAGTTCCTGAAGGAGGCCCCCGAATTGCATTTTTGAATTTTAAATTTTTAATTGAATACAATTTTTGCTGCGAGCTTCGACTGAATTCAGATCCCGAAGAAGGACACGAATTTAATTTCAGAATTGAATCTTTGAATTGAATTTTTGCTGCGAGCTCAAACTGGATTCAGTTCCTGAATGAGGAGGACCTGAATTACTACCCGGAAACACGTCGGGAGAGAGCTTATACAGTGCACCCACGAAAACCTACGTTTGTGGTCCATTTTGACTTTTCCTAAAAAATCGAGCTGTTTTAACCTGTGTAGTGGGTCCAATCAGGTGCACACTAGAACTTGGAGGCAACACGGTTTATTAACTAACATCACATAACCCTTAACGGAATAACAACATAAGGTGGTAACCCACCGTTCCTACACTTAGCTATATACACTTGGAGTAGATGGCTATTTACATTCTGGATGGGCAACTACAAACCGGACCGGGTCAGCCAACGCGCTCCTGGTCCACGTGCGTGACGCCCGGAGACCCGAAGACCCACCGCCGACAATGGTTTCTTCCAGCAGCATCGACCCCTAGTCCCCCCCCCCGCCAGTCCTCCCCCCCCGGGGCTCGGCTTTTATCCTTACTGCATGGCCAGGCCCCGCTTTTGGCCACGCCTCTTTTCCCCGATCCTTCGTGAGGGCTCAGGGCCAACCTCACGTGTTCCTCAACCCTGGCACCCCCGTCCACCACCACCTCTGGTCACGTGCCCCTTCCTGTTTACCCAGCCTCCCCTGGTATGCCCATCCGGTGTCCCGGGAGAGGCTCCGCCCCTACAGTAGCAACCCACACGGTGGTACTGTCTCTACACAACGGTACTCACACCAACAACACTACATCTGTAACACTCGATTCCTGATAACCTCGTGCTGGCCAATGTTAACTCAGCGTGGCTTCAAAGTGCGCACCTAGCCTGACACATTCGCCACTTAACAGTGAATGGCGGCTGTTATTGCCACATGCTTGGTGTGCCGCATGCCAGGCTACGCGCAATACGTCAGCTTGGCATGCAAATATTTACCAAGCAATGAACATTCGCAACGGGAAGACGGAGACAGCCAAGGATTGCATTGGTGCATTCGCGAGCAATGTGGTTGAGCCATAAATCCAGTGGAGCGGTCAGCTCGACTACATACAAATGTGAGGGGAGGTTACTGAATGCCTCCAGCTAACCCCCACCAGCCCCCCCCCCCTCCACACATCAGTTTTGGTTGAGGTCTCAGGACAGAAAAATCAATGCTTTACACGGTGAAAGTAAAAGTTCTCTTCGCAACCCCTCCGACTGCCATCATCCAATGCCTCGACTGGACGTAAAATATCAATAGCTCAGGGATGCTCTGATGCCGCTCATGGGGAATTCTTGCCTGCCTTTGAGACATTTACTACATGCGGCACACACAGCATAGTCTCCGGAATATTTTTTGTTAAATAGGTTTTGCCAATTCCTTCAAAATAAACTGGTCTCTGCCATGGGAATGTGAATGTTTCAACCCTCTGGCTTAGCTGTCAACAGAGATGAGCACAGATTATATTATCTTGAGAATGGACCCTGATTTAATTAACGCTCAAATTGGAACAGTTGATGCATCTTATTCTTCGATGTGAAAAGTTTCATTATTGCCTTGTTTGTATTGTACATGTGTATACGATGCAAACATTGTTCTACAGCATATTGGTAATATATTTATTATTTCCATTTACACACAGTAACTCATTCATTCCAATGTGTGCTGTCTCACCTGACATTGAATTGTACAAAATTAGAGAAATGATTACATATCTTTCATTATGCAGGCCCTCATATTGTTCAGTGCCGTACAATACCATATACTGCATTCAAGTAGGTAATTCTGTGTACACGCATACGTGTGAGAATACTCACATTCACCTGCATGCCTGTGTGTATAAACCGTGAGGTTGTGATGCTCGCACCGCATTATAATCTCAACACACTGGTATTGATTCATGCACAAGACCAGTAGCAACTGATGTCTGAACTTGACATAAGCCTCTCCTGGGCCTATCAACCTCGGTACCGCAGAGAGAGAGGGGGCCAGGCACGGTTCCGGTCACACCACCTCCTATGATGTTCTGTGTATGTACGTATGCTGAACTTATTTTGCACCATCGGAGGTGCGGGTTAAGGACACCAAACTAAACACGAAAAGCAGTTCTATAGAAATGAGTTTTTAAACTAGATTTAAAAGTGCATATTTTGGCCTTAATAGGCGCTCGCTAATGGCTCTCCCTCCAACAGTCTGCGTGACTGAATGCGGACAATCTTCGCCATGGCTTGTGTTGTGCGGAGGCCAGTATGTGTTTACACGCGAGCGAGCGAGCGTGCGTGCGTGTGCACGTGCCTCCGAGTGCCTCTGCGTCAAGTTAATTGTCAAAGGCACGGCTGGTGTGCCACTTGTCGGAGCACGCTAAGCCCCGTGTTGACATCCGAGCGTGCCCTGCAGTGCTTGCTTTGTTACTTTGTTTGCAGGGACGAGCCTTCACGAGAGCGGGATCCCGTGATGGAGAAACGCGAGCTGGCGATCGACTTCATCTTCTGCCTCGTGTTGATTGAAGTCCTCAAGCAGGTGCAGTCCGCTTTTCCACCCCATTTAGAGTTATGAATGCACCATGTGTTTTCGAATCGAAAATCCTATCTTATTTTTTTTACTTATGTGACGCTTTAACCAAGGCGCTGAACAAAGAGTCAGCTATTTTAGAGCAGAAGTGTGTGATGAGATGAGACGAGTCGATGAGAAGGATGGTAGTTGCATGAATAGGATTCTGTGTGAAATGAACGATGATGAAAGTGACAATGAATGGTTAATGATGAGCGAGTGATGATGAATGGGTAGGGAAGTTGGTAAAGGGGATGATGATGGTGTTAATGATGGGGAAGGGAGGGAAATTAAGTGAGAGTTTAAGGAAAGAATGAAAAATAGACTGAGGTCTGATTGACGTGTCAGGGCAGCTTGTTCCAGTATCAGAATATTTATTTATACTGAAGGAATACGATAAACTATGAAGCTATTTTTCACAGATGTTCAGTAAGGACATGAGGTCCGAATGTTACAACAACGATCAGAATGTTACAACAACGATCAGAACGTTACAACAACAAAGGGAGCCAGAAGCGAACAAGAATGGAATCGTGATAGGGCACAGGGAGGATATAAAAAGACCATGTCACCCCAGTGCTCCAGTCTTTTCGCTGGCTCCCAATTCAATCCCAGATCAAATTTAAGATCCCTCTCACCATCTTCAATATCCCCCATGGACTTGCTCCTGCCTACCTCTTCCCACTCATCTTACTCTACTCCCTTCCATATACTCTGCTCCAGCAACCAGCCATTTATCCTAAAGCTCTCAGTCAACTTTCACTCGGTGGGATATTGCTCATTCTCCTCTGTTGACCCCAATAATCTGGAACTCATTTTCATGAGTCATCCTTTCTAATGACTCCATTGAAATCCAGCCTCAAGATCGTTCTTTTCTTTTTCCATCTGTCTGTTTTTACTCTAGAAACTTCAACGTATCAACTATCTCCATACAGCATCTCGCAATGCGGTTGCATATAAATGCAGACACATTGCGAGATCCTGTACAGTTCTGTACCGCTGTGTTCTATTCCCCCGTGTTCGCGTATTCTCTGGTTGTCTCTACCTTTCTTACCATGCACTGAATATTCAAGAAGGGAAATGTGGCTTTGTGACTCAAGGCAGAGCGTTTAATCGCGATCACTGAGACCCCCTGAGGTTCAATCTGGGCAGTCACCTGTGATTAATCCAGGTTCTCAAGAGTAGCGAGTTGTGGGCTAAGCAGCCTGGTCAGCGTTGACTGCACGCAAAATGTCATCTCGTTAATCTTAGCATTTTACTTAATTTGGAAAAGTTGAAGCTTTGAAAAAATTCCATTTTATCGTCACGTGAATTAACATTTAAGTTTCAAGGTCGGTGCGTATGGTGTGCGGTTGAGGATATGCACCTTCTATTGTGCGGATACAAAAGGGCGCTTTGAACAGATGTGAGAAGTAGTTTCATGAAATGTTTCTGCGAGAATTTCTAAAACACATGGCGGTGGTAGTGCCGGGGGGGGGGGGGGGGGGGGGGGGGGGGGCGGTTAGAGGATAGGCTGCCAAACTAGATGCCAGTTGCGCGATTGGAATACATTTTGGGGAAAAAGAAAAACATCTTTATTAATCCACAAAACGGATTTGCTAAACAACCAAATGGAGGATCATCCTGAAAGTCTAGGGACTCGGTGAAGTTCTACCGGATAAAGAAAGGATATTTTTTTTTTGTAAATGGAGAGAATTCTAAATATTGTTAAGGTAAAAAAACCGTCATGATTATGTATTGGCAGATTGATTGCATTCCCTTCTGTATGCGTTTTCTCTTTGGGAAATTTTATTTTAAAAAGTCTTATTTTCATAATAAACACGCTATGTTTGGTTTGGAAATGTGAAATTAATGAGTCTCTTTTATTTGTATGCATTATGAGCTGATCCTTAAGCAATGATTAATTTCCACAAACATTCTTCCAAAATCTTGACTTAAAGCCTTCGTGACTGCAGGAATTCATATTCCTGGATCTTCCGGTAAAGCCACGTCGATAGGTTCTTCCTGAAGACGACCGCTTGTGTTGCGATCGAAATGTCGTAATTTTTTGTTATTTTTTTGTTATTTTATTTGAACCTATCTCCGTGACTTTACCGAAAGACCCAAGATTATATATTCTTGCAAAAATGTACAAATCTTGTTTTTGCCGGTAGGCAACTGTTGCATGTTTAAGCATTGACAGGTGTATATTTAATTAAGAATCATCATCTTTATTTAGACTGCAGGAGGAATCCGATGAGGTATGAAGCTCTTTTTTGACAGATGTCCATTATGGGCAAGTCAGCAAGTTACAACAGCAAACAATACAAAAACACAATAGGAGTTCAAAATAAAGAACAAGTTAAGCAAGTCACTTAAGTATAACTGCATAACCTATAAGTCCAATTGATCAAGCTTGGGCAAGGCAGCAAAACAACAACGAAACAGTCCCAGACTACACCGAGATAACACCGCACAGCAGTAGTCCCTCAATAAAATGCCACATTAACATTGAACTATCGATACACGGGTAAGGATAAAAGTTACAAATCACATTTGCAAATGTGAGTGCTGTATCTCTTAGCACTAATCTTCTGCTTCAGGATATTTTTTAAAGGAAAATTTACGATTTTAAGGGAGGAAGCAAGGTTAGGTTGTTGTTGTTCCAAAACGTTGGTGCTGCAACGGCAAAGTCTTTGTCACCTATTAGTGGCGGGGTACTCCACTCGCAGTGGCCCTGCTCCCATCCCTGGCCCCGACCCCCTTTGTCTTCCCAGTGCAATGCCTCATTACTTTTCTGCGCCCCAACTTTCCGTCGCCCCCCAGCCTCCACCCCAAGATACGGCCATGCCTATCCCAAACCCCTCCTTATATCACTCTCTCCTGTTCTACCGTAACTCGAACTACACCACTTTCAATAACACAATTTTTCATTTCAAATAATTATCATCTTGTGTACAATTGTATAATTGCTCTAAAGTGCCTAGGAAAAGGCGCTGTGCAAATCTAGAAAAGATAAGATAAGACTGTAATGTTTCAGATGGATACAGTACTTATTATGGCAAGGTCAGTGCACACAGTATAAACCAGAATTTAAATAAGCAAAGCAAATTAATTTTCCAAAACACCAGGGTCTATTAGACTCACCAGAGTCTATTAGGCTCGTTATTAGAGGCTGGCCTCGTGCCACAATATAAAGCATTTATATTTTCATTTTGCGTTTGACTAAAACTTAAATGGCAAAGATATAACTTCTATATATATGAAAGGGAAATTTGTGAATTTGTGTGTCTGTTCGAAATGTTTAGCATACTTCCCGATATGCAACAAACTTGAAATTTGGCATTTGGGTAGCTTCCAGACTGTACACAATGCAAAAAGTATAAAAATTGACTTTTGTATTTTGGGGGGCGGGGGGGGCGCAATAATGTATATATTTTGCACGACAAGTGAGTGGTGATGTCACATCTGTGACGTCATCTGTGACGTCACCCGCATGCGGCAGCGTTACGCAGTGTGCCTGCTGACGTCACGGATTCCCCCCCCCCCCACCCTCCGCGTAGGCCGTGTATTAATCCAAGACAAGAATCCAAGTGAAATTTCGATTTAAAGCTTTTGTGACTGCAGGGATTCATCTTCTTGGTTCTTTCGGTAAAGTCACGTAGAATGGAAATAAGATAATAAAAATAAAGCATAATAAAATAAAATTATCACAACGTTTCGGCCACAACACAAGCAGCCGTCTTCAGGTGAAGGAACAGAACTGTCGGGAAGACAGCGCTCCAATGAACACTGCTAAGCTTGGCAGCGTCTTTTAAGCTGGGTGGGAGGAGCAGAGCGCCTTGACAAAGGAGTTTACATATCAAACAGGAGAATTTAGCATTGAAATAGCTGTGTTAAAGTGTTGGATTAGCAGGGTGTTAAAGTCAGAAATTAGCATGTAACTGTTAAAGTCAGAGTTTACATATCAACAGAGGCATTTAGTATATTGACGCTCAAGAACTGCAACTACCCAACTATCATACAATAGGCCGATGTGAAAGAACCAAGTATAAACTTAATCAATATAATAAATGTACTCAATATATTCTTCAATAAGTTGAGCTATTAACATAAAGTAGCTGGGTATACACTACACTATATAATGAATAAAAAAACTAAAATATAAACTACGTCAATGTTATCAATAAACTCAATATACTCTCCAATCAGCTGAGCTACTAACAATAAGTCGTTATACATTACAATTCTACGTCAAAAAAAGTGGCGTTTTTTTCTTTTCAACGTTAGCACCACGGAAAGCGACGAGCTTTGTTCAGACGGACGAGTCCATCTATGCTCGGAACTGAGGAGGGGGGAGAAACAGCCACCATGCGCTGCTCTGTCCTGTGTTGCGTTACAACTATGTTATAAACTAGACTATTGTACATTGCAATGTTATACCTTCCAATCTAAACTACATTGTATAATATTCTTAGTTTTTTCGGTAAAGTCACGTTGAAGGGAAACAACAAAATAATAAAATATATATAAAACAATAAAAAAATTCTCACGACGTTTCGACCATAACTCAAACGGTCGTCTTCAGGTGTGTTGGTTTGCATAAATTTATTTTTAAACACACCTGAAGACGACCGTTTGAGTTATGGTCGAAACGTCGTGAGAATTTTTTTTATTGTTTTATATATATTTTATTATTTTGTTGTTTCCCTTCAACGTGACTTTACCGAAAAAACTAAGAATATGAATTACTGCAGTCACGAAAGCTTTAAATCAAAATACATTGTATAATATCGTATACACAGCCCAATGTAAGCTCTAACATTATGCATTATATTGATATGTCTCCAACTAAACTGTTTTTTTCTACATTACACGACTATACACCGTAATATACACTGCCATAGACAAACCCCACCCTTGAATTATACAATGCGTTACTATACACTACCCTATACTTTAGACTATAAAATATTAGACTTGTAATATTACACTGTATTATTCTACCAACCCTACTGTATAGCACACTGCTGTATATTCACTATACAATTACAATACTATATATTGCCTTATGAATTATGTTAAACATTACATTGTTATACTATTTATTATTATACAACATGCTATAAACCATAACATAGACTGTCGTGTGAAACGTATTAAGAAGCAGTTTTATTTTTATTATTTTATTTCCATTCTACGTGACTTTACCGAAAGAACCAAGAAGAAGAATCCAAGTCTCGGGCGAAGCCGGGTAGTAAAGCTAGTTATTTCATTAAAAAATATTAGTGTTCCCATTATTAACCCATGGTCCACTCTTCCATCTCTTCCAATAGACATTTCCAGGCAGAATACATCGTCTGAATAATTCACATATTCATGATGTAGTTTAGCACACACGGTAGTTTGGTCGATTCGTACCATAGAGTGACGGCTTCTAGTCCAAAGTTTTCTCTTGACTGATGTAAACAAGGAAGCATCATCACCGTGGAGCGTGATGTTATTGCTTGGCGTGTGGCGTCATCACGTAGAGCGTGGCGTCATCAACGTGGCCGAAAAGGCTGATTTGTTTTTTTTTGCCTACTTACGAGTAACCCATTGATAAATTTATAGCACAAATCTATACAAAAGATTTTACTTATATTGGATATTTTTTTACGAGCATTATCATGAACCCCCGCTGCCGATTGAGGGGAGCTTTTCAACCATAGTTGGGGAAGTGTTAAAATGCACACGTAAAACAATTGATGGGGCAGGGCATCGTAAAAAAAATAATATTTTTCTTGAGAACCCCACAGATACAGCGAGGACAAGAGATTAATTGTGTTGCATACTTTGGACCTTGTATTAAATATTTTTGTTTGAAAACCCAGATTATGATGAATAGCATTTTTACACTTGTGTATGGAATTACGTTCAGGAGCTAATGCCAATGTCGAGGTTTGATAGCCACGAGAGGGCTTCAGGAGAGACGGAGAGTTTGTGTAGTTTTGCAATTTCTCTGTTGAAGGAGTGAAAACTACACTGGTTTACTCAATGGTTCATAGTTTGAGTTGCACGGCCACAGTCACACGACTGTGGCTGGTCTTAAATATATCTCTATGGGTCTCTGTGTATCTCGATGTGGTCTTTATGTGTCTCTATATATCTTTCTGAACTTTTTAGTAAACCCATAGAGACACAAGTCACAATTGCACTGTGGCTTGTCATTAAATTTCTATTCATGAAGGAGATGTGTGCATCGGCCTGTTGATGTTCTTGATTTGGTTGATGGTTCCCAGCTAGTGTCATTGAGGAGTAATGTCATAGCCAGGAGGTGGGGTGTTTTTGTCTCGAAGAGCATTGGTAATTTTAAATGCTGTGATCTAGCATTTTTATCTGAAATAATTCACTTTGGCAAAGTGTTGGGAAATTTGGAGGTTAATTAGTTTCCACGATGTATGGCCGACATCATAAATTGTCCTTATTGATTTTCTTTTTATGGACGTTTACATATCTCAGTGACGAGCAACAGTAATCTCATCCGTTTGTAAACGTTCACCTTGCAGAAGTTTGTCCTAATTGAGGTTGATAATAGTACAACTTTTACATTTGATGTGGGGAATTTATGGAAAAAATAAGGCACCGATGAGGATGTCACGCTTGGTGACTGCATGTGGTCAAGAGGAATTTAAGGGTGGCAATTAAGCAGAGCGCTTCACTCAACATTTTTACAGCTAGCATCACGACTTTGGCAATTCCCCGTATAAAATGACATTGGTGGCTTAAAAAATACAATTTTCAGCTAATCCAACCACTTAAAAATTACAACTCATTTATGTCTAGTAAAGTCAAACTGTCTCCACTAAAACTAGGATTGGGGCAGTGCTCATGACCACTGTTGACTTCCTCTGAGTTGGTTATTATTTTATCATCCACCAAAGCAATGTTGGCCTGAGGTGACCCCCTCACTGGCATTTAAACTCCCAACCGTCCGATGCTATGTGAAGCACTCTAACTACAGATACACCTGATCATACCACATTATCGGTGGTGTTAACAATATGTATTTAGGTGTGTTGAAGGTCTTTCGCACCGTACATAGCCAACCGTGCTAATCGGAGGTGTATACCGATAGAGGTTTATTTTAGTGGGAGATCGAATAAGGAGCACCTCCGATTAGCACCTCCGATTAGCAAGGTTGGCTATGTACAGCCCAAGAGAAGTTAAACATATGAAGCATTTAGAGATGGGAATGGCTTAAGAGGCACTTTATTCAGCTGTAGATAGATCATGACTTATGGTGGTGGTGATTGTGATTACTCGAATAATACTTACGAAAGAGCTTTCAGGCATTCCATTTTCTAAACATGATGGTTCACTCACGGTTACCTTTACATTCCAGATTTCCTCGGCCTCTTTTGGGACTTTTGAATTCACTGCATTTTAAAAGTCAAATCGCTTATTTAAAATAGGCACACGGCTCATAATTACTTTGAGAATACTGCCGGCAAATGTTCTTTTAAGGTCAGATGGGGCGAGGCATAAACTGTGCCTGGAGCATTTGGCAATATTTCCAGTTTATAATGTAATGTCACTTTGTTTACTTTGCAGATTCCTGTCCACCCTGTTCCAGATTCGTTGCTGCAAGATGTGATGAACTTAGCTTTTAAGCACTTTAAACCCAAAGAAGGGTAAGTCTTGCCGACATCATGCACATTTTCCTGACAGCAAGTGTAACCATGTAATTAATTATATTTTTGCAACCAGTTACATCGCGTGTCTGTCAGCAAAGGGGGCTTGCATATTGACGTTCGTGCACCTCCTTAGAATGTTGTTTTGCCTCAATGTTTGAGCTTTAGTCAATGCTTGATCGAAATCGGTTGAGTCAGTGCACCAAATTTGAGACCGCACCCAGGTAATCACATGCAGTTGTTATTGCTTCGCTGTATTGAACTATGCGTGTGACGAGTTTGGAGGATGAGAAAATAATAGTACAGGCAAATCCATACGAAGAGCTCCACTTTATTTTCAACATCGCAAACTTACCATGACTGTCGTTGCATTATCACACAATATGAATACGTAAAAATTGGTTTTCAAAATTGAACCTTGCATTAGTTCAGCGTAGCTATTTGAACGACAGCTGTCTTAAAGCATCTGCAACTTATCAGATGTATATCACTATAGGTATACGCACTACAACTTACTCAATAGGGATTACACATGGCAATCATCGCCCCCTACCGGCAGACTAATTCCCACCAGCAGGCCAGTGCTGAGCCAACTTGTACTGCACAGGCACAGCTGGAAATGGGGGCTCCCCTTCGAATGTTTGAGATGGGATGTGACGCAAGGAGCTTTGAGGTGCGGAGGCTGTTAAGCAAGCGGCATATGCATGCAAAGGATTATTATTAGGGTATAATTATGATTAACTTGGCTACAAATGTCATATAAGGAAGAATTTTACTGAATTTTTTTCATAGGTGTTTTATAATGGTAAACTCAAGTATACATGCATAGCTAGTTCAATATGAGTCGTTGGGCAGAGTATTTGAATAATGTAAGGAACACATGATAAAACTAACATCCAACTAATAACGTAACATTTTGCCCATATTTGGATAATTGTTCTTGGCAAGCAGCTGGCCATATTATGTGATTCAAAGTCGATTTAAGCACATTCCACCATGGATATGGAATGCTTGTGAAGCCTAAGGGTAAAACAAAATACCTTGACACTCCTCCCAAGTTCAATTGTAGCTTAAAAAAAACTGCACAATAAAATTACTGCAACGTGAAAGGTGTGAAATCACAGTGAATAAACACTTCGGTTGTATCTTCTTTGGTTCTTTCGGTAAAGTCACGTAGAATGAGAATAAAATAATAAATTGATAAAATAAAATAACACAATAATATTCTCACGACGTTTCGGCCACAACACAAGCGGCCTTCATCAGGTGAAGGGACGAGACTGTCTGGTAGGACAGCGCTGGAGTGAAAGAGCCACGGTTGTATTTAAGGTGTTGAAATGAAACGCGTGGGAATAGGATTTTGGAGAAACTTTCTTCTGGTGGTGGTGCGTTTCATTGTTTTTTATGTTCGGATGAATTGTCCGCTGACGGTGACATCCCCGCTGCCGCTGCAGGTACAATGGACCGAACACTGCGAATTTGCACATTGTCGCAGACCTCTATGCGGAGGTGATTGGCGTTCTAGCACAATCAAAGTAAGTTCCGCTCGCTCACCTGCAGAACACTCCGCTGGCATTCAAACTGCAATGTATCTTATACTGTAATATGTCAGGTGTGCATAACGCAACAACAAAAAGTCAGCATTCAGCCAGAGTGTCTCCCTGCTTTACAAATAATCGGGTTTAGCTCACATCTGTCAGTAGCTCTGAGCCCCGGGGAAGAAAATGTCACATTCCTGTGATAGTCCAGTCTCTCCATAGGATAACTCACTGCTGATTTCTCACGGTAATATTAACTTTTGAATTGAGTCCAGTGGGATACTAGGCTGAGTTAACCCGCTGACCAACGTTTGAATTCCCAGCCTTTCATTGTGAGTTGAGCACTCTTGCCACCGTACCATCCGGACAGATTTAACTTTTCACTTGCACGTGATTTGGGATTTGTGCTATAGCACTGCCACACAATTGTTTACTCCTTAAAGAGTGTTCGACTCCTTATCACTGGCTGCAAGTCGACGCAGGACCCCTTACAGTAATGGGTGGTTTTCCACTGCCTTTTTTCAAAGTTGAGCCAGAACCAAACAATGCCACGCTGGACCTCCAAAAACATCTGAACCTTGCTTGGGGCCAAGCGGCGGTGATAATACATCCATTGCGTGTGACGTAAGTCCATGAACTACGTGCGTCTTGACGTGTCCATTGCGTGTGAATCCACCGGTACGACTCTGCTTCTAAAACAACCTAGCGCTTCCTGAGCCAAGCTGGCCTGTCTTGGCACGAATCCAGTACGGCTCGGTTGTACTGTGAAAAAGGGGTTGTTAAAGTCCATGTTAATGTAGCTGATGGCACAAGTTGTGGTGGTGACTCCTGCAGAATGTAACAGCCGCTTACACGAACCGAGTTGAGTTGGCTCGCTCGAGAGCAACATTCGCAGCTTCAGGGTTCAATGATGAGCTCACGAAACCCCCCCTCCGCCACGTGTTCACTAAATCCGTTCAGGTTCCAGGCGGTGAGGAAGAAGTTCATGACGGAGCTGAAGGAGCTGCGGCAGAAAGAGCAGAGTCCCCTGGTCGTTCAGAGCATCATCAGCCTGATCGTTGGCCTAAAGTTCTTCAGGGTCAAGATGTACCCGGTGGAAGAGTTTGAAGACTCCTTTCAATTCATGGGGGTGAGGAGGAGGCTCTTGCCTCCTCATACACACACACAGCACATTCGAACAACGATGGATCCTGTCCGCTCTGGCTCTGTGCGATAATAATGATCAGCCAGGCCAAGTTGTGTCCCCGTGAATAATGATGTTTATGAGCATTTGCCTCCCAAATTCCCATGGTTAAATGTTAATGTGCATGTGGAGTGTTTGTATGAGATTGTGTTGATAATGGAGGCACAGTCATTACCACAGTGCACTATGATACTTGGCAATTCGATGTCAATTTCTGAACGTGCTTTCTCGTGGGATTTGGTCCATTAGGCTTACCTGGCCCTGCCCTACATTGATTTGGCTTAAAATGAGCACCTGGTGCGCTGTGTTCAGCATCCGTGTACTGTGCAAAAAAAATTGTCCAGGAATGTGTGTTTCTGCCACCACCCCCTTGTTTGTCCTGCTGACCTTAATTGGTGCTGGCTAATAGCAGGGGATGTTTATCCGTGTGTATACACTTGTATATGCAGAAGTGGGCCAAATACTTCCTGGAAGTCAAGGATAAGGACATCAAGCACAGCAGTGTAGCGGTTGGTTAGCACGCCGCGCTTCGAACCCAGCCACCCGAGTTCGATTCCCGCTCACGGTCAACACCAGTGACGATTATCTGAACCGATCCTGGGCCTAGGTCTACTCGGCCTCAAATGAGTACCTGGTGCTGTGTGCAAACATCGCCACTTAGGGAGACAAAGGTCGGATGGGCGTGGTGCTGGCCAACCACCCCCTCGTGTGCCGTGCCAGCTTTTATAGGTGCTCACTAACAGCGCTTGCCCCAACCGTCTGTTAAGGCTATATTGGGGTGTTTTTTGTCTTTGTATGTGCAGGAGTGTGCCAAATACTTCCTGGAAGTCAAGGATAAGGACATCAAGCACGCCCTGGCTGGCCTCTTTGTGGAAATTCTAATTCCCGTTGCAGCAGTAAGTCACATTACAAATGCTCAATTGCACGTACGTGTCTGCAAGCCGATGTTTAATGGTAAAACAAGAAATCACGTGATACAACATGGCATAAAACTACATTTATTGGAAACAATACTGTTACGTATTATATACTTATTTTTAATAAAAAATGTTGTTGACCGCACATTATTTAAATAGATAGTCTCACTCATTGCATGCAATGTCATACTTTTTAAAGTTATAATTCAGTAACAGAGCACGTAACAAATGGTTCAGTGTCTTTTGCATTAATGAGTTTTTGGGTCAAACAAGACTATCAAACCGAACTATCTTTCAAATGGCTGCATATTTGACAGAAACGAATGGAATTCAGTTCATTGCATTTTAGCCATTTTCCATCATCTGCACAGCTGTGAATTGCAGTGGTACTTTCACTGTTGATGAATGTCCCCGGCGTCTCGTTCACAACCATTCCCTATCATTCTTCTTGCCAAGCTGTGGAACGTGCTCTGAACCGCATGGTTACGCATCGGGACCTACGACTTGCCATTACATTGGGCTGATAAATTAAGCTATTTCTGGTTGCCTGGCTGTGTTAAGAGACACAGATGTCACCACGTCCCCCTGTGTTGTGTTCCTGCGCATGGGAAAATGATGTTGGTGTCTTCTGGTTCAAAAATGTTGCTGTTCTCACTGAGCTTAAAATGGTGTGTTGAATACGTCCTGAGCCAGTGTTGCATGAACATTCCACATTTCTATGACATACTACTCTTATCAGATATGGTAATCCAATAGCTTGACATTGTTTTCATTATTTGTACCTGGCACGTAACATTGTGTTACTTACTCTTTGGTTCTTTCGGTAAAGTCACGTAGGTATAAAATAAATCATGACGTTTCGGGCGCAACACAAGCGGCGGACTGGTGCTGCCTCAGCAGCAGACCACGTTTTCCCACCTGATGATGGACGCTTGGTTGTGCGCCCGAAACGTCGTGATTTATTTAATTTTATACCTACGTGACTTTACCAAAAGAACCAAGAAGTATGGTTTCCTGCAGTCACGAAAGCTTCAAATCAAGATTGTATTACTTTTCAAGACTAAGTGTTGTGAGCACACCTTGGTGTGTTGCTAAATACGTTTTACTGACCGTGTAGACACTGATGATGATGGGGCTGAGGTTAGATGACCTGAGTCAGGATTTGAACTCAGGTCCTCTTGACTGGAAGCCTGCTGCTCTACTGCCGCAACTAGAATCCAGCTGAACCTTTTGATTAAAATAACAATAATTTTATTCTCAGCTGTCACCTCGTATGCATTTGTGCTGATCTGGAGTTGAACATTATATTTATTTCTTTAATCTGTAGGCTACAGAACTGCCTGATGTAATCATATATATAGAGCAAAGTAAGGTATTAGGCATACTTTCAAATTGGATTTTATCCCTACTCAAAAGAACATGAGGCAGTGTTGATCTCTATCATGCCCCTAAGTCAGTGGTATAAATGGCACATTCCTGTGAAAGGGTCCAATTATGGAAATGTACAACCTCTGTTTACTTCCTGCAAAATGGTACTTATTTTATACACCCTAGGGGAATAGATGGATGAGTCAAGCCGAGCCCTGGGATTTCAACTGTTAACCTGTCATTTGCAAGGCACCACCCAGCCGGTTGAAAACTCTTGCATTACAATGAGTTCAATTCAGTATGCTAAATAGCAAGTCATCATCACAGCAATTTGGAGATCTGTTGATGTACGCTATGTATATGACCACGAACACTTTAACACTAATTTAGATTATTTCTGTAGTTGCTGATAGCTCAGAAATTAATCAGTGTGGCCTGACAATTTTGTGGCGTTTTGCTAGATATAAAAGCACTAGGATTTAGTCGAAGGTGCTGAATTTTTAAATGCTATAAATGTGTAGTAGAGCATGCCTTACCAGTAATGGCTTTCATGTAGCTCTAGGGGGAGCACAGAAATAGTGGCGTCCATGTACTGAACGGAAGTGAAGGGAAGATTACAGTGGGATGAGAATAGCCTGGAAGGAATTCAATTAAAGTGTGCACATTTATCGCAATAAGGGACCAGGCTGGCACACAATTTATTATCGCAAGGGTATGGAACAATAACCTAATTTTAATTAAATATTGCAATATTTTATTATGTTAATGTTACTGCTTATATTTGCCATCACCTTTTGTAATGCGAAGTTTATAGTAACATACAATATCTTTTTTACTTCTCATGTTAAAGCTTTTCTTTAAATATTTAAGCTAATCTAAAAAACAAGCCACATTTGTATTGCTTTTCTACTTATTTTACTGCTCGTTGTGTATTCACAAATGTATTTAGTTATATCCACATTTAACACTTGACAATAAGCCAAGGGTCAATGTATCTCTGCATGAAAATATATATCAAGACAGCACTTCCAATGGCAGCCCTATGTATTTGTGGAATTTCCACAGTCCTGTGGCAGGGACCAGTATATTTATAGCAGTGTTCTTCACTCATTTTCAGAGGTGGGCCACTTTCGCTAGTACGACGTTAGTGTGAGGGCCGCCACTCATTTTGAAACCATTGGGGTTGGACGGCATGATGGGGTATTTTCACATTTGTGTATTGCCAGGGGCTGCACATCAGGGGCATTGCAATGGAGAACACTGATTCATAGGGTGGCCACTGGTGAATTCCTGCAAGTGGTACTCATTTTGTAAACCCTGGAAGGATGATAGGCCGACTTGATCCCTGCTCCTATGACTGTGCCACTCAGTGGGATGCTATGTAGCTCGCCGTTTGCCTTCACGGGGGATCCATGAGATTCGAATTGCCCAGTAGCCGAGAGTGGAGAATACATCTGCTATACATTGACACCTCCCTCGACCTCGTCAGCCCCAACGATGCTCATGTACATGGTGATCCATTGATGGATATCCCACGGATTTCCACCAACCCGCTAAGATGTCACTGACCTCCGCTTGCACATCATTGGCGCAAATCACGCTGGCTATGTTGGGCAAAGTGTATCAGCAGAGAGTTAAACCGCTTAGTTCATGTTTTGAGACATTTCGAGGCTTTGAATTAAAATGTTGCTTTCTCCAAATATCGCCCCATTATTTTAGTCGGGGGGGTATCCATAAACGGAACGGCCAGTTTACCCGCATGTTCCATTACAGAGCTGTGTGTGGGTGCCGTATATAATTAATGTTGCGTTGTGTTTCGTGTGTTTTTGTTTTGTTTCCAGACGGTTAAAAACGAAGTGAACGTCCCGTGCCTGCGTACCTTTGTGGAACTACTCTACCAGACCACCTTTGAGTTGTCATCTCGTAGAAAACACTCCCTGGTGAGACGCGCATCTCTTCGAGCGCCACGGTGGCTAGGAGACGTTAACTACCTTGCCTGGTATACAGGAGGCATGGGTTCGATCCCTACCCTGTGACGCATGCTGTTATATTTGCGGTTTGCGTCTCTCTCGCTCTTTCTCTCCCCGTGGTCACGTAGAGTTTTGTCAGGGTCCTCCGTTTTTTCCCTCCACATTTAGAATCAACATGCGTTTCGAGTTTTTGGCTACTATAAATGTCTACGTGATAAGCCACTTTCTTGAGCTATCGTTTGTGGCGAAGGTCGCTTCTGAAAAATAGCTATGTTACTTAGTTGGCCTAACCTAGGAAAAAAAAAAGTTTAGTTTCATAATAGTTTTTCTTTGCATGCTTCTCTGGTTATCTCTACAGTCATCTCATCATGCATTCCCACTGCTCTCTTCAATGAAGAAGTCATCGTGGTCAATGCCTTCGGTTCTACAAAGCATTGCCATTGCTTCTTACCTTTTTGCCAGATTTTGCAAACATTGTGGATTAGACACTCGACTTCACAGTCTGCCTTTAAAGTAGCCCAAACCTCCCCTTCTGTGTGGACCAGAGGTCACTTGCATGTATTTCAGCAGTAGCTCTGTGATATCCACTTCCGCGAACCATTCTCTAACATGCTCTACGAGAGATCCGAATGGATACTGCATCTCATCACTTGATGCTGATAGCACAATCGGGATAAGATTGTGAGAAAATTAATGTAAACAAAAAATGAATGTAAAAGTCCTATCTTATGGCTTGAAAACCACAGTGCTTCTGTTCTGTATTGTTCCCAATAACATTATTACAGTATCCATGATTACAGGAAAAGATATATTCCCGATTTTGTTTCACAAAACGTTTTGAAATAAATAATTTTAGTCTCATTCACTTTCATTGTTTTTGTCAAAATGGTTACATTATACCTGCCTTTTTCATATGAAGAGGCTATTGATGCCATGGTGCGTTGCATTATGTAAAAGGTTTGGTCGTTGCAGTGCATTAAAGTGAGAAATCATATAGTTGAGATTTAGAAATTAACATTTTTTGCTGCATTAGTATTAATGGCTGATGTAATGCGATTTATTAAATCACATTACATCATCGCAAAACTTGTTTTAAATTGGAATTAACCAAACATGCTTATGCAGAATCCTGCTCTGAAATATTTTTGACATTCGGGGAGAATTTATTGGCTAAATAAATATTATGATGATTTTCTTTGTTATTTCATGACGGTTTGAGTTGGAAAATCACCACCTTGGAATGTTGTTCGCAGGCACTCTTCCCGTTGACCACGTGTCTACTCTGCGTCAGTCAGAAGCAGTTTTTTCTTAACAACTGGCACATCTTTCTCAACAACTGTCTATCCCACCTCAAGGTGAGCAGTGCGAAATACGCAACATGGAAAATACATCTCCGCCGAGTTAACTGGACACTTTGGTACATTGCATTGAAGCATGAAAGCATTGAAAATATAGTTAACTGTAGTCGTCATAATGATTACAGCTTGTACTCATTAAAGCGTAATATCTTCACCACCAATGCAAACAAACATAATTTTACAATGACACACAGTGCGTTTGACACTTTTATAACGTTAAATGTGGAAAACAAATACATTGTTTGTCAATACATTCTACAACAAGGGAGGACTGTCTAAATCAAGCCTTGTTTTAGTGGCCACTAACTTTGAGATTCTGAGTTTTTGACTTAAGGCATCAGGCAGTCGTTATGTTATTTTTCTTTGATTTGGCTGTATCCATCCATGAGACTGAAATAAGGCAGTAGACAATGTCTAGTACTATTGCCTCCACATTTTAAGAGCGTCTTGTACAGAGTGCAATCGTTAAGGGAAGCACATTGCATTTGTGGATATCCTGTAGAGCCTAATTCCAGGACCATTCCTTGCCAGTGAATTTCCATCTGGGAAGCAGTTATGAAGATGGAATATAGATTTTCGCTATAATTTCTGCTAGTCACGCAATTGGCAAAAAAAAACAATGACATTCTGAAAATGCAGTTTAGCTTGCACCCATGTGCTAATCTTCTATTCAAAGTAAATGACCTATGATTCAATCATTCTGGCAAGACAACCCTTAACACTTACCTACAAACTCTTTGGTTCTTTCAGTAAAGTCACGTAGGTATAAAATCAAATAAATCACGACGTTTCGGGCGCAACCCAAGCGTCCGTCATCAGGTGGGAAAGCATGGTCTGCTGCTGAGGGAGACTGTTTTATAACCTTACTCAAGAGAGATTAAAAAAAACCCCACGACAAATGGTCTTCCACGATTTTAACAACTTTGTGGTCAGGTGTCTCTGCCATGAGAAATTGCATTTGCTAGTTAATAAGTGGAATTGCAAGGGTGTGTGGCAGTTGTTTTGGAGAATGGGGTATTATACGATACCCACTCTAGATTGTTGTCCTTCCCCCCACACCTCCCATTAGCACGGTTGGCTACGTACTGTGTGAAATAAGTTCACCATACATAGATAGGCTGTGCAACAGGACCTCGAGACTGGTGCTGTCTCCCATAATTGTATATTATGGCTAGAGGGCAGGAGGTTACTGGCCATAAGATGTGACTGATGAGGGGCTGTGCCAGAGGCACATTTATAGCGGTCCGTAATATATTATTTCGCTGCCCTGGTGCATGAGCGCGTGAAGGTTCAAGGGCTTCAATTAAAAAGAGATGCACGTGTCAATCGTTGAGAGTACATTGGAGCCTGAAGCCCGAATCTCAAGGGCTGCCCTTTCTCACTTCTGCATTGGTCTCTTGCACCTCCTTTGCAGAGTTCCCAGCAGTGGGCTGCAGATCAGCACATTGATTTTAAAGCACATGTCTAGAAATTGTACCTCACTTGTTTATTGCTGATGTCAGTGCAGAGAGTATGGTGAGGAGCAGTTGAAGAATGTACTCTTCAACTGGCACAGATTAGTGAGCGGTTTGCTATTGGTCAAACTTCTCAGTGTCTTCTCTGTTGGCGATCCTTAAATAGTAGTTCTAAATTCGACATTCCAGTGGCAGGAGCGGGTCTATCTAGAGGACAACCACTGTTCCTTTCTCATGATACTCTAGGCTGCATAGTCCTTGGGGATGTTATCTTGCCAAGTGCTCTCACTAAAATCCCACCTGGCTGGATTCACTCTATGAGAAATCGAGATATCAGACACTGGCCCCTCTGCAGCCAAATCGTTTATTTCCAGTGGTTTTGGCCATCAGACTTAACAAGCCCACCCTTTAAAATACTCAAGTTATTCACTTGGCCAAAATTACCTCTGGAGATAATGAGGAGGCAGGTTCGACATCAACAGATACATCTTGGGGTTCTATGAGGACAAACATTTAGCGAAGCCAGCCTCACTCTCGTGCTCTCCCCAACTGTGCTGACAATGGGAATTTCTTAATTGCCGATTATTGACCAGCAGCCCCCCACCCCCTTGGCACACCCGGCACTTCATTTGTAAATTGCTTTTACACAAAGTGCTCCAGCATTAGAATACAATTAGGGTGCTGCAGAAACATTTGCCGTTTGGCCATTGCGCTCTGTGGTTTAAAAGTATTTCGCTCGCAATCAGGTCATGATTCCAGTCCCCTGTTCGGGTGAAACTCGGCCCCGCACTCCGCCTTTGTGTCAATGATATGAAGTTGACGGTGGTTGCCCCATCGAGATGCTTGCCTCCTGTCCCAGGATGTGGTAAAACTAAACTAAACAATTTTTTTTTATTTTACCAGGTAAGGCCCACTGAGCTGTATAGCTCCGTTTTAGAAGCGACCTGACCACAACTCATAACTCAAACAAGTGGCTTATCATGTGGACATTTATAGCAGCGAAATGCTCTAAACTAATGTTTCTAAATGTGGAGGGGAAAATCTGAGAACACAGAGAAAAATCCACGCGACCACAGGGAGAACATGCAAACTCCAAATATACAGGCGTCAGGGTTGGCATTGAACCCACGATCTTTTGTATCCCAGGCAAGAGAGTTAACATCTCGCCACCATGGCAAGAGCAACTGCTGGCTCAGGCTTACTGGTGGAGAGTCTCACTTCTTCAGTGTTTACTTGACACTTTGAACTTGATGTAAAAAAAGTGTAATAATAAGTAAGCAGAATTTATATTGACAATAGGGAATGGTGGTGTTAAGCAGGGACAAGCACACAAGGATCCTAGAAACATTGGCAGTGCAAGTGACAAGAATGACATCACGCTCCATTATTCTTGCAACACTTTTCCCTGTACACTTGGCCTATCGCTGGGGTGAGACCTAAGGGTGAGCAATTTACCAACGAAGCATTTGCGTTCATATCACGCGCGGCAGGTGGCACATGGATGAACTAGCGTGATATGTTCCTAGCGTTGCAGTGTCATTAAGGATAGGAGGTGAAAAACATTGGGCATATTTAGACTTCAAAATAGGGCTTCCTCTTATTCTTAGTTTTTTCGGTAAAGTCACGTTGAAGAGAAACAACAAAATAATAAAATATATATTATTTTGTTGTTTCTCTTCAACGTGACTTTACCGAAAAAACTAAGAATATGAATTACTGCAGTCACGAAAGCTTTAAATCAAAATTTAGGGCTTCCTCTGTTTAGAATATCTACCCGTGTGGCACTGTGGTTCGGTCCCGTAGCTCACAAATGGAAGGATGCACGTTTGGGTTCAGCCATTGGTTGATTCGGCATTTTTTTTCTCTCCAGGTGTGGTAACATGAGCTGTAGTGCGAGGGTAATCAACATTGTTTGGTATATGGACATCTGATTTCCATCACTGGCACCTGACTGTTAACATGAGATTAGCACCACTCAGTACTTGCTTTTAAGCGATAGACTACCTTGATAATTGTGTTGTTTTACAATCACGCTTCGTGGTGTAATGGCTAGCACACCGGTCTTGCATTCCAGAGATAATCAGTTTGATCCTTCAACATGGCATTGAAGACAATGGGCAAGTTTCTTAGATACTTCCTCCCACCACCTCTGTCCAACCAGCAGTATAAATGGGTTCACCATAGTGAATCGATCAGCAAGTCGTGCGTGGTGGGGTAAAGTGTGGGTACTCCCACCGTTACCAAAACAATTTGACCAGCCTGGAAGAGTAGGCCAAATATTCTCTAACAGTGACTTCCTAGAGCTCCCTCTACTGGAGGCCCTTCTACCATTGGTTGTTTGAGCAAGTAATTGCAGGGCTGCACCTTTACCTAGTACAATGTTGCTCGTGGTTACTGTCCTCTCGCTCAAACATGGACACTGATGTGTGTAGTCCGTCTTGTGTGAGCATTATACTTTGTTCATAAATGTGACAGTAACCAGTCACTCCATTGGAGAGCGACTTGTGTTTTATCAGATTCTTAACCCAGAACAGCGTGTGCAGAAAACACACTGCACCCGGAGCGAAGTGCACGTTTTCACTAATGTGATTATATTATCAGTGTCACCTTGTTCTTCCCAATGATGGGTTCCTATGCAGTGACTTGGGCAAGTGGACGTGATCCATTTAAGCAGGTTTAATGTGACGTCTCTTTTATGAAGGAGGCCTGGCCGGGGAATAGTAAACATGGCGTGTTCTTTAAATATCAGGTAATAGCCCATTTTAATAGAATATATTTTGAAAGTATTCGCTGGACAGATGATCATAAAATATTAAAACTGTTTCCATAGGATTGCAAAATTGAAACTGCATCAAATGATTGTTTATCCAGTGCATTTTTTCTTTTATAAATGGGCGGCTGTAAGTTTCTACAGTGGGTGAACATAGTGGTTCTTAATCAATCCTAGGATTGCTTTTTTTCTTGCGGGCACTGGGGGAGGGGGTGGCCTTTGCCCTGAGTTTACAAGCACACGTGCCACTTTGACCTTGGCACTGCAATGTAAAGTGACCAGCTTTACACACGTGACGTGCATTCACCATTGTGTCCGCACGTAGCTTGCGCAACCGTAGTTATCTGCCCCTGCTACATTTGCAATGTGTTGTTTACCTCATAGCAATGCATGTTTGTCATTGATTACCTTCGTTGAGGGTTTAATTTTTTTACCTGTAAGCTGTTGATTCTTTGGCAGGGTGGCCCCTGTTTAGTTTTCCTCGACCCGCAATTGTAAGGTTTTTGAGTTGTTGTTCAGGCATCGGTGCAGTTGAAAAATACTTTTGGAGGAATTCAACAGTGGCCACTCCCTGGATAGACTGGTCTCCACACAATAGCAATGTGGAAGTTGTCATACTGAATCAGGCCTGCCAACAGGGATGGTGCCTCTGTGTTATTTATTTGCTTTGGTATTAAGTGCTGTAATTTATTCTGATTAAATGTGTACTAGTTTCTATCAAGGTAATTCCTGTCAGAACAGCCTCTACTAGAACGGTGCTCGAGAGGGGTTATCTGAAGGTTATTTTGGCCTACTCTTCCACACAGGCCACGCATTTTGGAAGCAATGGAAGTACCCTCACTTTAACCCACCACACGCGACCAGCCGATCGATTATTATCAATTAGTGTTGAGGTTGATTTGAATACTGCACTAAGTTACTCTTTGAGCTTTTTTTATATATGTCGTAAATTACCTCGCATAAATATACGCTTTGTGGCAAGCTATTTTTAAATATATTACAATAGAACTACAGCCACATTCCAGCAAATTATATGCAGGTTTGGTGGTTCATTATAAGAATCTTGTGTGTGAGACATCCATCTCTAGGGTTAGTGGTATGTCTGTAAGCAACAGTACAGCAAGTAGGCTGATGATCTATCCGGGTGGAATTTAATTGTTCTAGCATCATTCTCTTGTTTTCCTCGTATCTGATACCAGAAAGTAATTAATCAGACTGATTCGTTTTTAAAAGCAACCCTTTAAACACTGACATCCCATGAAGTCAAAGTAATCAAAAGTAAATGTCCACTCTCAAAACTGTTTAAAATTAAAGATGAATGCATAGCTTGCATCAGCATTTTGACTTTGCATTTGAAGGGAAAAGGGTGGTCAACATACTAACACCATGGGGGTGTGTGGGAATGGAGTTTGGAAATGTCTGCTTTACAGGATGCCTTTTCCAGCAATTGTTAACATTGTTGTCTCAAAGTGTACACTCGCGTATTACGCAATGTTATTTATATCCCGGCTGGGTAAAAATGTGGAGAAGGCTCTCAACTCGCAATCAGAAAATATTGGCAGTTGAAATCCCAGCTTAGGGGCCTGGTCAACCTATAATGTCACTGAGTTTGATAAACTAGGTCAGCAGTGGTTGCCCTTTGGGAAGACTGCCCCTCCGCCATAGGACTGTGGAACTTCCACCACTGGTTGGAGCCACCAACAAAGATGAACGTTTGGGTAGAGAGACACTTTGATATATTTTCTTACTTGATATTATTTATATTTGGCCGTATTTATTTTCTTAAAACGTTTATTTTCAGTTAACTCCTGTAATCTTCAAACTATTTGCTTAATACCATTTCGAAATTGCTTAATGTCAACACTTGCTGAGAAAACGGTTTTCTTTAGGTGTGAAACACATTAACCTGGTTTTGCTTTGCTTCAGTATTTTTGTCCGCTTTTAAAATGTGTGTTTTTTTGCTTTTGCATTAAAGAAATACCGTGTTTGCCATTTTTTGTTTTGGTTGTGCTTAATACGCATGCTTTATGTTTGTTTTCCTTTATGCCTCCCACGTTTGTTATTTTACTTTTGGCTATGCCTCGCTTAAAATATAGATGCCATCCACCAGCACGCTCAGAAAGCCAATCGATTCACTGCAGGTAAGTTTGAAAATAAAACCATCGACTGCTTTTTTTCTTGATTAAATATGCCTTGTTTGTTTTCTAACAATGCGCAAGCTCTTCACACGACATCACGTGTGCCGCTTTTCTTGTTTGTTAGCAGGGCCGACTGCGAATAGAATGCTACACCGATACAATTTTATTGTCGTCCATCTAATTTTATATAAATAACAGTCGTTTAATTTTTGCAAACTCAACATTTTGAAAAGAGTGCATTCAACCTAATCAAAGGCAATATTTGGTGAACATTTGCTTTGAGGAGTTATTTAAAGAACAATGTAAATTACTACGGACATACCTATATCAGTAATAAAGTAACATTATTGTCAATAATCCTGTCAGGGCCAATGTATTACAGGAGCACGTGTGTAAGCAGGCAAACTCGGATCTGGTTTCTACTTGCCAAATTTGATCAGCAACAACCGTACCTGGTGAACAAATGCGAGATGGGTGGGCAAATCCTGTAGGCTGGACCCATCCACATATGATCTGTGATCTGTCTTTGCAAAAGAGAAAAAAAAACAGATATTGTACCCATGTAAATGTGAAATTTCGTGTTTGGTCACTCAGCATATGAGCCATCTGAGCCAACATTTAATGGGAGAATTTGTATAAACTTGAAAACTTTTCACTCGTCTTCGAGTCTTATTGGCAGAGGCGTGATTTATGCTAATTCAGTATGCTAATTCATTATGCTAATTCATTATGCTAATTCATTATGCTAATTTAGTATGCTAATTAATTATTGTTGTTCTCGCGGGCAACACACATTGCATGGGATTTTTACATTTTTGACGTTTTGCACTGAATGGGGACCCACGGAGCATTTGGATGAATGGCTCTAGCCAATAACGAGGGCTGTCCTGCAGCATTTGTTCTTGAGGCTTCCTTAAGTCTAGACGTCTGCTTATGCTGCTGTAAAACAATGGCCCAGAATGCCTTGGGGCTGAGGGATTAATGTGTTATTTTCACAAGCAGACGGATGGCTTTTTGGTTGTTATTTTTCCATCAACCATTTCGCAGTGATACATAAGGAATATTGCCATTTAAACTTTGTTTATGCACAAAAAAACACATGGTGAATGCAAGTTTACATTTGTGTTTCTTCAGCTATAATACGAAGTTTGTCAGATTAAAATGTATACAAGACCTCATTATTTTTAGGCTAGAACATGTTAAACATCTACAATATTGACATTGCAATAACCAGTACTAGCTTTTGCCCCATGTAGAATACATTCTGGGAGTGAGCGTACATTTTATATCACTATATTTCACTTTTCACTGATCCTGACAATACTAAATTCCTTTTATTGTGATCTCAAATCACAATTATCATTTGCATGTATAACATGCCTCACATGATATTTAATCCCAAATCATTCCGATGTCCAGAGAGAGTAGCTTTCAGCCTCGGGAAACCCGCAGTGGCAGCCGTCCCTGTGTGGCACGAGGTGTGCACAGCACCGTCACATCATCGTTGGTGTTCATCACGAATCAGACGGCACTTCTTATGTCACGGTTATTCCACCCGCAGTATTAAGCAGGATGGCCAAACCCCTGCAAGAGGCAGCAAGGGCACTACCGCTCAACCATGTCACTGCCCCAGATGATTTAACGCTACCTGTTTCATGGTCGCAAAATTCTGACCGCATAGCGGTAGTGTTTATAACGGTCCAACTGCTGTGATTACACTATCTACTTGATCACATTTCCCATTGTGTTTAACTAAGCATTGTATTTGTATTCACCACAAAGCGGTCCATAAATAGCGTCGTGTTCTTGAAGACAGATAGAATACATTGATGTGCCTCTGTTTAATGGGGACACACAGCATTGGGATACGCACATTGACTCGCACTCGCATCTGAACACAGAGTTTTCTTACCAGAGTAAAGTAAAGTCAGTGCAATGCTGAGGACCACGGAGACAGGAGAATAGACTGTGAAATGCACTACCAGGTGCAGCTCATTAGAGGTTAGGGTTAAAGCCTAATAATGCCTGTACTGGAATACAATCAAGCTTTTTTTAGTGCCATTTAACAACATTTATCCAATGCATTTACAATCTAAAAGGAAGTACAGCATTCAAATACAAATACAGTCCAACCATGCTCAGCCGGTCTCCATGGTTGTCCTTGTGTTAAGCAAATGCTACAGAAACCCCATTTGTCTTCAGGCGTGTTGTTTAATGGACTTAAATGGTGCATTAAAATTAGATCGAAACACGTTTTAAAGATATTTATTTATAACCAACAAACTCCACTTTTCTCTCAAGTATTGTTTTTCATTCGAGAAAATTGACAATTGGACCATGCGCAGCCCATCGTGAGACTGTTAATACAATAATATACAGCTTTTTCTCAATCTACTGCTTGATAAATGCCTCTCTACACCGTGTTAGTCCATGGGGAATTGTTTGACCATACTTTACCATGTTTATCAGTGCAGGTTGATGAATGAGGAGCATTCCAGGCCCTGTTCGTATATCACTGGCCATTGATTTTAGCTGTGGCCCAGAATTGATTCCAGATCGCCAAGTTCATAGCGCAATGTGCCAACCACTGCTCCACCACTCAATCCACGGGGCTATTAGCTAGCTGCAATTGCAGATGCAGGCTACACTTCGATAATTTATCTTGCTTAGCAAAATTTATGAAATCCCGAAAGCAAAATGTGCCTGACATGAACCAAAAAAACCCCCAAATTGCAATGAATTTAAAATATAATGCAGGCGGCACGTTGCCCTGATGTTGTGTGGCCCCTAACTGCGCATGGTTACCGGAGGTGTAAACCGAGCGTGGGTGCTGCTTTGCTGTGGCTGCATTAGAACCGGGATCCGAAGATGTCGCGAGTGGCCCTGGAGTCACTGTACCGCCTGCTCTGGGTGTACATGGTGCGCATCAAGGGCGAGAGCAACACCACCACGCAGAGGTGGGCACAACAAAGCAAAGATCCATCCCAACTTGTAGCCGTACGTAGGCTGTTGGGAAAAGCGCCCTTAGCGAGCGCCTATGAAGGCCAACACGGCACACGAGAGGGTGGTGTGGTCAGCACCACGCCCGGCCGCCTTTGTCTCCCCAGTGGTGATGTTTACCTGCCGTACCAGGTACTCTTTGAAGGCGGAGTCAAACCTAGGGTAGGCCCTGGATCTGTGTGCAAAACATGCGTTCACAGACACACGTGACTAGCATTGGAACAGCACCATCTACGGAAACATCTGCTGTATTGCATTGGTATAAGGACAATGACCGCCCTGGTTTCATTATGATTGTGATTTGTTTTATACTATATTTCATTAACTTAATTGCATTTATTTAGTTATCTAGCCAGATAACTAACAGTTGAATCTCGTTCGGAGTCGGCTCAGCTCACAGCTCACAGTTCCGAAAAATAGTCAGTGCTCCTGTGCAGTAAAATTAAACAGCGGCTGTTCTCATGCGATACTGGTGGCCGTTTTTTTTTGTTTAAATGTAGAATCACCACCACCACCACCACTGACTTAGGGGGCTAACAAATGCCATGGAGCACCAATCCAAATCTCATTCGAGCGGGCAGACACTTCGGCCAACATTTTGACCACGGTCGGCGAGAGTGCACGAACGCGAGAGTCGCAGATGACGGAAGAGCTCTCGTCTCTCTCTCTTCCCGTACAGCCGGCTGCAAAGCATCGTGTCGGCGCTCTTCCCCAAGGGCTCGCGGAGCGTCGTTCCCAGGGACACCCCTCTCAACATCTTCGTCAAGATCATCCAGTTCATTGCGCAGGTGAGCTGCCGAGTCTGCGGCGTTGCTACACAGTACGGTCATTTGGGCCCCAAATCGATTTTCGATACACGAGGATGAGGCTAAAATACATCATTGCATCCGCTTAAAGGATGATAGCTTCATGGAAATTGTTGAATAATCCATTAAATTGTTGAATTTCTTGTGGGTGGAAGAGTGCTTGACGGGCAGTTTGAAGTTTGCAAATTCGGTCCGTGGTAAAATTAGTCCATAATCCTTCTGGGTTTGTTAAAATTAGATACCACCGTGTGGGTAGTGAATGGTTTTAGTCCTGTGGATGGACTGGCCTACACCATGGCAATATGAAATATGTTTCACTCGTTTAGGGCCTACAATTAATATGTGCGTCAATCTCTTGATTATATTTCATAAACTATAGATTTTTTTTTATCAGGGCCTCGTGGTGTATAGTGCAGTCCCCAACTGTTATTCACTCCATCTCTTTGGCGCCTCTGTGTGCGATGAAGTAGGGCCATTTGCCGAAAACGTCCCCCGTTTATATTTGTTTCCCCTTAATAACAATAGAATTGCAAATTGTGCCAAGGGAAATTGCTGTTGTCGAATGTGTGACGTTTTCATTATGATTGGCTTTGCTCGAAGCATCTGGACACTTTGAATGCGTTGAATACTACCGGCGTATTTGTGAGCCTCTGAACAAAGCAAATGTTCCCTTCCGCCTCTGATCCAATTCCCTCGACAGGAACGGCTGGATTACGCAATGCGCGAGATTATATTCGACCTCCTCAGCGTCGCCATCAAGATGCCCAAGACGCTCGCCATCAACCCGGAGCGCATGAACATTGGCCTGCGGGCCTTCCTGGTCATTGCCGACAGCCTCCAGAAGAAGGAGTGCGAGCCGCCCATGCCGACCACCAGCGTGGTGCTGCCATCGGGCAGCACTCTGCGCGTCAAGAAAACCTTCCTCAACAAGACGCTCACGGAAGAGGAGGCCAAAGTGATCGGTGGGTAGGCGATGGCGATCCTCTCCTATCGGCGGTCTCATTGGGCTGGCGCTGACGTTGCCGCACTTGTCGTCATTGCTGTCGATGTGTTCACGTTGTCGTCGTCGTCATCGTAGTCATCGTCGGCCACGGTCCTTCCTCTGCTTGACGGCCTCCCCAAAGTCGTCGCCATCTTCGATCGATGCGACAAACCACCCAGCACTTGCGCACGAGCCGATTTCATGATTCCATCTCTCCGTTGTATGTCCTCCCGGACTCGTTCCCATTATTTTGGTTGCCACTTATCATGCGTCTTGATCCATCGGCAATCATCCCTTCTCACTACGTGTCCTGCCCAAGAGCACTTACTTTTCTTAACAGTTTGAGTTCTGTCTTTAACTTGCGGGCTGTGTTCTCTTAATGACATGTTCCTCTTTCTATCTCTCAGTGTAATTCCAGGCATGCATCTCTCCATGCTTCCTCGCACACTTTTCATCAATCCGCACTGAAACATCGTTGATATCATGTATTAATAATAATTTAATTCAAGCTAATTCCATCTCGCAATTGCATACAGTAATTGCATCCAAAATTGCATTCAAGGCTAAATCCTATTTATTACAATTAGGATTAATAACCACCGTCCTTATTTGGCCAAGTGTCGTTGTGGTTAGAGCTCTCAACTGGTGATCGGGAAGTGAGATTTCACACCCGGTAGAGACGAGTGTCATTCCACGATCGATTTGAGCGGAAATTACTTATTTTTTTGTTGTCATCGTCAAAAAACTAAATTGTTGACCTCATATATTTCTTCAATCACTTTGTTTATACCACTCAGTTACTCGACTTATCTGACGTCATTGCTGTGGCATTTTCGTGGGGCCGGTGTTGGATTTGAATTCACAGTTCCCCGAGTCCCGTACTCGCGCCCTCATCCCATCACCGCTAGGCCGTGTCCCTTTGCCGTTGTCGACGTTATTCCTTGTCGTCTGCCACTACCCTTCCAGGCATGTCGCAGTTCTACCCGCAAGTGCGCAAGATCCTTGATCTCATGCTACGGCAGCTCGACAAGGAGGTGGGACGAAGCATGACCCTGGGCGGCGGGCAGAACGTCGCCAAGGAGACTGAGATCACGTGAGCCCCCCCCAACTTCCTTATGCTCCGCCACTGAGAGAATCAGAATATATATGTTTTAGAAAATGTATCTATACTGGAGGAATGCGATGAACTGTGAAGCTCTTTTTCGGAGATGTTCAGTAGTGATCGGTGGGTATGCATTGGAGGTCTCTCATATCAGCAGTCTCTATGGCTGGCACTGACGTTGCCATGATTGTCGTCATTCCGTGTCTAAATTGGAAGGTGCTTTCGATTCACAGGATAGCTGTTATCATCGTCGTCATCATCATCACCACCAGCCATGGTCCTTCCACTGCTAGGATATCTGCTTTCCATACACTACTAGGAGGGACATCTTTGCCGCTCGGATTGTTGTGAGGGTGACCTTTTTTTTAAAGATAAACGCTGATCGCCATCGAATTGAGGTTTTTATAAGTAATGTAATGCCACCCAAATCTCAAATTTCGTTTCGTTTTAGTGTAAATATGTGATTGTTTTTATTATTTCAAAATTATTTAGGAGGATTATGACAACACGTTCACAGCAGCATGGTAACTCACCCAGCATGGTTAACTCGCCCTTGAATGAGTAGCTGGTGTGACGTTAAACATCAGCAGTGGGGAGACAAAGGTGTCCAGGCATGGTGTTAGCCACACAACCTCCTCATGCACTGTGCTGGCCTTCATAGATATTTGCTGACAGCACTTGTCCTGACGGTCCACAAGCATAATGCCGGGCGGTGTTGGTGCCGCATGCTTGTAATCCAACACTGGAGGCGGGGGTTGGTGTATCACAAAAATGTTGAAAAAACTCCTTTCCTGTGGGCCATTGAGGTCCCATACCCTAGCTTGCAGGTTAAGTAAATGTGGAGTTTTCCTGTTTTGTCTGTATGGAATCGAGTGTTGCATCCTCACTCACATGCGTGGATTTTCTCCAGGTGCTCCGGTTTTCACCCACATGTAAATACTCATTAATCGGCTGATGACACCTTTATATAGAGGACTGCAGCTTCGAGGGGAATGTGGCAACGGCTCATTGCCTGGCTGCTGCCTTCCACTTGTCTGTGGTTCCTCCCGAGTCATTATCTCTCATCGAGTGAACGAATACTTTGTGCCATGCTACAAGTTGAACTTTATTATTATTATTGCTACAATGTAGGACATTTGTCTTTGTGTTTTTGTCTGCTTATGCAGGGGCGAGAGGAAACCTAAGATCGACCTCTTCCGTACGTGCGTGGCAGCCATACCCCGGCTACTGCCAGATGGGATGAGTCACTCGGAGCTGCTGGAGATGCTGGCGAGGTACCTCCTCAAGCTAAAGCCATAACCCTACATTTTCTCTAACTCTCGTTGTTATTTGCATGTATTCATTGGCCCGTGTGAAGTAATATCCAGCCAGGCGGCACTCTGTTTCGAGCACTTGACTCATAGCTTGCTCTCAATTTAGCTCTTCATCCCTCAGTGAGTTCCACTTTGGAGGAAGTTGTCAGTGGTAGTCTTACAAAATACGTTTTTCTTTCTTCTCCCAAATTGTGTTCCAGTTGCTATTAGTGTCGTGCTGGCTTGAATCAGACACGCACATTTCCATTTGGATCTCTTGCAGCCAGAATTGCACCACCTTCTGGCAGTGAATGTCACTGCAATTAGGCTTGTGGGGAAGCGGTAGTGTAGCGGTTAGCGCTCTGCGCTACAAACCTGGCAGCCTGAGTTCGATTCCCGCTCACGGCCTACATCAGTGATGATTATCTGAACCGGTCCTGGACCTCCCCCAGGTCGATTCAACCTCAAATGAGTACCTGGTGCGATGCGTAAAAACATCGCCACTCGGGAGACAAAGGCGGTCGGGCGTGGTGCTGGTCACCCACCCACTCGTGTGCTGTTCTGGTTTTCATAGGTGCTCGCTAAACAGCACTTGCCCCAACAGTATGTTAAGGCTATATGGGGGGTCTTTGTCTTTGTTAGCCACAGTTGGACCATTTAAAACTCTTCAGTGTGCTATTGTGGTCATCCAGAACAGACCATACGAGATATAACGACGTAATGCCCAATGCGCAAATACAAAGGAGACATTACAGCGATACACAAGTCTGCTCCTGACGCGGTTATCTGGCTTGATCACCACCTGAATGTGAAATTGTAAGTTGTTACTCTGCATCTACATCGGCCGTATGAAAGAAGAAGAAGAAGCAACCACAGTAGGGGCACAGCTTCTGTATTTCCTTCTCAAGGTTTTCCTCACGTGTCAACATAATAAAAACAAATGTAAATGTTAGAGCTTGAATTTTACCCGAATGAAGTGGAAAAGCTTTTCATTTTTATCGTACTTCTCTTACGGTCATCTGTGACCGTAAAACTTGCTTCTCTTAAGAAACTATGAAACTAAACAATCGAAACGTCGTGAGAATTTTATTGTTTTATTATTATTTTATTATTTCCCTTCTGCGTGACTTTACCGAAAGAACCAATAATATGAATCCCTGCAGTCACGAAAGCTTTAAATCGAAAACTAAACTGTTTATTATTTTACCAGGTAAGCCCCACTGAGCTATATAGCTCTTTTTCAGTAGCGACCTGGCCACAAATGATAGCTCAACGAAGTGGCTTTTCACGTTAAAATTTAAAGGAACCAAATACTCCTAATGCACATTTTTGAATGTGGAGGGAAAAAAAACGGAGAACCCAGAGAAAAATCCACGCGACCACGGGGAGAGAGACACACAGACTCGAAATATACAACAGGTGTCAGGGCCATGATCGAACCCACAACCTCCTGTATACCAGGCGAGGAAGTTAACATCTCGCCACCGTGGCACCCCGTTTAATTTATCAGTGGCTCCCCTGTAGTTGACCAGAGCTGCATGTATGTATGTTGAACTTTTTTGCGCACCGTACGTAGCCAACCGTGCCAATCGGAGGTGTGGGGGACCGGAGGATCTCAGCACTGCCAGTTTACTTACTTTAACACTGGGGATCAGTCTCCTGCGCCACTCGGCCACCTCCCCTTTTGCTATCGCCGGCAATGGGGAGTTGCCGTGGTGTCCACGGTTAACTCGTTAGAGGTAGCCAGTGTCGATATCCCATCGTGGCAATTGAATCGGTGGATTTTTTTTATTCTTTTTCTTTTCCAATCCCTCCACCTCGGGCCATCCAGCAGTGTAATCCCGGAAGCACCGCGGGGTAGGCGGTCGTCAATTCGTTGGGGTGGGGTAAAGTGTGTGTGCTCCCATTGCTTCCAAGACGTCGAGGTGTTAACAACGTGCCTTCCCTGCAACGTGCTGTGCTGTGAACGTTATCCTTGAAAAAATTATGACTGATTAACTGGAGTTTTTTAAATAATGTAACATAAAATGCTGGGTTTTACTATGCGATGAGCACTCTTTGATGATATTAGGGTGGAAGAGCATACCAATATATTGTCTGGAGGAGCAACTAGACCTCCTGCTAGTGCAGGCCCTTCCACCAGCAGTGAGGTGAGTAAGCAATTGCAGGTCTTTACGTTTATTTACCCTAGTCTTTTCGTATGGATATGAATTTAGTAGCAACTTTCAGTCGATAAATCCGGGTGCTGGTTTCCTGGCACAACAAGTGAATCCCACCTGGGCCCTCACAATGCTCACAGTAGAAATGAGTTTACACACCCATAGACTCGCACAGAGACCCATAGACTGGCACAGATACCCATAGACTCGCACAGAGATTCATACTCGCACAGAGACGCATAGACTCATAGTGAACATTTCACGATGCTTTCCTCTCTTTGTCGTGATGCGGTCACACTTGGGCAATTCATTTATTTTTCAGTTTAACACGTAGGCTTTCGCGACCAATATCATCCATAATAGAGATTTTTTTTTGGGGTTAGCTCATGTGAAATTTATTTTCTATTGCCAGTTTGGATATACTTGAAGGTAGCCAACTACTTGCAGTGAGCTTCTTGATGTCTGGGTGGTGCTGGTGGGAGTAGTGGGAACCTCAAAGGGATTTGCCCTTTGACATCACAGTGTACATTGGGGTCTGCCATCTCCGACCTCGTGCTGAAGCAGCCTCTGGCTATAGACAGCGTCGGTCGCCCCTCCCCCCGCACATTGCGCTCAGCAATCTCTCCCCCCCCCCTTCAACCACCCGCACTTCCCTCCCTTCCCAGGCTAACAACGCACGCAGACGAGGAGCTGCGCAGCTTGGCGTGCGCGTCGCTGCAGAGCCTCATGCTGGACTTCCCGGTGTGGCGCGAGGACGCACTCATCACCTTCCTGGCATTCGTGTCGCGCGACGTGGGCGAGCACCACGCGGCAGCGCTCGACAACGCCCTGCGCATGCTGCTGCAGCTGCTCACGCAGTGGCGCCTCGCTGTGCAGGCGACCGCGGCAACGACGGCGCCAACCGCAGCCGCGAACATGACCACGGCCGCCGTGGCCGCCAAGGTGCAGGATGAGCGGCAGGGCAGGGTGAGCGGCAGGGCAGCCGAGTGATTTGGTGGCCGCGTTGGAGAGGTGTTAACTGCCTCGCCCCGGCATGCAGGGGGTCGTGGGTTTGATCTGAATCTTGACCGTAGTATTGTGGTTTGAACTTTGCCCAACCGGGCAAATTATTTGTTTGTTACTTTATTTCTCCGGATTATAAGAATGCTCGGGAAAGTGAGATGCACCTAAACTTTTGTCCAGGTCAGTAAAGTTATACACCTACTCAATCAATGGGAAAAAGTGTGCCTGATCATCTGAAGAATACGGATTATTACCGTGGCAGAATGCTCCAACTCGCATATGGATAGTTGCGAGTTCATGTCACTGTTGGCGACCCAGGTACTTTAGATTCTTCGTCACGAATGCGCAACGGCGGGGGGGGTGCCTGTTGTGCCGCTGACAGGCGGAGTGTGCTGCTGCATTGGCAGTGGCGGCGGCTAGCGAGCGGCCGCTGCACCACTCGCCCGTGCTGCACGCCGTGGAGGGCCTGGCGCTCGTCATGCTGTGCAACACAACCGTGGGCACGCGGCGCCTCGCCGTGCTGCTGCTGCGCGAGACGCGTGCCCTCGCGACCACCCTGGGCCACTGCAAGGTGCGCACATGCGTCGCTGCCCTCGAAGCTGCTGCGTGCATGCCTGCTGCGTGCATGCCTGCTGCGTGCGTGACTGTGAGCGTTGCTTTGAGCGTTGTTCAGCGAGCGTTGCTTTGAGCGTTGTTCAGCGAGTGTTACCTTGAGCGTTGCTGAGAAAGTTGCTGCAAGCGTTGCTGTGCACAAACGTTCATTGGTGTATGGTGTGCTCAAATGATATGTATGTATGTGTGTTTGGGAATGTGTGTAGGAATATGTGTGCATGCGTGGATGTCTGTAGGTGTGCGGGGTGGGGGGGAGTGAGAGCGCAGCGGTTAGCGCGCTGCACTTCGAACCCGGCGATTCCCGCTCAAGGCCAACATCAGTGGCGATTATCTGAACCGGCCCTGGGCCTCTCCTAGGTCTACTCAATCTTAAATGAGTACCTGCTGTTGTATAAACATCGCCAATGGGGAGCCAGCCACCCACCCCCTCGGTGTAATGTGCCAGCCTTCATGAACAAGTGCAATGAACGAGTGTAATTATAATAAAAAAATATATATAATCGTGAAGGGTTTTTTTCCCCATGTACACAGGACTCTGGGGGGCTTCAGTAATAAATAGCATCCATCCGTGCTGTATGTATGTACGTTCAACTTATTTTTCATTGTACGTAGCCAACCATGCTAATCGGAGGTGCTGTCATCTGCTCTTCAGGTGGACGAGGAGCTCGTGATCGACATCCTGGAAAAACTGAGTCCCTCTGTCCTGGAGAGCTTCATCCACTTGACCAATGCTGAGCAGGTCGGTTAATGTCCACCCACACCACCCGTGATACCTACGAGAAACATTCATGGGCATTTCGATTCGCGAAATGGAAAGGCCTTTTCTAGCCTAAATGAGTGCATTTTCTTAACTTTTAAGTTGGTGTTTTTAGGCCTTTAAAATTAAATACTGAAATTGAGGACGTCGTGACTATTAATGACGGGTACCTTTGTCAACAATGCAACGAGATTGGCGGAATACAGAGACAAATGGAAACATATGCTGTGTGTGGTGCCAACCATGAGGAAAGAGGATGGCACTAGACTAGACGATATTATTGAAGATGCTGCATTGTGTTTGATATACGTATATAAAATGTGTGATGTTTACGTCCGTTATGTGTATTGCGTCATGTACATATGTAATGTGTTATGTATCAACAAATTAGTGTCCACTCCGAAATAGTCCATTCCTCGCACAAAGACAGTAACTGCATCGCATGCTTTTAGATTGGATTCTGTGGCCGTCTGGAACGCTCTTCCTTTCGATATTAGAAAGCCACTGTAGGCAATTTCAAATCTAGGTTGAAAATGAATTTCTTTTTTACTGAATTTTTGTGTTTAGCTTGTTGTTCTTCCCCCACACCTCCCATAAGGAAGAATTGGCATCGTAGGGTCCGAAAGAAGTTGAACATACATACACAGTCCCTCTGCTCCACGGACTTTGTCCTCTTCCTTGCTCCCATGATCTACTGCTCTACCACTGGCGGCCACTTTCGTATCCACTCCTGCCCTCCCCTCTGGAACTCCCTAGCCAGGAAACTTCATCTGTGACCCCTTCTCTCTCTCTCTCTCTACTTTCCAGTCTCTTGAAAAAACCTTCCTCTTCAAACTGTGTTTAGATTATTTAGAGTATTTGGCTGTTATAAATATCCATGTAATAAGCCACTTCGTTGAGCTATCGTTTGTGGCCAGGTCTCTTCTGAGAAAGAAGCTAATATCTCTGTGAGCTTTACCTGGTAAAGTAAATATATAGTTGTTTTTGCGACTTATTTACCTTTCCTATACTTTGCACTTCTATCTTGTTTTGGTATTGTTTGTTGTTGTAACTTTCTGTACATCTGTGGAACAAAGAGCGTTATAGCTCATCGGATTCTTCCAGTATAAATAAAGATTCTGATTCTGCCTCCGGATCTCCTGCAATCACTTCCTTTCTCTCCTTCCCTTCGCTCAGTCCCTTTCTTTCCCTCGCAAATGTTCACGTGCATTTCTGCGCACTGGGTCGTTTGTTATGTTATCGGCGTAACTTGTTAAGATCAAAGCTCGCGTTATTCCCCCCACTGCCTCTACTCCCTTACTTAAGTTCTTCCTCCCTCACTTTCCCTTCCCCACATTAAAATAAAGAGAAACGGCTCGCGGTCCCCACTCGGTGGACCAGCGAGCCCAATCTCCTTCCTCCTCTAAAGCCAGGAGCACAGTTCGGGACCTACAGTATCTCCACAGAGTTTCTGTACCCCCTCCCTGCATCGCGGTTTGTGGTCTGTACCGGACTCCTATTGAAATATAATTAAAACAGTTGAATAAAATCTCGCGTTATAATTACGACCAACGCTGCTGCCCCTCCCCCCCCCCCGCACGCGTTTCGTGTTCCCTGGGCCAGACCACGCTGCTGCAGCTGCCTCCGGCTGTGGACCTGCAGTGGCTGAGCGAGGGCACAGGCGTGCCCGAGTGCAGCATGCTCGACACGCGCAGCGCCTCGCACGTGTGGCTCTTCGCTCAGGCGCGTGACCCCTGGCTGCTGGCTCTCGCCTCCCTCCTCGGGCACGAGCACTTCCAGCGGAGCTGCCCGCTGGCGCAGGCGTGGGCCTGGTCGTATGGCATGGTGCGCCTCACGGCGCTCACGCCACTCGTCGACCCGGGGTGAGGCCCGTCGTCGCATCGCGGTGAAAACGATGGCGTCCATGGTGATAGGCTATTGGCTTAGGCTGAGTACATCATTGGAACTCGGACTAAAATCTTGACTCCCAAGAGCTTGTCCAGATGATGCTTGACGTAGTTTCAAGCGAAACGTGACGTTATCTACTTGCGAAATTCACTTACGAGAATTTATCTTCAGTCTGCCGGTAAGCTTAAACAATGTTTGGCGCGTTAAACACTTGTAAACGTGAGGATTTAATTTATTTGCCGATGTCTTATTAACACAAATTGGCCAGATCATGATGGTGGCCTAACCTAAAAATCAATTGTCGATCTTATTGGCTCGGAAAACCTAAATTATCCTCGGCTCTGTAGAGAGCACTCTAGTGGAGGTCCTTCCAGCAGTGAAACAAGTCATTTCACCCCAATATTCATCAGGCAGCATCATCTCACACGACATTCAGACACTGCCGCCACCACGGCGCGACATTATCATGAAAGTTACACTCCTGTTCCCGTCTCTCTCTGCTGACCGCGTGTTCCGGCACAGGAACCCCGCGAACGCCAAGCGGATCAGCGCCGTCCCTACCACCGACTCCCCCGTGGGGCTCTGGCGGAACTACCTGGTCCTGTGCTGCAGCCTGAGTCCCGCGGGCGTCTCGGCCGGAGGCGGCCACCAGCTCCGCGGCAGCTCCCCCGAGACTCTGGCCTCCACTCCGGAGAGCTCCTACAGTTTTGACGGCAAGGTGTGTGTGGCGAGTGGTTAACCGCCTCGCCTGGTGTGCAAGAGGTCGCCGGTTCGATCCCGACCCCTGACGCCTGCTGCATAATTGGAGTTTGCGTGGCTTTTTTCGTGGTCGAGTAGATTTTTCTCAGGGTCCTTCCTCTTGGTTTTTCTCTCCATATTTAGAATTAACGTGCGTTTAGAGTATTTGGCTGCAATAGATTTTCACGTGATAAGCCACTTGGTTGAACTGTCATTTGCAGCCAGATCGCTTCTGAAAAAGAGCTACGCAGCTCAATGGTCCTCGCCTGGTAAAAGAACAATAGTTTCGTTTTAGTTTATGTCTGTTATGTACCAATGGACAGCCCCAAGCGAGCTGTCAAAATGTAAAATTCCCATAGTGGGAGCCAGTTTCTCAATATGATGACCCCGACCAGGATTTTAACTTCGAATTAAAATCCCAGCACTCGAATCACACGCAATGCCCGATGCACAAACACGAAGGAGACATCGATACACTCCACTGCTCCTGATGGGGTTGTCTGGCTTGACGACCTGATATGTAGTTGTTTCCCTGCTCAAACGCGCGACGGGGTGGCGCGTATATTCATCGGTCGCCCAGAGCTAGTCGAAAACATTCCTCATTCTCATGGTAGATGCCAGGTTCTCTGTACAGTGGCCACTGTTGACTTGCCCTCAACGTTTTTATTGGCTCACGGTTTTAACCCGTATCCTTTCTCCTGTGAGGAAAACACTCCAACCCTGCTGCCACCTCGCTGAATTGTACAACTTGTTCATACACGTTTGTGGTGTGAATTCTTGTGATTCTGGATTGTGTTCTCATACAATTATTATTTCCCGGCTCATTTATACAGTCTCATTTGTGATGTTAATAATGTTTATATTTTGCTTATAAGTAGCTGTCATATAACATTGGCAGCTAATTTTCAGAAATCAAAACCGATTTGGATGACTAGCCACGAGGCTCGTCGCTGGTTGCGTATCTGACACAGGTGCCATGTGCGCCCTGCCTCTGCTGTGTGTGAGCAGAGTGTGGGGGGCTCATCCCCGGCTGCCCTCTTCCACTTGGTGGTACCGCTCATGCGCTGTGAGAGTCTGGAGCTCACAGAGTGCTTGGTGCTGGGTCTTGGGTGCACCAACTCGGGCGCCTTCCGGTAAGCACTGCCTAGATCGGTGTGCATGCGTGTGTGCATGTGTGCATGCATGTGTGCATGCGTGTGTGCATGCGCGCATGTTAGGGGAGGAGTGTTTAATGCACTGCTCTACAAACCCGGCCACCCGAGTTGGATTCTCTCTCATCGTCAACACCAGTGGTGACTATCTGAATCGGTCCTGGGCCTCTCCTCGGTCAACTCGGCTTCAAAATGAGTACCTGATGCAGTGTGCAAACATCGCCACTTGGGAGAGAAAGGCAGCTGGGCATGGTGCTGGCAACCTACCCCGTCGTGTGCCATGCTGGCCCTATTTATAGGTGGTCATGAAAAGCCCTTTCCCCAACAGTCTGCATGTCTATACAGGAATCTGCCTTCTTTACATATGGGGGACAGTGGCACAGTGGTTTGTGCTCTCATTATGATCGAAGTGAGCTGGGTTCAATTCCCATTCAAAGATTAAATCCATGGCATGTGGTATTATGCGTCTGTCCTGGGCCTTTACCATAAGTTTACCAAGCTTTAAATGAGAACTCAGTAAAGTGTATACACAGTAGCACTCGGGAGACAAAAGTGAAGTGGCTTGGTGTTGGCCACACAACCCCCTTGCATGCCGTGTTGTAACCTAACAGGTTGCTCTGTCTTGCAGTGAACTGATGGAGGAGCTGAACCCGATAATAAAAGAGGTCCTGGATAAGAAGCAAGAGGTAACGTGACTCCTCTTTGACTCAAAACGTCTGCTTACAAATAATTTTGCATGTATGTATGTTGAACTCCTTTCGCACCATACATAGCCAACCATGCTAATCGTAAGTATGGGTCAAGGACAACAAACTAAACACAAAGCAGTTCTAAATAAGTGAGTTTTCAATATAGATTTAAAGGTGCATAGCTCCAGTGGCTTCCTAATATCAGCATAAATATCTTTCAAGCCGCAGAAGTGCATCTGAAAGTGCGCGATGCAGCGACCATCTTTGTTTGATGGTTCGCCAAGAGCCGCTGCGAGGATGACCGGAGTTTGTGATGGTTACTTATGCTCCTAAACGAGATCAGCAATGTATTGCGGTTCATTTGTGGCAAGCACGTTATGTGTTATGAGTGCAACCTTATAATGTAACAACAAGGCTCCTCTTTTCTATCATCGTGAGTTTAGTCCTCACCACAAGTTAACTGAGACCATTATCTCTCCTGGGTCGGTAAAACAAGCACCACAGTGAGAAGTCAACAACATTGTCCTATGGATATAATGGTCCCTGGCATATTCATGTTGAATTTCCACCACTGGCTCAGGATTACCTACCAGCGGATAGTGCCACATCACGATGCTCATTTGAACGTTTGGGAAAAAGAAGTACAGTAATTTAATTGTAATATTAATGTCGTAATTTTAATTGAGCATCTGCAATCTACAGTGTGCAGAATAGGGCTCGGCTTCAGTGATGTACAGAGCTGCTTCTTAAAGAGCATTTAATAAATTCCTTTGCTTTCAAATCCAGGCTACAATACCTCTGTAGAGCCGTGATGATTGGGACTGATGCCATTCATTATTAAATTCACACCAAGACTCGGAGCTTCCAACATCCCATTCTCCATCAGGCTGTCAATCACTGCCTTTATTCAGGAGTTCAGTCCATTCTTGTTGAATAATGTGACCTTCCTTCAAAGACGCCTGAAAACCTTTTCAAAATACAGTTGTGCATGAATCTAGGAAATTATTTATTTTCATTTTTGTAAAAACTGAAGTGTATAATTTTCGTATGTATTCATCAGTTTAGATATAGATCACAAAATGTAATGCTAAAATACAACAAAACCATATCATATAGCAAATGTAATACACCCCATTTACTATACAACACATATAATTATGCAAAATAGTTGTGATGATCTTATATATTTGGTGACTTGAAATATTGTTTGGTTAATGAAAGTGCATAAGGCCATACTGCAATTATAAACAAAAGCAAATTAATACTGTCTTCAGGCACCAATGAATGTTGGATAGTGCTCATCTCAGATGAGTGAACTGCACTGGGCCAGCTATGTAAATTCCACTTTTTTCTGAAGCGTCAAGTCTATCCATCAGAGAAAAAAAAATGCTTTCTACAAAGCGTTATCTGCTGCATGATGAGCTGTGTATTTGTTGTTGTTGTAACTTTCTGACCTTCACCAACTGGACATCTGTGAAAAAGAGCTTCATAGCTCATCGGATTTCTCCATGATGAATAAAGATTCTGATTCTACAAATCCTTCCATCCAGAATTGAATGTCATTACGTTCATCGTCGCCCTTTCCCTTACAGAATGTGCGTAAGAGAAAGAAACGAGACATCCTGCGGGTGCAGCTGGTGCGAATCTTTGAGCTTCTTGCCGACACTGGGGTCATCAGCCACAGGTAAATGCCGAGCCAATTATCGGTAACTTTTCAAATGCTCAGACAGGGACCAATATAGGCATCTTGGCAATGACAATTAAACTAAACCTACTAAAACTAAACAATTTTTATTTTTATTTTACTGGTGAAGCCCACTGAACTACAGTAAAACCTTGGATTGTGAGCATAATTCGTTCTGGAAACGTGTTTGTAATCCAAAGCACTCGTATATCAGTTGTGATCACGTGACGCTCGGCAGACAAAGCGCAAGACCTCGCTCGTTTATCAAATTAATATTTATTTATACATTTTGTTCGTCTTGCAAAACACTCGCAGACCAAGTTACTCGCAATCCAAGGTTTTACTGTACATCTCTCACGATCACTCTTTTTCAAAAACGACCTGGCCACAAATGATAGATCAACGAAGTGGCTTATCATGTGGAAATTTATAGCAGCTAAATAATCTAAATGCATGTTTCTAAACGTGGATGGAAAAACCGGAGGACTCGGAGTAAAATCCACGCAACCACAGGGAGACAGACGTGCAAATTCCAAATATACATGTGTCAGGTTCGGGATCGAATCCACGCCCTCCTGTCTACCAGGCGAGGCAGATACCATCTTGCCACGATGATGATGATGATGTTGATTGGTCGGTGTGCCGGACAGGGGTAGCGGTGGTCTCGAGGCAAGCACGCACACTCTGAGCAGCTCGCTGCTGGAGTACGTGGACCAGACCCGGCAGCTACTGGAGGTGGAGAATGACAAGGACTCGGACTCCGTGCGCGACGCGAGGATGCACTTCAGTGCACTCATCGCCAACCTCATCTCGCACCTTCCCAGTGAGGACTCGCACTGTGTGTGTGCGCCTGTGTGTTGAACTTATTCTGCACCGTACGTAGCCAACCGCGCTAATCGGACGTGCGGGGGAAGGACAACAAACTAAACACGTAAAGCAGTGAATCTGGGTGACTTGAAAGTGCTTAGATCCAGTGGCTTCCTAATATCGGAATGAAGAGCATTCCAGATGGCCGCAGAAGCGCATCTGAAAGTGCCCAATGCAGTGACTGTCTTTGTTGTTTGATGGCCAGCCAAAATCCACTGTGGAACAGCAAGCCCAGTGCTTTCTATGGGTTCGGCCTATCACTGATTATGTCACTTTTCATCTGAAATGGAATGAGGTAGTTCAGTTACTGAGTTGCCAACTCTTGAGTTCCTGGTTGTAATACCTGAGCAGGGGCAGGCATTCATTGGGATTTTCTGTGACAGACAACGGAATACGGAATATATACCACGTGAAAGCTTGTATCAGTTTAAACAGTAATTGCTTCCCTGCGAAAATGGGTGTGGAGCAGTCTTTAAGTCCTGACATTGCTGAGAAAATATATATTTATATGGTGATGACCAGTCAGAATAATGTGACCCTCCAAAACAGTGGCTGCATGTTTCCTTTATAGGTCACGTTTCACCTAGAAGTGACATTGCTGCTCTGTGTTGCCTTTCCTTTCACTTCTTGTGAGCAGTATCGGAGCGACGCTGGCTGTTCCCCCAGCAGAGCTTACGGCACAGTTTATTCCACCTTCTCAGCCAGTGGGCAGGGCCGTTCCGTCTCATCTCCACGCAGCTCGAGTGGAGTACGGAGAGGAGTCAGCCCATCACACGCCAGAACTTCCTCGCTCTCAAGGTGACCTCGCCGCTCTAGTTTTCCGCGGTATGCGCCCAGTCGCTCAACTCCATGGTGCCCTGATTCCAGACTACTTGCACCTTCAGCTGATTATTGCCAAGGTCAAGAGGTGACAATGGCCAATGGCACCACGCCACCTTCAAAAGCTAGCTCTTACAGTGTCCCACCATCTAGGTTTAGGTATTACCATTGGTTGCTGATCTGTGGGTTTTCTTGAGGGCCTGTCATGATAATGTGCCACCCTCTCTCATGCACACATGATCCACCCATTGCATAATCCTCTTCCTGATTACTCTCCAATACTTTTCTGCCGTGCCCTATTCTGAACTTTTAAGTGGCTTACCTTACCTTGCCATGGAATTCCAAATATTCCTCTCATCCATATTCGAAAACTTGTTTTCTAGTTGCTTTGCATGCATCTATATTTCAAGGTCAGAAATGTATTTGTAGACGATTGTGTTAAAAGCTAGCTGATTGATGCACACAGTGCAGCCATTACCCGTCTAAAACATCCATCTCTTTGTACTAAAGTTGCCCTCTCTTTGAAGGTGGTTTATGCGGTCAATAAAAACTCCACCTTGCAAAAGCAACACATTCTCACAACCGCGTGAACATGGAGCCGCACTTGAGTCGGTCACTGTTTGGGATTCAGCGTCATGTTAAGTTTATTATTCAATGACTGCTGTCGCAGCATTATTGCGATGACAGAGGTGGTGCTGCGGTTAAAGTGCTCGACTCCAAAATTGGCAATTTGTGACTTTAAAGTCCAGTTAAGATAAAGGCACAGGCCTGAAATCGTTTGCTCACTCCTCTGCTGGCAGAAGGACCTCCGATAGATGAACCTGTAGAGGGTCACTTTTAAAGGATATTCTATGGATGTATGTTACCTTGCTTTTAAAGGTACCGTTTTATCAGAAACGAATGTTTGACGGTAACCTTCACAACAACACTGCGTGGTGCAAGGGAGGCTTTCTGTTTACGCTGCGTGTTGCTCCCAGGCTATGGCGGCCGTGCTGTGCTGCGGTCCCCTGCTGGAGAGCGTCGGTCTCCCCATGGACGGGTACCTGCAGCGCTGGTTGGACAGCATTCTGGGACATCCGGATCCGCAGGTAAGTCGGTGAAGGAACGTTATTGTTTTTATTGTTTTGCTTGTTATATCCCAGCAGAGCTCTCACTGATTCACAAGGGCTCGTCTTCAGGAGGGCCCTGTCAGTTTTTTGCAGAAGCGGGCGGGAGGGGGTGGGGGGGGCGTTCTGGCTGTTGAGTACAATCCCAGTGGAGTGATATTGCAGGGTGCTTTGTCAGCATTGGCATGTTTTTCCCCCAATACCAGTTTCATTCGGTGTTTCCATTAAATTAATGAAATAATTGTTCAATATGGAGCAATATACTTTGGGGAGTGTCTTCATTGTGTTGACGATTCATTGCAACGCTAATGCATGCATGCAAAATATACATTACTATGGACGTGTGTACATACTCGATGGATGAATTATTATGACTGCAATGTACATGCGTGCATGTATTTGTATCGAATCCTTTTTTTTCATGCCGTATGGGTCATGGCGGTTATTTGACCGCAGTTAACCATGCGGGTCAGTATGGGTTGGCGAGGGTGGGGAAGGGGCATTGGAAGGGTGGCAATATAGGTCGGTGAACAGTACTTTACAATACAACGTTGCACTGTATTCACCTGTACTGTCTGCGAAATGGTGATAAGCCATGAGCACTTTCCAGATTCAGCACTACTTAGTTTCTAACATGTGACGTGATCGAGTGCGTTCCATTGATGTGTTCGTAGGAAATATATGCAGGGGTGGCGCAAAAAGTCAGGGCAAATAGGGTTATATTTTAACAAATCACGTGGGATTATTTAATTTATTTGAATGCATGACTTCTTGAAATTGATTAGGATTTTTTTTTTAAGGTCACAGGTGTTCGTCTTGGGACATTTATCATATTGTGTTTCGTCTGAATGTCATTCACGGTTCTGGGTTGACTTTTGTAAACCACGGATTTGAGGTGAAGCCATAGGAAGAAGAAGAAGAATGTGATACGAATAATGATAATACATCAAGCAATTGTTTAGAGAACTTCAAGAATAAACAATTACAACGTTTTGATGCCAGTGTAAAAATAAATGAAATAACCCTATATATACACACACAGTAGATGTGTTCCTGGAGCTTTGTACATTGAATTACTGATAACATTAGTACTACGAGGATCCGTTCCAAGCCTTCGTAACTTACCATTTCATACTGCAAAGACTTCATAACTTAAACGTTAATAATTGTAAACAAAGACGACTTATATTCAAGGTATGGATATTATACCGGACAGTATTAACATAAAAAAGCGATGTAAATAAAATAAACATGGAATAAACGTAATGTTATTCTTATTTGTAAAGTAACAGAGGTCGACGCATTATTTATTTCTGTGCATTTAAATATTATTTTGGTTTTATTTTTTTTTGCTTTCTGTGTAAAATAACGGTTAAAAAAGCTCGTTATACCGAAACGTTGTTTACCAAATATGCGCATGTGAGTGGTATTGCTCTGTATGTGTGTATACGTAAATCCTGTTGACGAATGTTAAAGATTACACCTGTGATCTTTAAAAAAGACGGCAAATCCATTTCAAAAGAGAACTAATGTGCACATTAATGTGAACGGAAGTCGGCTTGAAGTAAAAATGAAATAATCCCTGGTGTGGACCAATTAGTTTCAAAGACGATGCATATACTATCAGAGTGTGTTTTTTGTTTGCATTCTGACCACTAGTATATGTGGTTAATGCAGACATGATTCCTTGTAAAAGGTTTCTGTTTGGTGTTTTAACATCTTAACGCCTGTTTTGTTGCCAGAAAAAAGGGGAAAACCTATTTTCATATTTTGGCATTGGCAAAGGAGGTCCCATGATGGCATAATCCCATGCGATTTGTTCAAATGAATGCAATAACCCTACGCGCCCTAACTTGTGTATTTAGGTGCACCAGCTGGGCTGCGAGATGGTGGTGCTGCTGCTGGAGCTGAACCCCGAGCTGAGCTACCTGCTGCAGTGGGCCGTCGACCGCTGCTACACAGGCTCGCCGCTAGTGGCCGCTGGCTGTTTCACCGCCATCGCGACCACCTTCACCAGCAGGTCAGAGCTCACCCACATGCCCTGCGCTCATTGCACCTCACGTGTGTGTATGTGTGTGTCTGGTGGGGAGCGGTGGTGTAGCGGTTGGCGCGCTGCACTACGAAGCACAGCAACCAGAGTTCGATTGCCACTCACGGCCACCACCAGTGACGATTAATTGAATCGGTCCTGGGCCTCCCCTAGGTCGACTCAGCCTCAAATGAGTACCTGGTGCAGTGTGTAAACATCACCACTGGGGAAGACAAAGGCATCCGAGCGTGGTGCTGGCCACCCACCTTCATAGGTGCTCCCTAACAGCACTTGCCTCAAATGTCTATTGAGGCTATGGGGGTGGGGATTTTTGTCTTTATGGGGAGCGGTAGCAAAGTGGTTGGTGCACTGCACCCGAGTTTTATGCCCGTTCGTGGCCACCAACACCAGTGACAAATATCTGCGGTGTATAAACACTACCACTCTTGACGACAGCCAGCTGTGGCGCTGCCCATCCACTCCCTCGTGTAGCTCTATGAAGGATCTTTGTGTGCGTGTCATTCCTCTGTCAAAAATATCTGTAATGATTCACGCCCTCGCAGTTTGGTGAATTGTCACAATTTGGCAATGCAATTTGATTTTAAAATCTATTCGTTAATTTTTTTCCCCGCTGTAGTGTATATAGCAGCCTTTAGTGGCAGTACCCCTAATATCAGACGTGTGCCTTCTTGTAGAGTCCAATACTTTGTGAATAACAGCTGATGGCTAATGTGGTGGCTATAATGGGCCCCTGTGTGCTGTTTGCCGTGTGTGCGACAGGGACTGGCCAATGGGCATGGTCACTTTGCTCAACCTGATCCTGTTTAAAGCGGCTGACCCATCCCAGGAGATCTACGAGATGGCACTGCAGCTCATGCAGGTGTGCATTCAAATTCACTCTGAAGATTGACTGAGGCTTTTGCTCCGATAAAAATACGATGCTGTTGTATACAACAGATATAGACAGACAGGTGCCGGGGTGCAGACCTTGCAGTTACTTACTGACACCCTCTGCTGGCAGGCTGAAGGGTCTCCACCAGAGGAAGCTGTAGAGGGTATTTGGCCTGCTGTTACACACTGGCCAGATATATTACAAGAGGGGGGAGTTACCCACACTTTACTGCTCCACATGTGACCTGTCAGTCAGCTAACTGTAGTGAACACCTGTGTACTGCTGGGCGGGGGGCGGGATTTAAGAAACGTTCCCCATTGATTTAACTGCCACACCAGAAGATTGAATCGAACCGGCGACCTCCGGATTGCAAGCCGCCGTGTGTGCCGAACCATTGCGGCAGCAGCATTCCATGACAAGAGAAATCTCACGATATGATTATCAACGTCGAAAGCGCATTTAGAAAAAGAACATACGTTATTCCTTTTGCTTTTAGTTTTTTGGATCTCCTCAGAATTAAACTGTGTCCGTGTTACTGGTGTCTCTTAATAAGATGACGATGATACAATGTGCATTTCTGCACACACGCGCACACCCACACCACCAGTACGGGTGAATTACAAATCGCCAGCAGACGCCCGCAGTATTAACCGTGGTTGTCGCTGTGTCCTTCCACCAGGTGATGGAGGAGAAATTATTTGGGTACACAGAGCGAGACGAGTCGGGAGACGTGGACGGCCTGCTGAGCTCGCCTATGGCGCTGCCTCCGCTCTACTCCCTCTCGGCGTACTCGCTCTCCGAAGAGCTCGCGCGCCTCTACCCCGAGCTCACCCTCCCACTCTTCTCCGGTGCGGACAGAATGCACCCCCACTTCTCCATCACTTGCGCGTGGCTATGGCTGCCTAATATCCTCTAATATGCATGTTGAACTTCTTTCGCACTGTGGACGTAGCAAACCGTGCTAATCGGAGGTACGGGGGAGGGACAATAAACTAGACACAAAAAAAGTCGTTCAAAAGAAATTAGTTTTCAATCGAGATTTCAAAGTGCATAACTCCAGTGGCTTCCTGATATCAGAGGGAAAAGTGTCTCCAGACAGCTGCAGAAAGCGCATCTGAAAGCGCGGTGCGGTGACCGTTGTTGTTTGATGGCCAGCCAAAAGCCGCTCTGTGTCTTCACACCTCCGAACTCTTTGTTGCCTTTCCCCCGCACCTCCACTTAGCATGGTTGGCTACGTACGGTGCGAAAGAAGTTCATACATACATACATCCATACATTTGAAGTTGCACGATAGATTAATCAACAGTGCAGCAGCAGTGCGCAGGTCTCACAGCCTGACTAAATGCACCTGTGGCAGGATTCAAACCTGTCGACCACTTCACGTGCTCATGCTTCGATCCCACCTCCCCACCACCGTTGGACCCCCGTCCACCCTTACAGAGCTGAGCCGGCGCTTCCAGACCACTCAAACCCCAGGCCGCCAGGTGCTGCTCTCCTACCTCCAGCCGTGGCTCAGCAACATTCAGCTGGTGGCGGGTGGCGCCGGCGGCGCCTGGGGCCTCCCAGGCGATGCGGGGAGTGTCGGCGGCGGCGGTGGTGGCGGCACGCCGGAGCGGAGCGCCGTCGAAGGCGCCGGCTGGGACGAGGAGGAAGATGCGGAGGCGAGGCGCGACTCCGGGCAGGGACGGCGCTGGCTCAAAGGCTCCGGCTGGGGGTCGCCGCTCGCCACCGCGCTGGTGCTCAACAACCTCCTGCACATGACCGCTCAGGTACGAGCTCCCAGAGGCATCGTGGTCGTCATCATCATCGTCATCGCAAGCCGTGATCGATCCACTGTTGGATGAGAGCCGCCTCCCCTAGCTGTCACCCTATCTTTCCTGATCCTGATGAGGATTGCTTGTGTTGCGATCGAAACGTCGTTATATTTTTATTATGATTTGTATTCACTTTACTTTAATTATTTTATTGTTGCTATTTTTTTCTATCTACGTGACTTTACCGAAAGCACCATAGAATATGAATACCTGCAGTCACGAATGTTTTAAGTCAACATTTGATCACAGGGCACCTGTGCACAGGTTTTGTGCATGTGGTGCGAGTTCTCAAGAGTTGGCAGTGCGGCATTATAGAGCAGTGTTCCAACAACTTTGGTGATGTTTTTGTTCATATTGATACAAATCTAACGTAAAAATATTTCTCTGATTAAAAAAAAAGTTGTGGGCAGTGTTCGTCTGCCTTGGTAGCTCTGAGACTGGTAGAAATTCCACATCACTATGGCGGTGGAAAGTCTACCCATATGACAACAACTGTTGATATTCTTAGTTTTTTTGGTAAAGTCACATTGAAAGGAAACAACAAAATAATAAAATTGTTTTATATATATTATTATTTTGTTGTTTCCCTTCAACGTGACTTTACCGAAAAAACTAAGAATATCAATTACTGCAGTCACGAAAGCTTTAAATCAAAACAACTGTTGACTTTCTCCAAAGCGGTACTCAATTTATCATCCCTTTCGGGGTTGCAAGTAAAATCTCCCTCCCACCTTACGTTTACAATCCATGTGCCGTGACCACAGTACCGCTCATCTTAACTGGGTCAACAGTGCACATGCATATATGTATGTACGTTGAACTTCTTTCGCACCACACGCAGTAGCCAGCCGTGCTAATCGGGGGGGCTCGCACGTATGCACGGTGGCAACGTGTTTCTTGCCGGATTGTTTCCCGAGTAATAATCACCGCAACCAACGCTCTCGCATGCCAGTACGGGGAGGGCTTCCCGAGTGCGGAGTTGGAGAGCGTGTGGACGGCGCTGGCCGACAGCTGGCCCGGGAACCTGCGCGTCATCCTGCAGTTCCTTATCGCACTCTGCGGTGTGCGCAGTGAGCCCGACCTGCTGCCCTCTGTGAGTTTCATTTTTTTTTTTTTTTCATTTGGTATGGCCCCGTGAGCCAATTCGGCTCTTGAATCGGGTGCAACCGTAACAAACAAAAAACAGGAACAGGAAACATCTTAAAGTGCAAAGAGAAAAATCGAGGAAAAAACAGCAAAATCTTCCAGAAAATCACCGTATATCAATGCTGTGTGCAAAAATCCCAGTGGGATGCAAGTCAAACAATAACAACCATAAGACAGTTTAGATTTAAGTTATCAGTCTAACTCTGTACTGCAACAAACAAATATGGCTAAACCAAAATGTTTTCGAAATCACCAAAAATGAAGCTATAAAAGCAATGTAAAGGTGATCATAGGAACTGCGATTGAAATTTTACAATAAACGATATGCATAACACGTACTACCAAACTTTGCAGCCATAGCTGACTGCGTGAGTCACTCCATAACAGCAGGAGTATCAGTAATAGTTACACCCATTGCCCCTTGACAGTCCTCGCAACCTTGGCCAAATCACAGCTTAGGTATTGCTTCGAATGTATGTTCCTATTTACCTATGGACAAGAAGCAAGAAACGTCTGCTTACAACTCACTCTGTATGCACAAAGAAAAACAGTTCTAAAGAAATTAGTTTTCAAACTAGATTTAAAGGGGCTTAGCTCCAGTAGCTTCCTAATATATTTGAAGGAAGAGTGTTCCAGTTCGCCGCAGCAGCGTACCGTAAAGCGCGCGATGCGGTGACCACCGTCTTTGTTTAATGGCTAGCCAAAAGCCGCTGCTGCGAGGAGTAACCGGAGTTCGCGCGATGGTTTATGCTCCTTGACGAGATGATTGCTATGAGTACAGGGCTCATTTAAGGAGATATTAGCACCGATCATAGGGCTTGGCATTTATTGATGCAAGTTTATAGTGTTACGGCCTCTCGCGGCGGAACAGTGCTTTTAATTGCTCCTCGTGACGTCTGCCGCCACACTTTGCTTTGCTTTGTTCTCTTGCCATCTCCTACCTCTCCCTGCTCTCTGCTCGTCGATTTTTCTCCTCTGCTTCATGCGTGCTTCCCCTCCCATCGTCACGCCGTGCTCCCTGGCCCTGCGAGCAGATCAAGAAGGTGGTGATCTTCATCTGTCGGGAGAAGACGGTGGAGACCCTGGAAGAGCTGCTGCCCGAGCTGGAGCGCATGGAGCCTGTAAACTCCATCCTCATCCGCACCAAGAACCCGCCGTTCTACAGGCTTCTCACGGGCCAGCGGACCTCCCCGTCAGCCTCTGGTACTGCTCTCTCTCTCTCTCATCTCAGTCCTTGCTCTCACCTTCTCACAGCTCAATTCTTCATCCTTTACCTCATCGTAATAATTTTATGTTACGATGAAGATGATGATGATGATGGTTAGGATGAGGAGCTTGTGAGTTCAAATCCCGATCAGAGGTTGACTCGCGTAATCGTCCTTTTTGAGGCTGATAAAAATGAGGAGCACTTTGTGGAATTATAAAAAAATGTTTTTTCGTATAGATAGGCTGGCTCCCTACCATTTAATGTGGAATTTCCAATACTGGCTCATGAATATCATTGAAGATAAGCACTGTCTCATGCTGGATTGAGCCTGGAGACATTATAACTGTCAACTAGGATATTGATCATTACATTATCCAGGAATATTTTTTAACAAGCTTAGTAATCTACTAAGTTGCTGTAGGCGTTAGCTGATGTATGCATTACGTTGAACTTCTTTTGCACTTACGTAGCCAACCATGCTCATGGGAGGTGTGGGGAAAGGACAACAAGCTCAAAAGCACGTGTGTCAGTAATTAAGAGCTGACCATTTTTATTCTCGTTCCCTGCAGTCACGAAAGCTTTAAGTCAAGATTCATTTTTATTCTCGTTTCATGACCTCAAATATAACGTGTTTACACGTAATTGCAAACCAGTTTGAATGTCAATTTCTTCATTTCTTTCTGAGACCGTACGTACGTGTGTGTATGCATCTTGAATTTATTTTTTCGCAAACGTACCTAGCCAACCGTGCGAATTGTGCCCCCTTACCGGTTCGTGCGGCCACACGTGAACCACTTCTCGCCACCGTGTCACTGCAATTCCCTTCTGCCCCCTTCCCCTTGCATGCAGGCACGAGTTCCAGCAGCCACACGCTCGCAGGGAGCGGTGGCGCTGCCGGGAGTGCACAAGGGCCCGACAACAAGATGGTCAACGGGGCGAGCTTTGAAGAGAGGTGCGCCACCTCAACGCAACCGCTCGGCGTGTCCCCCTGCGCGCACTCAGTCACACGGAGACCTGGTCGCCCACTGCCAACGGTGGCCCTCATAGTGACGGGGAGGCATAGCTGGCAATGGTGAACATCTAGCTAATCAGTCTGCCATTGATCATCGTTTATCATTATTTGAGAGCCCGTTGAGTTCAGTACTTTCTTTTCTATATATATATGAGAGACCTGGGGTCAAATCCAGAGGTAAACATGATGTGCAAGCAGTAGAGAAGTGCCGGTCTCTGCTGCCAGCCCTTAGCCAGTGATAGAAATTTCACGTTCCCATGGCAGGGGCCGGTTTCTCCATAGGATGACTGCTGTGGACTTATCACGAAGTGGTTTTAACTTTTTTAGACCTAAGAAATGAACCCCGCAGTGCAAAGTTCCAAAAACAACAATAACAACAGCAACACAAAAGCATGTACTGTTCGTACAAAACACTCTCGACCTTTAAGCCTTGTGCAAACCCATCATTTCCTGAAGAACTACTGCATTGTGGTTATCTTGACTTAGGTCGCCATCAAAAACTTAAGAAAATGTGACGAACCAACAGGCAGCAGTGAGACAGACAACTGTAGACCGGTTTCTTGCTTATTAGAACTCATCGTTACGGTAATCTTCAATGCTCGATGCTGCCAAGTCTTCCGCTGGAAACCTCCTATGTGTAGAGACGTGATGTCTACACGACGGGGAGCTATTTACTCGCCTCATGGAATCAATAATAAAAATCTGTACATGACGAGAAAATCCACCACAACAAAAATAAAGAATCGCCTGTATGAACGTTTATGTCCGTGGCAAGATGTTGACTACCCCGCCTGGTATACAGGAGGTTGTGGGTTCGAGCCGGACCCTGGCGCACATATATTTCGAGTTTCCATGTTCTCCCCGTGGTCTTGTGGATTTTTCTCTTAGTCTTCCGGTTTTTCCCTCCTCATTTAGAAACATGCGTTTAGAGTATTTGGCTGCTATAAATTTCCACATGGTAAGCCACGTCATTGAGCTATCTTTTGTGGCCAGGTGGCTTCTGACAGAGGGCTCTGTAGCTCAGTGGGCCTTAGCTGATAAAAAAACAAAGTTTTGTTTATTCTTTAGTTTAATGTTTGCTACGTGTGTTGTTTCTCATCGCCTGGGACAGCCACCCTCACCAGGAGGTGAACTACGGCATCATGAGGCCGCACCCCCGGCTTGAGTCGCGCTACAGCAACGGCTCGGGCAGCTCCAGCGAGGACGACAAAAGTACGTGACCTTAGCAGACTGTTGGGGCAAGTGCTTGTTAGCTCGCCCTGGTGTACAAAGACAGAGATCCCCTGTATAGCCTGTTGGGGTAAGTGATGTTAGTGAAACCCAGCGTGCAAACACATATCCCCCTGTATAGCCTTAGCCAGACTGTTGGTGCAGGTGGTGTTAGCGAGAGCACCTATGAAGGCCGGCACGGCACACAAGGGGTGGGCGGCCAACACCACTCCCTGGCCTCCTTTGTCTCCCTAGTGGGTGATGTTTATATGCCGCAAAAGGTACTCAGGGAGCCTTCAGAGTTAATATTACCGAAGAAATCTAGCGATGCTATTATCCTTAGGACAACACATTTCCATGAACACTATGTCCTGCATGCTTCATGTGCCACTGCCATGTATGCTGTCCATGATGCGGAATGCCATCCACTCTGTTAACGCGTCGCTATTTGTGCTTCCTTAACACGATGACGGGAATGTTTTGTTGAAGCGCTTCGAAGCTTGCTCCATTAGCGTTAATGCAATGCCCGATACGCTCTGTTAACGCAATGGGGTAGGGGTAGGGGGTGGTGTGCGACGCGTTAACAGCTGAGCCGGCGTACATGGCCAAAGGGTGCTCTGTTAACACAATGGGGGGGGGGTTGTGACGTTGTTAACAGCTGAGCCAGCATACATGGGCTGGAGGGTGCGGATGGCGGAGGCAACACGCCCGGAACCCCTGCCCATGCCTGCCTCCTTAGGCTACTGGGCTCGTCTTACAGATCACCTGCCTGAGACCTTCAGCCAGGCCCCTCCCCTTCACAGGTGAGAGGGCATGGGGTATGCTTGTTGAAGTTTTCACCATACATAGCCAACCGTGCCAACCGTGCCAATCGCAGGTTGCGGTACTTTTGTTATCGTTTGTTTTGATGCAATTAATTTAATTGTTTTTTTGTGCTTCTGAATTCTCTACGCACCAAACCCAAAGGCAACATTTTTTAAACTTGAGCGTGAAGGTTAAAGGCACAGCCCTCCAACTGTTCACACAGGCCACTGCTGGCTGAAGAACCTGCACTATACCGAAGAGGCCATAGCAGAGAGGTCGAAAAGGAATCTTCAAGACATGGTTTGAGTCCTGAGCCGTTAAATTAAAAAGATATGAGGGACCAGGACACAATTCACGAATAGACCATCACATCACCATCAGTCCTCCATAACCACATTTGTCTTATGTCCCCATGAAGTTATGAATAATCATAAGCTCTGATTTTTCCTCACCAGATTCTTAAAAACAGATCCCAGGACAAATGCTTTCGCAGCCCCTGTTCCATTAGCAAGGCAATCAAATCATGAATACAGAGAGAAGTAGTGAGAGAAATCTATTATTATTGTCGTTGTTATCCAGGTGATCTCATGAATGATTGACTCTTCTTCAGGGATTATATGGTGTAAAGATCCAATTACACTGTTCGCAAGAGTAGGCCTGTTGTGTGCCAGTTCAATTATTTAATGGGAATATACATATCATTCATGGCCCCTTACTGCAAATATTGTCAGGGCTCGACTGAAAAAAATCCATAACATTCAGTAAGACTTTCCTCATTCAACAAGTGTATTAAAAATTAATTAACACAAAAGTACCGTGTAAAATACGAAGTGGAATTAAATATATGCAGGGTGTGAGACACTGATGAGAAACATTGTAATTGATGCAAACATGCAAAATTCTGCACTGTCACCTTAAAGTATCGATTGTGGATTTATATTTGTTTTCTATGATCAAAAAAATTAGTAAAAAGTGTTGGGTGGAGGGGGGGGTCTAGAGAAAATGTATCATGTACCAATTCTGTACTGACCGGGCGGCGTGTGCTCTCACACAGGTGCAGCATCGCGATGATTCTGCTGACGGGACTCGTAGTGGACCATGGAGTGCATTTGGAGTGGAGCATTCATTTACCTGTGCTCCTGCACGCCGTCTTCCTGGGTTTGTTCAGCACGCACTCGTTTGCATTTTGACCACAAGTACGGTGGTTAGCGCACGCATGATTCCTTGTAAAAAGGTTTCAGTTTTGTTGCCGGAAAAAAGGGGAAAACCCTATTATTATTATTTTTTGGTATTGGCAAAGGAGGTCTAATGATGTAGATGCTTACCCCGAGCCCTCATTACTTAGTGCATTGTCTTTGAGCTGTGAACGCCTTTTTGGCGTCCTCTGGTCTAGCACCAATTGAGACGAGGCTCAAAAGAAAGCCGTCTCTGTGTGGACCAATCAGTTTCAAGGACAATGCTTCATATTCTCAGAGTGTTTTTTTCGTTTGCATTTTGACCACAAGTATTATGGTGAACGCACACATGATTCCTCGTAAAAAAAACGATTTCAGTTTTGTTGCCAGAAAAAAGAGGGAAAACCCTACTATTATTATACACACAAAGTGCTCGCCACAAATGAACCAGAGCACCTCGCTGGTCTCGTCCAGGAGCGTAAACCACCGTTGCCAACTTCGGTCATGCTCGCGACGGCTTTTGGCTGCTGGCCATCCAACAAAGATGGGGGCCACCGCATCGCGCGCTTTCAGATGCACTTCTGTGGCCATCTGGAACGCTCTTCCTTCCGATGTTAGGAAGCCACTGGAGCTATGTACTTTTCAATCTAGATTTTTTTTTTCTTTAGAAATGCTATTTGTGTTTAGTTTGTCCATCCCCCGCACCTCCCGATTAGCATGGTTGGCTATGTATGGTGCGAAATAAATTCTGCAGACATAAACTTCGCACCATGTACAAGACGCAGTGCGTTTAAGGTTGAATACCTTCATATCAATAGACGTGAGTGTGATGGTCCTTATCATAAGTGAGAGCGAGCAAGCAATATCAAAACGTGTACAGCACAATGAAGCTCTATTACAGTCTCTTTGTGCATCAATGGAAAGCGATCGTGAGAGATGTACAGTAAAACCGTGGATTGCGAGTGTTTTGCAAGACGAGCAAAAAATTTAAATACATTTTAACTTGATAAAAGAGCGAGGTCTTGCAATACGAGCAGTATGCATACGCTTTGTCTGCCGAGCGTAACGTGATCACAACTGAGCCGATGTTTCTTCACTCTCTCTCGCTGCGGGATTGTGGGTAATCGTCTCCCATGCTCAGTCTCAGTCGGCGTGCCTCACTTGTATAGTCAACATCCGTGCGAGCGTATACTGTTTACTTTAGTGCTGTGACCACGTGTGTGTGCGTAAAGCATTTTTTTATTTTGTGTCCAAGTGTCGTGAGTTCTTTAGTAACTGTACTGTAACAATGGCCCCCTCCTCTCGTCTCCCTCACACCAGCCACGATTACATTTAGTTAATCAATTTGATTACTTTTTAATTAAATTTAAATAATAAAAATATAAAAAGTATTTTGTATTAATAATTTTTACATGAATATTTTTGGTGTTGTGGAACGAATCATCTGAGTTTCCATTATTTCTTATGGGGAAATTCGCTTTGATATACGAGTGCTTTGGATTACAAACACGTTTCCGGAACGAATTATGCTCGCAATCCAAGGTTTTTTTTTTACTGTACTGGCTAATATACAAAGTAGATTCAATGGCTTCAGTTCTCTACTAAACTTTAGTTTCACCAACGTGCCAGCACAATTCTTCTTCACCAAGACACTTTGTAACCAGGGTCCTCCTTCATATAGTGGGGTGCATTCTAGCCACATGACTACAACCGTTGGCTTGTTATAACGTGGGACTCATTGTATTAACCTTTAAGGCATCGTGCATTGCATCATCCCCTGGCTGGTATTTGAACCGTGCACTTTTAAATTGTGAGTTAAACACATGAACCCAGAGCGTCATCTGGTGATGCTAAAAATGAGCATATCGTACTTGGTGTCCAGGATGCTGCCACGATGTAAAGGTTTAGCACACTGGGCAATGCTGAGGTTGCCACTTTGATCTCCCAGCGTGGCAATTGGAACATTTTCCTAAATCCCCCATCCACCCAGCAGCAGTATGAATGGGTTCACCGCAGTCAGTCGGCACGTCTGCGTGTGGTGGGTTAGAGTGTACTTACTCCCACCTCTTCCAAGACATCTCTGGCCAAATACCTTCCAGAGGGCTCTCGAGCTCCCCTATCGTGGAGGCCATTCCACCTGCAGTGGCGTGAGCAAGACATTTCAGGGCTGCGCCGTTACCTTTTTTTTTTTACAATAAAATGCTAAAGCTGATAATATTGGTGCTCAAGGCGACGATGACGGCGATGATGACGATGATGGCGATGACGATGACGGTGGTGATAATGCTGATGACGATGCCAATGTGTGGGGTAAACCGCGGTCCGCAGGCTTCGACCACCAGCACCCGCAGGTGCCCGAGCACAGCAAGCAGCTGCTACTGCACCTGCTGCTGGTGCAGGTTGGGGGGTTGGATGTCCACCGCTCGGTGGCACGGGTCCTCCTCGCCAACCGAGACATCAACCACAGCAAGATCCTGGCCGTGCAGGCATCGCCTGCCCAGCACAGCGCATTCCTCGGTGAGACTGCCCAGCACTACGGAGCTGCGAGGGTGAAAAGAGGCGGGGGTGGATATGTGAAATACACGCCATTGGGAATAAACTTCCCCTGTACATTACCTACGATTAGCACGGTTGGCTACGTGTGGTGCGAAAGAAGTTCGACAAACATTAAGCGGTTCCCCTCCTTAATCTCCTTCCCTTCCTCATTTAAAGCGTACCTCTGCTAAATTGCCCATTCTCTTCATCTTCCCTCCCCTTGCCCCTCCACTCTTTCCCAGTCGTGATCCCTCTATCACTCATTCCTCAATGCATGCTCCCTGTCATCTAACTTATTATTTTCTGTAAACTGTTTTTTTTTTTAAACTGTTGTCAGGTGCCTTAGCCAATTATATTAGAACTGGCGTGCCAGAAGGCTGCATTTGAACTGGTGACCTCCGGATCACAGGGTCCGGAGTGCTGTTGCACCACAACAGCTCTCCGCCCCAATTTGAAACGTACCGCTTATATTATTTTTTTTATTGTTGTCATCATCGTTTTGTGCGTGCCACGTCCCATGTTGCAGGAGCCAGCGAGCTGCGTCAGATCTCGCAGAGTCCCTCAGCCACCGACTCGGGCCTGAGCCCCAGCTCGACGGGCTCCAGCCTGAGCCTGGGCAGCGTGGGCGAGCACGCGGCTGCTCACGCGCCCGCGCCGCTCCACGCGGCGCTCACGGTCGCGCCGCCCGGCGAGCGGGACGCCTCGTGCGACGTGGAGGAGAGGGCACGCGCCCTCGTACATTTCATCAGCACCAGGTTCGCCCGCCCGTGATTTCTAGTTGAGCCGCGCTCGCATCTGCGACCCAGAGGGGGGTTTTTTTTTTTTTTTTACACAACTCTTATTAGCGATTTACTTTTTTTATTATTTTACCAGGGAATGCCCACCGAGCTATTAGTTACTCTTTCAGAAGCGGACCTGGTCACAAATGATAGCTCAATTAATTGGCTTATTTGGACTTTTTTTTTTTGCATCCAAATACTCTAAATGCGTGTTGATTCTAAATGTGGATGAAAGAACTGGAGGATCTGGAGAAAAATCCTACGCGACCACGGGGAGAACATGCAAACTCCAAATATACAGCAGACGCCAGGGTCGTGATCGAATCCGTGACCTCCTGTATACCGGGCGGGGAAGTTAACGTATTTCCACAAAACGCTGATCACAGAACAGAAGGGGAACAGACACTCCAGCAAACAGCAGCCCGGCTTTGGTGCAACATGGCCCAATGAAGGGGGAAAATTGGGCTCACTGCCCCACCCAGGTGCAGACCACATGCGTAGACATGAAGGTTTTTATGGGGAGGTGAGAGTGGTAAGGGGGAGGATAACGAACATACTGGAATAAAGAAAGGGGCAGGGGGAGGGAGGAAGGGGAGGGGCGGACTGGGGGGAGGGGAATTTTGAGGGGCAACCCAGGGTTGTTAAGGAGCCAACCAACCATTCATCCTTACCCACGTGTATAGATCTGTTCAATGTTCGTGTGCAATTTTATTGAGGGGAATGTGTGTTGTCTTGTTGTGGTCTGGACTTCTCTTGCTGTTGTTTTGCTACTCTGCCCAAGAATGGTAATTGGTGTACTTTTGCAATTTGAACATATATATTATTTCTGTTTTACATATTTATTTTTAAACTTGATTTGAAGCTTTCGTGACTGCAGGAATTACTTTTTGGTTCTTTCGGTAAAGTCACGTAGAAAGAAAATACAAGAAATAACAGAATATGACGTTTCGATTGCAACACAAGCAACCGCCATCAGGTGTGAATGCAAGCTCGGAGAGAGACACAGACACGGAGAGAGACACAGAGAGAGAGAGAGAGACACAGTGAGAGAGACAAACACACAGAGAGAGAGACACACACACACACATAGAGGAGAGACATAGAGAGACACACGCAGAGAGAGACACACAGAGATACAGAGAAACAACGCCTCTGTGACGAGGCATCATATATAGAGAGGGGGGGGGGCAGATAAATTAGCATGTCAATGAGAGCGCCAGGGGGAGAGAAATTGGAAGGTTTTTTTGTGTGTGTGTGTCTCTCTTTGTGTGTGTCTCTCTGTGGGTGTTGTCTCTCTCTCTGCGTGTGTCTCTCTCTGTGTATGTGTCTCTGTCCATGTCTGTGTTTGTCTATCTCTCTGTATATGTGTCTCTCTCCGAGCTTGCATTCACACCTGATGACGGTTGCTTGTGTTGCAATCGAAACGTCGTATTCTATTATTTATTTTCTTTTCTTTCTATGTGACTTTACCGAAATAATCAGAGTATATTTGTTTGTAGTGATTTTCTTACCTTTCATATACGTCGCACTCCTGTCGTTTGCTGTATTCTTTGTTTTGTTGTTGCGACTTTCCTACCTGCCCCCTCCTGGACATCTGTGAAAAAGAGCTTCCTGGCATATTAATGCAGATTCCGATTATGATTTTACCAGCTGAGGGAGCTTTCTGACAGTGTTGAAGTAACGAATGTGTGTGTGGGCCCAGTGTGTGCTCTTCCTCCTCCTTGGGTTGCGTGTTGTATTAACTTCACGTGTGAAGTGTACTGAGTGTAATATTTATTGAGTGGAATAACAGATAAAAAAAACGTGAATTCTCATTTCACAAAGGGTGAAGGCCTCCCCCATTTCACGTCTATCTTCCCAGGGTGTTTTCTACACCATACTTTACTCAGCGTGTTCGTAAAGGTGAGGAGGAGGACAGTACTGGTTCTCTTATCACTCACCACTGTTCAGTTCAGTTTAGTTCAGTTTATTTTGGTATAGCCCTGTGAGTCATTCGGCTCTTGAATCGGGTGCAACCACAACAAACAAAAAAAACAAAACACGAACAAGAAAAACATCTTAAAGTGACTATGTGACTGTGCAAACAGAAAATCCATGGACAAAAAACAGCAAAAATATTCCTGAAAAAAGCACCGTACACCAACGCTGTGTGCAAAAAATCCCAGTGGGATGCAAGTCAAACAACAACAACCACAAAAACTTAGATTAAGGCCATCAGTCTAACTCCGTACTACAACAAAACAAACATGTCCAAACCAAAAAACGTTTTCCAAATCACCAAAAAATAAAGCCATAATTGCAACGTAACAGTGATCACAAGGACTGTGACCGAATTTTTACAATAAACTACATAAATAACATGTAGCACCAAATCCTAGAGCCATAGCTGGCTGCATGAGTTACTCCACAACAACAGAAGCATCGGTCGGAGTATCAAATTTTTCAATGCACCTTTAAGATCAGCACGCTAAATCAAAATACACATAATACTTTGTAGCGTCATCCGGAGCGAAACATTTTATTTTACGCCAATGAATAGCAGTGGCAGCTAGGGGTGTACAACTCCTCTAGAGCAGTTTTGAGAGAAGATCTCATTGGTAGTGATTCAAGTTGCAGTTTATTGGCAATAGCATTCCAGACTCTGGGGGCATCAATAGATATAAACTGTGGACGGGAATCGAACTCTGCTTACCGGGTTCATAGCGCAGCACCGCTAACCACTTTACTCATTAAGTTTAACGAGTATTTATTAATTGTCTATTTTTATTGCATGTTTGTTTTTTCAGAAATAAAGTTGTTAACCATTTAAAATAACAAATTATTTCCGGGCCAGTAAACAAATTCATTTTCTTTGCATTTTACGCGAGACCTTGTAATGTACTATCTATCCACTTGACTACAGCAACTATTGACTGACCGACATCAAACTTGACTTAATCCATAGACCAGAGTGCATTCATGTTTTGAATGTACTGTGGTTATATTTACCTGCACAAGGTATTCGATAATGTGGCTCCTAATCCCCCTGTCAACCGACACCGTCGTCATCTCCCACGGCGATTTTTCGTGACAAGGCTCTGGTGGTAGCCCTTAGCCAGTTGAGGAAATTACACATTCCTGTGGTGTCTCCGACACAAATAGCTGTTAATTGACCATGGGAGAATGCTGGACCGAGTTGATCCCTCCACCCTTGCACTTGCAATTAAATTGATGTAACCAAAGTTACACTCAGTCATATTCCCTTGAGAATAGGTGGCAAAAAAAATATATTAAAAACATTAAGCGACGTTTTTAGCCACTTATATGGAGCAATACAGCTTCAGATGACATTGATATAATTACCAGAAATATTTGCCTGGCTTTGATACAGAATTTGGGTCATTTAGGCGCGCGCATATTTAAACCTTCGACATCAACACAAATCGACTTGGACAACTATAATAGCAGTTCCTATTACCACATTTTTCACGAGTAATAAGAATAACCCTAGCCGGGGTAAGGTCACCCAGAGAAGTCAGTGCCGCCACACTCAATCAAGCGTGGCCTGCTGTTCATCTCCACAGGCGGCCGTCAACAAGCTAGTTTTTTTTTCCCTCTCCTTATTTCTAGATGCTTAGCCAATTTGCAATTAACGGTGATTTCTGTCTCGCACCCCCCAGTGGCTAGTTTGAATAATTTCACGTTAGAAAAAAAATTGCGCTTAAAAAAAAACAACTGTAAAACAGCACAGTGGCTCGTTGTTGAGCACTACTCTGCGGGACATTCCGCTGCGTACGAGCAGAAGGAACGTTCCCCAAAGAGGTGGGGGTGGGGGGGGGGGGGTGCACATGAGTGTCATAATGTTCCTGTAACACATCAGCAGCAGCACGTGCAACAGTGTGAAGGGATGATGCATGTTTTTTTAATGCCTCTGGGAAGAGGCACATGCTGGCTGTTTCTGTGTGTGTGTGTGTTTGTTTTTGTGTGCGAGCGCTTCTTAAAAAAACTTTAGATGTCGGGCCAACATGTTCGCAGCGGTTGTGTTACGGAGGGAAACGTCCGTGTTGTGTTCCCCGCGATGCTCAAGCCTCGTGAAATGAGTGTGTAGGTAGTTGAAAGGCAACCATATTATATCAGTGCCAATGTGAAGTGTTTGTAACACAGGTGTGGTGTCTTAATCTGTAAGTCGTTCGACTGGACATGTTCATTAAGCAAATTAAAAAGTGTGTATTTTATTGACATTGTAAGTTAGACGAATGCAAGACGAGGATCTAGTTTTCAGAAATGCAAAATTTAAGTTATTTCAATAACTAATGTGAGGCATTTATTGTACAGTAACTATTATAAATATGACGTATAAATGTTTGTCAGGTTTAATAAGTCCTTGTCCTGCTTTGTGAACTGATCCTTTGCCGAGGTATTATGCTATTTGGCCACATATTCAGTACTATTTCGTTTAATTGTCCATATACTTCTAATCATTGTGCGGAACAGCTGATTGTGTGTGACAATATGTGAATGTAAAATTTCTTGCGCTAATTGTAACCGTGATTCTCTTGGGCTTTTGCTCATTAAAAAGTTGTTATTCATTTACATAATTTTCAGGGTCAAGCACAATTTTGACCCTGTGGCCATTTCCCAAGCTTGCCTGAGTATAAAGTTATTTAAGTTGAGATAATGTCATCGAACACTTTGGTAAATGAATACTTTACCAACTTGTTGGGAAACATTTTAGCTTGGCTGCAAAGAACAGATTCAAAAATCCTCTAAGCACAACAGCAGTGGACATAGACGGCCCTCCTCCAACTCTGGCTTCTGGACACAACAACTTCGCAGCCTTCCATCACAGTATGATTATTAGGTTCCTGCACTGCACACTGGTACTGCCTAGAGACGTCGCTTTAACACTGTGGGGCGCCGCGGTGGCGAGATGTTAAATTAATCGCCTGGTATACAGGTAGGTTGTGGGTTCGATCCCGACCCTGACACCTGTATATTTGGAGTTTGCACGTCTCTCTCTCCGTGGTTATGTGGATTTTTCTCCGGGTCCTATGGTTTGTCCCTCCACAATTAGAAACATGTGTTTAGACAATTTGGCTGTTTTACATTTCCACAGGATAAGCCACTTCATTGGCCTATCATTTGTGGCCAGGTCTCTTCTGAAAATAAGCTATATAGCTCAGTGGTGAAGGCTGTGCTGCTATTGATGTGTGGAAGCCACAGCTGAAGTATGTTGGGCGGAGAAAGCTCAAGGCTGAGGCTGCCATCTGCTTCTGTTGCGCTTAGACACTTGTTAAACATATATAATTCTGGTTGACTGTGAGGGTTATGTACAAGATGAAATGTGTGCCTAACAAAACAAAACAGTTTCACCGATCGATCATCGTCGGCAGCGGGAAATGGAAGCAGTTCGAAACGATCGCACGCATCAAGATGTTGCTGAACGACCAGGGCTCTCTGAAGTATTCAGAGGATGTGTGTCGTCAGTTCCATTGCAGACCTGTGAGGGGTTAGCATGATCAAACTCACCATAGAATTAATCATCGTACTACCAAGTGACGTGAGAGATGGAGGAGGCTTGGGGAAATCTTACTCCAGCAGTGGATTGACCATGCCTGATGATGATGATGAGTACCAAGTGTATGTGTAGTTTATCAACCTAACTCAAACCGCTGTCTAATTATAATTTCTGAACAATGTATGATTATACCTTTATGGACACCCTGTTTATTAACGAATATATGTTTAGTTTAATAACAGAGTATATATCCACAGAAGTAGGCATGATTTTCTTGCTTTATTTTCCCTTCCTGTGTCTGCAGAAAGTATGGGCCCCTGTGGAATTACGAAGACATCTCCACCAAGAATCAAAACATTCAGAGTGCAGAGCAACTTAGCAAGTTCCTCTTGCATGTTGTTTCAATCTTCAAGGACAGCAGGCCAGGTGTGTGTGTGTCTCTGTGCGTGTCAGAACGTGTGTTATGGTGAGCGGTAGTGCAGCAGTAAGTGCGCTGCTATACGAACCAGGTGACCTGGGTACAATTCCCGCTCACGGCCGATACCAGTGACGATTATCTAAACTGGTCCTGGGCATCCCCTAGGTCGACTCCACCTTAAATGAGTACCTGGTGTGCTGTCTAAACATCGCCACTCAGGAGACAAAGGCAGTCAGATGTGGTGCTGGCAACCCACCCTCTCATCTGTTGTGGCGGCTCATTGGTGCTCACTAACAGCCCTTGCCCCAACAATTTGTCAAGGCTATATGGGGGATCTTTGTCTTTTTTGAGTGTGTGTGTGCGCATTTGAATGTGTGTAAACGGAGCCTAATAAAACTAAAAGTCCATCAGGCACAGACTCAGAACTGAAAGAAAACAGGCGAATTTGTGTCTTTTCATTCACATAAAGTCAGAAAAAAACAACATGAATAAAAATTAACATGTATTTATACTCAAGGCAGATGGGCCAACTCTGTGGGATAACCACTGTGAACTTTCTATGAAAGTAAGAAGCTTAATCATGCCCCAGCCAGGATGTTAACACAACACTTATTTCCTGCAACTTGCAATCATAGTACTGGAACAGCAGGATAACCTCAGTGCCAGCTGGCTAGAATGCGAGTGCACGGTTAATATGTGATTATGCGAGATGATAATGCACAGATTAAACAGTGAATGTCCTTAAAACTTTCGTGACTGCAGGAATTCATATTCTTTGGTCACGTAGATAGAAAAATAATACAAAATAAAGTGAATACAAATAAAAGAATAAAAAGGAACGAAAAATAATAACCATTAATGGAGACTGTAGCCTGGTTCTTAATCAGAGTGAGTGTACTGGCAGTCTATAGTGTAGGCTGTAGCCTGGTTATTAAGTTTGGTGAGTGTACTGGCAGTTTATAATGTAGACTGTAGCCTGGTTCTTAACCTCGGTGAGCGCACTAGCAGTCTATAATGTAGACTGTAGCCTGGTATTTAAGCTGTTCCTGACACCATTGCAATCATTGAAGATTTGGTTCCAACAAGGACTAAATGCTGATGTTCCAAACCTGGTGAGACACTGCCTTACCATCACTTACTTCACCTGGAATGGTACATTCTGCAAACAAGATGAAGGTACCCCAATGGGTTCTCCCTTATCACCAGTGGTAGCCAATATTTTGTGGAAGAGATACGTGGATGACACGTTCGTCATCTGGCCACATGGCCCACTAGCACTGAACCAATTTCTCAACTACATCAATTTCATACACCCAGCCATGAAATTCACCATGGAATTGGAAAAGGAAGGCAAGTTACCATTCTTGGATGTTTTAATCGAAAAGAGACCAGATGGCTCATTGGGACACTGTCTACGGAAAAGCCACCCACACGAATGCCTATCTGAAACCTGACTCCCACCACCATCCAGCCCAGAAGAATTCCCTCATCAAAACCCTACGCCATAGGGCCTGTTGCATCTCCGACCAGCACCACCTAGCCAGTGAACTGGAGCAAGTTCACCAAGCCCTCAAGATGAATGGATATTCGGACTGCACAATCTGCAAAGCTGTCACCCCAACCTTGGGGAGAGAACCATCTGAGGACCCAGTCAAAACCATCACCTTGTCATACATAGCAGGGGTTACCAAAAATATTTCCAAAATCATGAACAAACACAAGATCCAGGTTTGATTCAACACAGTACATACAATTCGTGATCTGATCCCATCTGTGAAGGATGTGATCCCTGACATGCCCCGGTGTCTACAAACTAAGCTGTGTCTGCGGCAGTAGTTACATTGGGGAAACTAGACGACATGTCTCGGACCGTGTTCGTGAACACAAGGCAGATCTGAAACACGGTAGGACCAATGCCTCGGCTGTGGTTGATCACTGTTTTAACGCTGTGGGCTCACATGAAATAGATTTTTCCAAGACGAAGGTACTACGTAAACCCACTGGCTATCATCAAAGATTTGTCTATGAAGCCATCCAGATATACAAACACAGACACAACCTCATTCGAGAAGATGGGTACAAATTGAGCAATCATTGTAAGGACGTGATTAACCGGGTAAAGTCTTAACCTGCTGTGATGTTTCTATCCTTCCTGCCGATGTTGGCTGACTCTCTTAAGTTGCATTACTAGGTTGTATGTCTTTGTATTGAGATCCTGGATGTCCTACTCGATCTGCCACCGATGCATCATTGGCTTGCTAATCTCTCACAATACAATGGCGACTTCCACAGCCTCAGGGAAATCATCGCCCTCTTACCCTGAGGGGACTCCCATCTCAGGCCTATCTAAGACCTCGTTTCAGTAGCTTTCTCTCTCTCACCTGAAGACGATTGCCTGTGTTGCGATCGAAATGTCGTGATGTATTATTTTTCTATCTACATGACTTTACCGAAAGACCCAAAGAGTATGAATTCGTGCAGTCACGAAAGCTTTAAATCAAGACGTAGCAATGGTTAATAAACTGAGTGCGTGTACTGGCAGTCTATAATGTAGAATGATTTTTTTTGTTCTTTCGGTAATCAAAAAATTAGATACAAATTAAGAACAAAAACCACGACGTTTCTATCACAACAAAAGCGATCGTTTTCAAGGGGGAAAGTCACCGATGGAAACCATTTATAAATGTTTCAAAAATGGGTGTGACACAAGAGCTCCTGTGGCACAACGAAGTGGGCGGGACATATGTGCCCTGGGGTCAGAGAACACCACTGTGAAACACGGAACATGCAGTGCCACAAAAAAACTTCTCGGTGTGAGAACGGAGTGGGCTGGGCATATGTGCCCTGGGGTAAGATAACAAGAAAACGACACGAATCAAGTCATGACTTGACCTGTAACCCGGCTACAGTCTACATGAAAGACTGCCAGTATGTTCACCGAGGTTAAGAACCAGGAACAAGTCTACATTATAGACTGCCAGTGCACTCACCCAGCTTAATAACCTATCTACGTGACTTTACCGAAATAACCAAATAGTAAAGTGAATATCCTGTGGAAGAACTGATTCCCACCATAGGGATGTAGGCTGGCTCTGGACTATCGATGGAAATGAGCACTGCCCCTGTCGCTCATTCGAGCAGGGAGACACTTGGACTCTTTACTTGTCCTGGGCAGAGACCGGCTGTCCATCACAGGAATGTGGAATTTTCATAACTAGCTTAGGACCACCAACTGCAAAAACAGCACCCCATGTTCATTTCAACACGCAGAAACTTTGACTTGGACTATGATATTAAAAGCATATATATTTATCATTCTCCTTGACGTAGCAGCAGTCGAAGCTTGAAGCGAGGTGTATAGAGACGACACGAGCTTGACGAAGGACCATTTGCGGGCTAGTGCTATGCACACCTTGTGCCACACGGAGGGGTTTGGTGGGTGGGTTCTGGGTAGGTGGGTGGGTACTGGGTGGGTGGGTTCCCCTCGGCTAGACTGCAGCAGGGCAGTGGAATGATTGAGATGAGATGCTTTGAGTCGCTGGGCCTTTTAAGCAAATCGCCCTATAAATCTCGTACCTTTTTGATGCTTTCTTTACTCCCGCCCTACCCCCAAAACCCACCCGGCCTTGGTTCCGTGACGTCGATCCCGCAGGCTCCAACTTGGAGCAGCGACTCGGCGAGATGGCGCTGCGCCTGGCGCTCGCGTGCCCGTCGCGCCACTATGCCGGGCGCTCCTTTCAGATGCTGCGCGCCCTGCGTCAGCCGCTGGGCATGCACAGCCTCTCGCTGCTGCTGTCGCGCCTCGTCGAGAGGGTGGGCGACGCGGCGGAGGAGACTCAGGTGCGACGCCCCATTCCCTCGACCTCCCCGCACCACCGCACGCTCTTCCGTTGCTCTCCTCGATTTTAGTTTTGTTTGTCCTGTCATCGGTATTGTCATTGTTCATCGTCACGTGCGTCAGCTTGTCGGGGTTGGGTGCGACTACTTTGTCATTCTGGGTAAGCACACATTTACACAATTGTTAGATGTTTGCAGTCTTTGACAAGTATATTAGCACTAGGTTGAGGACCAATCTTATTCTTAATAAAGTTTTTTCTTTTTGTGTTCGATTGCGTAAATATAAATGTGTCATTAACTCACCACCACCCGACAAAGTCAATTAGTAAGGTGCCCATCACTTACTACTTCAGCTTACTGGTGTGTTGGAGAGTAAACCGACAACATTTGCAGTTTGAGTGACTTTTTGCTGGTGATTACCACCAGCTTCAGATGATTTGCAAAAATTGTGAAGTCTTCCTTTATCTTAAATAGATTGACAGCTTGCTTGTGGTGGGGTAGAGTGTGGGTACTCCCACTTCTTCCAAGTTGTCAGGCATACGTGTAAGAGTAGGTCAAATACCGTCTATATGGGGCTTGCTAGAACTCTCGATTAGCCCCTTTCCGCTAGCAGTGGTGTGAGCAAGCAGTTTCAAGGCCTGCACCTTTAGCTTCAGGTCAGCGGTTAATACCACCCACCTCATGTGTGCTGGCCAGTTATTTGAAAAAAGTCAGAGACACAATTGCATTGTGTTTCTGCACATCCGAGAGCTGCAACTCCCCCGATCGAGAGTTGAGTGCAACATCACTGCGCCATCCAGCTGGATTATGAGACAAAAATTTACAGGGGAGATTTAGTTTACAATTGTGAGAGAATCGGGTGAAACCAAGGGATCCAGGGGACTCTTGTAGCAGAAGGTCGTGTTCACATTTGATTCATGCCCCTTTCATCTTTTTATAAACGTAATTTGTTGTCTGTCCGTCTGTCAGTCCGTCTGTCTGTCCGTCTGTCTGTGGATGCAACTTGCGAAGGATTTGGCTCGCAAACCGTGGGGTTTCCTTTCAAAAAAAATTAGCCAGGTACCACGCCGTCAGCCCCGTGGTGAACCAGCGCTATTCCGTTTTCCCATCTGTCAACTTTAAAGTAGTTAAATTAACAATTCAGTGCTATTCAATATTATTTAATTATTTCCTCGCGCCGCTCAGCATGCATTTGCGCATGCGCTATAAAGCTGACGGGGATTGCCCATAGCAATGCACATGCCTTCGAAGGGAGGGGGGGACATATTTATTTTTCGCTTCAAAAATGCAAAAATAATACAATGCTGAGGTAATTTCTTCAAAGTGTCATGTCCTCTTCTCCCCCCCCACCCCATGTGTGCACTTACCACTATAGGGTCGGTTGATAATAATATTATAGCGCTTAGATAGTATTATTGTAATGGCGGGTGGGGGGATAGTGGGGGGGGGGGTAGCGGCCCAGCCTGCCAAGGTGCCACCTTGGCCAGCTGGGTAATCTAGGCGGGACCGGGGGCTCTGCACGGCAAAGTTAAGTAAGTTATATTTTCTTGCTTCTTTTGCTAAACTCACGTGAGATGGAAAACTAATATTTAAAAAATAAGTTTGCAAATATTTAAATAATAATAATTATTGTGTGTAGACAACTAATTTTTCTAAATTAAGTTTGTAAATATTTAAATAATAATGTTTGTGTCCAAGTCCTTGTGTGCGTGTGAGTTAATGTGCGTGTCTGCGACGGTGTGTGTGTGTACGTCCGTGTGTGTGTATAAGTCGATATGTGTGTGTGTGTCAGTCGATGTGTGTGCGTGGGTCCATGTGAGTGTGTCAGTCCAATTCTCTATGTGTAGGTCCGTGTGTGTGTAAGTCGATGTGTGTGAGTGTGGGTCGATGTGTGTGTGTAAGTCTGTGTGTCAGTCGATGTGTGTGTGTGTGAGTCACTGTGTGTGTACGTCGATATGTCTGCGTGTAAGCAGATGTGTGTGTGGCTCTTTGTGCGTGTGTGAGTCGATGTGTGTGTGTGTGTGTAAGTCTGTGTGTGTGCGTGGGTCCATGTGTGTGTAAGTCCATGTGTGTTGTGTGTTCGTAAATATGTGTGTGTGTGTGTAAGTGCATATGTGTGTGTGTGTGTGTAAGTGCATATGTGTGTGTCTAGGTCGATGTCTGTGTAAAGTCTATGTATGTGTGTGTGCGAGTCCATGTGTGTGTGGGAGCGGTAGTGTAGCGGTTAGCGCGCTGCGCTATGAACCTGGCGACCCAGGTTCGATTCCCGCTCACGGTCAACACCAGTGACGATTATCTTAACCGGTCCTGAGCCTCCCCTAGGTCGACTCAGCCTCAAATGAGTACCTGGTGCAGTGTGTAAACATCGCCACTGGGGAGACAAAGGCGGTCGGGCGTGGTGCTGGCCACCCACCCCCTCGTGTACCGTTCCGGCCTTCATAGGTGCTCGCTAACAGCACTTGCCCCTACAGTCTGTTAAGGTTATATGGGGGATCTTTTTTTGTCTTTGTGTGTGGGTCGATGTGTTTGTGTGTGTGTGGGTCAATGTCTGTGTATGTGTAAGTCGATGTGTGTGTCTTTTTCGCCCGGGCAACGCCGGGAAGTGGCTAGTCTGTGTATATAGGTCCACCCAAGGAATCCTGTTAGTGGGTCTTTGTCACTCATTGGGGCTTTGCTGTGCACCAGGCATTGTACAAACACTATTTTTACTTCACATCTATTTAGGCGTGGCTGGTGTATGTTATTTCACGAATGTAAAATGTATTAAAATACTGATTGAGCAATTTATAGAAACGTTACTTTCGATGGCTCCCATATCTTATGAAAGATTAGATGGTTGTATTGACATTGGTGAAACACACGTAGAGGCTTTGAACATAAATATTTTCAGTGCGTTATTTTATGAGAGCATCGATAAATGGATCATCCCTGTGTATCTGTACCAACGATCTTAGCTCACAATCAGAAGGCTGTGAGATCAAACCCAACTCGGCCCATCATCTCTATCATGTCAATAAAATGAGTACCACTTTTGTGGGAAGTCATCCCATATATTGAATGGCCACAAAAATGTGGAATTTCACCACTGGCTCCGGGCTGCCAATGGAGATGATTTCCACTCCATGTCTTGTTTATAAATAAAACTTTTTAAACAGAAAATGAAGTAAATTTTTGTTTACTAACAAAATGTTTTTTTTCTGACTTAGCAATGTGTATGTTGCGTTACTTTAAATTTATTTGCTTTATTGCTGACATGCAATAACACAAATAAATATAAAGTAACTGTCCACAGGTCATCAATAATGTATCACCGTGAGTAATGGTGTCTGTTTTATTTGACAGGGAAATGTCCTGGAGGTGCTTTTGACTCTGGAAACCGCCGTGGATACAATAGCGGAGTGCTCCAAACTAAACAACTTTCTCATTGCATTCTCTGGGTGAGTGGCATTAAGCAGCACTAAGCAAAAAATGGCACATCATAAAGGACATTCGGCCAAAGATGGTGATGTAACGTCTAGGTTTTTCCCCCAACCGTGGTGTATGGTTCTGCTTCGGTACGTAGTTTCTGGAATAGAAAATTAGAACATGCCTCAAGCTTTGCCATGACATTGGAAATGTTACTAATGGGATGGCAGGTCTGGTCCAAATGTCTCCATGCTCAAATGGGCATGAAAACACCCCCATGCGACACTCATCGCTGTTCCTCGCCCTGAGCCAATCAATGCAAATTTGCATTTATATTGGAGTTTTCATTCTTTCCCAGTAGGACGCCTGCATCCTGTAAAGTGGGGTATGCAGTTTGATGTGTGATAGACTGTTAAGAAAAAGAAGTAATTCAGTGTTGGTAATTAATTATTGAACATGCTTGTAATGCAGTGCGTTTGGAGGAAGGGTTGCTAGAGGTCTCAGATTTCATTACGTGTGGTGAAACTCCCATAACCCACTAGGACACGAGGTGGCCAGGCAATGGCAAAACATCCAATGGTTAGAAACCCATCAGTATGGCTTTCAGGCTAAGTTTTTTTTATTTTAGGAAAGGCAATACATGCGTAATGTTGATTTATTTTTTTCTATTCATAATCGGGACATCAGCAAATGTTTATAAAAAAAAATTCTGGCAAAGGTGAACTTTCATCAATGAGAGAATCTGGCTGTTGGAGTGCTGTCTCTTCTTATCAGAGCAATGTGATATTTAAAAAAAAATGTCCTTGAAGAATAATTTCACAAACTTCTTCAATGCAGAAAACCTGCTCACAAAATAAACTGAGACTTGGTGAGACTTCCCTGTGAAAATGTAGTACAGTAAAACCTTGGATTGCGAGCATAATTCGTTCCGGAAACGTGCTTGTAATCCAAAGCACTCGTATATCAAAGCACTCGTTTATTAGTTGTGATCACGTGACGCTCGGCAGACAAAGCGTATACGTACTACTACTCGTATTGCAAGAACCTCGCTCGTTTATCAAATTAATATTTATTTAAAATGTTTGCTCGTCTTGCAAAACACTCGCAGACCAAGTTACTCGCAATCCAAGGTTTTACTGTATATACTTGAGCCATTGTATATTACATTTCCTACTGTGTAAGTTTTCATGGTTGCACTGTAAAGTTCTTTACTATGCGTGTTTGGGTTGTACCACGTGTTGTTTGCATGATATCCGACGTTTTCTCCACACGCTGCGAGCTTCTTTAACTACTCGTGCAGGAACGGTACGACCTGAGCGCACGTCGGAGATTTATTACATTCATTTATCGCCTCTCTGTTGCTCAGCTCCCTGGACCCGGCGCTCTCCACCAAGATGGAACCGAGCCGCTGCAGCACGGGGCAGCTGCATCTCAGCTCGAGCCCCATCCGCACTGGTAGCCTGTCGAGTTGCCACAGCGCCAGCCCCAACATCATCATCAGCAACATCATCAGCGGCATGGGCAGGCGCAAGCGCAGCAACTCGGCCTCGCAGAAGCACGCGCTGCTGGCGGATGGGGGCTCCGAGTGGCGCAGCATCACGCTGGACCGTCCGTACGAGCGCGTCCGTCGCAGCAGCCCCCTCGCCAAGGCCCGCAGCCTCACCTCGCTTGCCGATGGTGGCGGTGATGGCGGAGCGGCGGGGGGCGTGGCGGGGTCGGGAGCGGGATCGGGGATAGGCACGCCGCCATCGGACCCCTTGGCTCTGCTCACGGTCATGTTCTGGGGGGCAAGTGCCCTGCTCGAATCGGACTACGAGAGCGAGTATCTCATGGGACTCCGCCTTCTCGAAAGGCTGCTGGGTGAGTTCGGGCAGTCAGCTCGGCAAGCACGAGACGCAGAATCCAGCCAATTTCTCACCAGAGTAGTTGTAACCCATCGTGTCCCTGGGTAAACAAGCTTTGTAATAATAACATTAACGTTAGGGAACAGCCCACAGAAGCAGATAATACAGAAGCTACCTTTGAAAGCCCTTGAAGTAACTTCTCATCGACATATCAGTGTGCAGAATTGTCCCACGTGGTAAATATGTGGGTAATGTTCGACCCAAGGCAGTCAAACCAATATATTTTGTTCAATTAATGGACGACCAAATTTAAGTTTCCAGGAAGATTGACCCAATCCTTCATCCCAATTCCAGGGTCGATACCATAATTACCTAATTTGGGCATTAATCGTGGGCCATGACTGTCATCACCATAGCAGCGTGGCAATTATTTTGACAACGATTAAGTCACGGTCGATGATGGCTTTCGAGCAGTTATTGGCAAACTGTGACTTGAACCGAGTGAGCTGCATTTGATTCCCGGCCACAGGTAACATCGGCATCGAACGGTATGGAGAAGTATGGTCAAACGTCTCCCGTGACCGAAAAGGCGTGGGCAGTCCTCCAGCAATAGCTTGACCAAGGGCAGTACAGCATTTTACATACGTAATAAATGAGTGCTGTTCATGGTCATTTGAGCGTGAAGCTTACAAATACAATCTAGATTTGAAGTTTTCGTGACTGCAGGGATTCCATACTCTTTGGTTCTTTCGGTAAAGTCACGTAGGTATAAAATAAAATTAAATCACGACGTTTCGGGCGCAACACAAGCGTCCGTCATCAGGTGGGGACAACCACACCAAGAAACAATTGCTGAAGTGGGCAAAAGGGCTGCTGTAACAAGAGGCTATTGCTCCTCCCCCCCTCTCTTACCGATATATTTATAATTCATAATAGATTTATTTTATTATGAACTATAAATAAAATGATAAAAATAAAACATTGTAAAATTATTTTATTATGTTTTATTTATCATTCATAATAAAATTATTTTATTATGTTTTATTTGTATTATTTTACTTCCATTCTACGTGACTTTACCGAAAGAACCAAGACGATAATTGGTGATGCTCCATTGGCAGTGATTCACAAGCACAATTGAAAAAAAAAACCTTCCCACGTTCATCAAAAAACATTTCCTCAAAGGACAGATATATATAACAGATGACATTTCTTGCATTAGCCCTTTTTCATAATATGTACATGTGGGTGGCAGCACTCTCCCCCCACGTACTCTGCTTCAGAGAAAAAAAATGTTCGTTTAAGTGACAGTCAACCAAAAAAAAGTAAACATTTTTGGTGGAAATTGTTGCGAGTTCACGTTTAGTACAAAGTTTGTCACATTGCGGTGGAATTTGTGTCTTCTAATCTGAGAGCTGGAATTTTGCCATATTTTAGTGAAAAGCCAAAATTAATATGCTTGGTTTTTATGCAGTTCTTGGTAACCAGACTGAGGGCCAGCAGCTAATTAAATGTGGAGGGAAAATCCGGAGGACCTGGAGAAAATTCCATGCGACCACAGGGAGAGAAAAATAAAGACACGCAAACTCCAAATATACAGCAGGCATCAGGGTCGGGATCTAACCTCCGACCTCCTGTAAACAAGGCGTGGTAGTTAACATCTCACCATGGCTGATAATCTGGCGTTTCAGGTCAGCCATCGGTGAACTTGGTTCATCTTCATATATACTGTACTACACAATTACCATGTTTTGGTCTTCCTCAGTGCAATGTAGTCTCTAATAATTTGGCTAAGTTTGCCTATCTTCGACACTATCTTCATTAAGATGGATACATTTTGTCTCATTGGCGTTCAGTCCCTGGTGGGTAGTTGTAATCATCACCATGCTTGATGATGTTCACCCACTATGTCATTGATTTAAAATTTTAAATAAAAGTTTTATTGATGAATATTTTCGTCAATAATTTCATTGCCAGGCATCAGCCTGCATAGAAGGCAACAAGGCTGCGCTTAATTGTTATTTCCTTCAAAAATGAAAGTCTCGCCCTGTTATGATTGGGGTCAACGTGCAGTCTGACACCGCTGCCCATTCACCGCATGTACAAGAGATACGGACGCTATACATCTAGCAACTCCTGATGCCATCAATTGGCATCGGACACTACCGTGGCGAGATGTCAACTACCTCGACCTGGTATGGAGGAGGTGGGTTAGATCCTGACCCTGAATCCTGCTGTATATTTGAAGTTTGCATGTCTCTCTCCCCATGGTCCTGTGGATTTTTCTCCAAGTTCTCCGGTTTTTGCCTCCACATTCAAAAACATGCGTTTAGAGTATTTGGCTCCTATAAATTTCCACGTGAGAAGCAACTTCGTTGAGCTATCATTTGTGGCCAGGTCACTTATTAAAAATACCTATATAGCTCAGTGGGCCTTACCTGGTAAAATAAAAATAGTTTAGTTTTTTTTTAGTTTTAAGAACTCCGTTGGGAACACAATAATGGAATTCTGCACATGGTTGCCACTTGCCCTGTCTTCCCAGGAACATCCCCTATTTGAAATCGCTGTCCTGGTATATCTGTTAATGTTCCTAGGACATTGGTCATCCTGTTTTTTGTTAACCCTTTTCCATTCTGATGCCGTACATGTACGTCATCGGGATTGGATTTTTTTTTTGCGGACTTGTCGGTCACTTTTCAAATGCCGTACGCAAAAAAAGTAAGATCAAGTTCATGTGAAAAAAGATAACTTTTCCGTCCCTACACCCCTCATTGGGCTCCTACCACTGACGCAGGCCACGCGCTACCTCTGGATGATGGAGCCAGTAGCAAGGTGTGGGAGCGCCTGGAGAAGGCCCTGGCCCAGCTGCGGTGGGCCGGATTCCCAGGCCTGCAGCTGCTGCTGCTCAAGGGGCTGACGTCCCAGGCCACTGTGGAGCTCACGACACGCCTGCTCAGCCGCCTCACCCCCGTCTCCCGTGTCGCCGTTATCGACGCCTCCCAGGCAACAGGTGAGGGCTGCGAATCTGTGCCTCACCTTTGTCCATGGTCACCTTGTAAAACAATATACTTTTACCCTACATTTACACATACTGTAACAAAAATATATCGTATTTTTGACGCTATAAAACACGCCTTATTTTAAGGTAAAGGTTGGGCGGGTGAGGTGCATCTTATAATCTGGAGACTTCATGGTCTTCTGGAAAGCTGTGGTTTAATATAGTTCAGGGATCGGCAACCTGCGGCTCCGGACCCGCATGTGGCTCTTTGGGGGCTGCTTCGTGACCACCGTCTTGTATTCACCACCACAGTGCATTGCCGCTCTTGAAATATTTAGGGTTTTTTTCACCGAATTCTCAAAAAGTGGCTCTTGTTACTTTGGTGGCTGACCCCTGATCAAGTTGTTATTCATTTCAAAGGCATGATGGGCTGAGTTGACCTCTCGCTGTGGATTTGAGCTTATTCTTTGCGAGTCAAACTCTATTATCACAGAGCTACCACACTATGCAAAATTACAGTATAACGATGGGGGGGAATAGTGGCACAGCGGTTCCGGCACTGTGCTGTGCATCCCGTGACCCGAGTTCGATTCCTGTCTGTGGCTAAGATGAGTGGTGAGTGATGACTGAGTGAATCGCTCCTCCCCCCCCCCCCTCAAGCCGTTAGCAGCCCACAGCGACCAGCGTGGTGGATTGACAAAGAGCTGTGAACTGCCAATGTGTTTTTTTATTCGACAACATGTACGAAACGCAAGCGCTCGCACGTTGATTTATTTTGTACATAGGGACATTTATGATACGTTTCCGGGTAAAAGGGCCAACTCAATTGCATTTGACTTTAAAACAAATTCTATCATTATCAGGTGTGAACAAGCTCCGATGCTTTTTGGTTTATAGATGTCCACCATCACTGCGGTGTTTGGATCTTATCACCCGTAATAATATGAGGAAGGCAACGAGATAGGTCGCCATTATGTGGAGGGAAAAGATAAGAAAAAATAAACTAGTTCATTAAAAGGCCTATCTTGTTATGATAGATAACCCAAGCTGTGCGATTAGAGATGAAGGTTTTTTACAAAGTGAAACATTTTGATGATGCACATTTATGGTTCAATAGCGACACGATACTGTGGGTAGAGGCATTGGTGGTTTTGCCAGTGTGCCTCTCGTTGACTTGGCATTGTCACCCCATGCTGAGATCTTCTCATTGCCGTCCCTCCTTGAACAACATGACTGCCGTGCAGTGCATACAGCAGCAGCAGCCCCAGCCCCAAGCCTCAACGCATAATGAGCCCCAGTGTCTATTAAAATAATGAGGAAACACCCTCAGCCAAACCCAAGTGGCTATCCGCAACTTGTAGTGATTATGTCTGGTGTGCATTGCCTTCAGCTAGTAGTCCATGTGTTATCACAGATTGGACTATTTTATTAACCGTAATTGCCCAGTAACTCCTGCGAGGAAGTATCAGAAGTATTCCCTGCATTGCTCATTTGTCAAATCAACGTGGAAGACGACCCCATGTGCCGTTGTCACCTAGTGGGTTTGCGGCCGTTTTCTCCACTCATTTGCGATTTTCGTGCGATTGTGTGTGCGCGTCGCAGGTTTCCCGCTTAACGTCCTGTGCCTCCTGCCACACCTGGTGCTGCACTTTGACAACCCCACACCGTTCTGCAAAGAGTGCGCTGACAAAATAGCGAAGGTAAAGTCCGCCTTTCACGACTGTGCCGACCGAGCCAGGTGGCTCTCAAGGGGTTAAGTAATGAGCCGGAACCGTTGAGATATCCTGGATTTTAATCCCGACAGCCGCCAGTGATTAAAGTTTGTTCTCGAGTGTAGCGATTTAGTGGTCTCAGTCCAGTTACCAATGATTGCACAAAACCCATTACGTTACATTTTGGTCTTCCACTGACGATGGCAAAATTCCAGCTCTGGTAACAAAATGCCTTTGGCCGTTTGTGGGTGCAGGTGTGCCTGGAAGAGAAGACGACGAAACTGCCCAACCTAGCCCACGTGATGTCAATGTACAGCAACCGCACGTACACGCGCGACTGCACGGTGTGGATCAGCGTGGTGTGCTGCTACATCCACGACACCTATGGCGACTACACACTCAACCTCGTGGGCTACTTGGCAGAGGTGACGAAGCATTCCTCTATACCAGCACAGAAATACTGTCGTACGGATGCTCACCATATATATGCTTAAGACCTTATTAACCCTTTCCCGTTCCGACGACGGACATGTACGTCATCAGTTTTCCGATTCTGTTCCGGTGACTTACACGTTCCGATGACGTATTTGTAAATACGTGTATGTCATCGGAACAGAATCGGAAGAAAAACTCAAACAAAATAACCTAATCGGTAACGAGGTACCTAACAAGGCCATGCGGGAGGGCGTGGCACAGTTTGGCGCCAGCTATCATATAGAGTGCAGTCGTGTCGCTACAGTTCTCTACGGTGACTACAGTGTTTTTAAGAACAATGGCGCTACGCCTCTCTAAATAAAATTAACGCCGAACCGCATTCGCGTTGCGAGATTCAGCGGTGAACAGGATCATCCCTGCAACTTGGAGACGTCTCGGAAAGGGAAATGGTTAAGACATAGAATTGTCGAGGTGTGGTCCTGAGATTGTTTGCTCACGCCACTGCTGGTGAAAAGGTCTCTGATCGAGTGAACTTGAGGGGGTCCATAACAGAGTTTTTTTTGGGATATATCGTGTAAATTTAAATGTGTTTTTGAACCCGTCACCACCCAACACAGCCGCCAATCAGCAAGGTTTGTCACTTAAACGGAACATACCAATTCGTTACTAGTACAGTACAACCGGTGTGTTGGAGAGAAAATCCAAAACATTTACAATCTGAGTTCGACGTTTCGCCAGTAATTTACAACTAGCATCATCAGGCAACAGCCAGATTTACCGACATTTACGCGCTCTAACCCAAAACAACCTGCATTTTGGATGATATTGGTCATGATAGCCCCTATGTGTTAAACTGAACTTTTGAGGTTGTTTGGACTACTCTTCCACATTGACTAAATGTGTTGGAAGAGGGGTGCATAAGCACACTCTACCTCGCCACACGCGGAGCTGCGGAGCAACCGACTCTGCTGTGCCCGTGTGGTACTGCGGAGTAGAAAGAGGCGGGGGTGATGTGAGAAACGTACCCCATTGTTTTAACTGGTTCCGCCGGACGATTTAATGGAAACGGCAAGCTTGGGATTGCAAGTCCAGTGTGTAAACTGCTATGCCGTGCAAGCTCCCTCAGGCAATATTATATATGCTCATATGTTTCACGCCTTATTATATATGCGTATTTGCTTTACACTTTGTGAGATGTTTTCTCGCGAGACTTGGGAAACTGTAATATGAGACTGCAATTAATGTGCCTCGAAGTTAAGTTTTTTATTATGGCAAAATTATTTAAGCATGGGTCCTTCGCAGAAGACTAATGTAGCCCTGCTGTCATCCTGGATTAATATCAGGCAGTCACCCATGCCTAAGTCATGTTCTTGCGTGTAGCTTTAATGTTTAAGTCTAATCACCAATGAATGCATAAAAATCCCTCTATAAACATTTAATGTTACGCTTAATTCTTCCAAGATCTGCTTCGAGGGTTTATTTTTCAGATAGAATGAGCAATGAACGTGTATACGCACAACTAACAACTGCATCATAGTTGATACATAAAAGACCCTTTGAGAATATTGAGAAAAGGCCCCGTGATTTCGGCAGAACTCTGCTCTAGTGGTAAAAAAAACATAACACAGGAATGCATAATTGAGCGCTACAGGTTTACTCAATGGATGGATGTTTAATTGTGAAATTAATTGCACAAGACGAATGAAAGGATGTGTGTGTGTGCGTGTGCCAGTGTGCGGCGCATGTGTACGTGTGTTTCGGTGGGAGGGGTGGCACAAAGGCTCGTTCGCGTTACTAACCTGGCAAACTGGGCTCGGTTTCCAGCCAACGATAACATCAATGGGAAGTGGTGTCTAAACCTGTGCAGGACCTCAAGGTCAACTGGGCCTTTAATAACTAATCAGCGCAAAACGTAAGGCAACGGCCCCGGAGAGATACAAAGGTGGCTTGTAATATGGGCCTTCACCACCCCCTACCATCGGTCGTGCCTACCCTGGGTGCTCGCTCACAAACCCGTGCCTCCTGTAACGGCAAAAGCGAAGGTGCGCGGCACCTGCAATTGCTTGCTCGTGCCACTGCTGGTGGAAGGGCCCACGACTGGGGGGGGGGGGGGTTATTTTGGCATTCTCTCTTCCACGCTGGAGCGTGATGCTTTGGAAATAGGTGAGAGTACCCACGCTTAGCGCCACAACAGGCAACCTGCCAAAAAGGAGAAACTGAAGGTCCCCATGTGTACGTGCACGCGTCTGCACTTGTTTCCTTACATATCCGCACCTCCGATTTTAGCACGGTTGGATTCGTACGGTGCGAAAAAAGTTCAACATACATTCATACGTGATGCCCATACATCGCAACGCCCATTCATACTTCTGGGTGCACAGAGGTGCGTGGCGGGGGACTTAATAAACCTGCACCATCGTTTCAACTGCTGTGCCGGGAAATCGAACCGGTGACCTACTTTGACAAGTTCGTTGTGCGCTAACTATTATGCTGCATTACACCACAGCGGCATCCCTTACCCCTGGAATGCATGAGGCTAAATGGATCGTTATTAGTGTGTGTGTGTGTACCGGCATTGGGGAGCGGGTGGTGTAGCGATTAGCAAGCCGCACTATGAACACGGTGATCCGGGTTCCATTCCCACTCACAGCCAACACCAGTGACGATTATCTGAATCGGTTCTGGGCCTCCCCTCGCTCGACTCGGCCTCAAATGAGTACTTGGTGAGGTGTGTAAGCATCGCCACTCAGGAGACAAAGGCAGCCAGGCTTCGTGTTGTCCACCCACCTTCCCTCGTGTGCCCGCAGCCGGTCTTCAGAGGTGCTCCCTAGCAGCACTTTTCCCAACAGTCTGTTAAGGCTACACGGTGGGGGGGGATCTTTGTCTTTGTGCCGGGCAGCTGCTGGAAAAGGGTCTGGCCAGCATGCAGCGCTCCATCCTGCTCACGATGCACAGCCTCCTCAGCCAAGTGGAGCTCACGGCCGCTCCCCTCAAGCACTTCAACCTAGAAGTCATGAAGGTCGTCAGCAAGTATGTCCAGGTATGCGTACTGCCAGCAGGGAGATCTCCAAGGGGCACTCGGAACGGTGGTTGGCTTTTGTGTTGTTTCCTTCGTCTCGCAGTAAATGTAGGATCATGCAGACCGAAGATATTTCGCTGTTGTCTAAATTACCAACATCTTTCATGCTTACTCTCACCCACAGTGACTTATTTCTTGAATGCACAGTAATGAGCCATATGTCTGTGTTGTGCTCCTATTTTGTTTACTTCTATAAAACTATTAACTTTTTTTTTATTTTACGAGGTAAGGCCCACTGAGCTATATGGTTCTTTTTCATCAGTGACCTGCCTATCACAAATGATAGCTCAACAAAAGTGGCTCATCACGTGGACATTTATAGCAGCCAAATACTCTAAACTATCATTTTAAAACCTTTACTCTCTTCGGCAAACGACAGCATTTTTTTGTGAGTTGGCCGGCGTTCATATTGAATTCGAAATGTGCAGTCGGTCACCCGTGACCACGTTGGTAGCTGGTAGAAGCTGGCCCCACCCACCTCGCTCACCAATTTTGAGTGTATTTTTATCTTCAGCTGTTAGCACAATACATTTTTACCAAAATGCCTTTAACTCCTTGTCATCTGTTATTGCACGTGTGAACAGGCAGTTTAAGGCTGTCGTGTTCTCTCGCTGTGTGTGTATGGTCCTTGAGATGCGTAACACTGTCCATTACTCGTTGATCCAGATCACTCTTGCAAAAGAGACTTGTCATCCCTACGAGTTCACACCGAGTGAAATTAAGCAGAGGTAAAGGTGCGGCCCTGCACTCGCTTGCTGATGCCAATGCCGGCGAGAGGTCCCTCCGTTTGTGCAAAGCCCTCGAGCCACTTGGAGCCCCTGGTGGCCTTCAGTGCGGCCCCTTATGTGCGACCCCCGACACAATACACAAATGGTGAAAACACCCCTTTTCAGGCGGTGTGGTGGCCCTCCCACTGAAGATCTCTTATCGGTGACAACGGTCCCCTTCCCTCTGAAAATGAGTGAAGATCCCTGATTTGTAGGCACGAGAGACGCTACATAGAGCGTTTGACCTACTCTTCCACCCTGACCAGATGATTTGAGGGGGGGTGGGAGTTGCCACACTACACCACCACATGGAACCCCTGCCGATTGATTAACTACGGTTTACCCATTTACAGTACTGGGTAAACAGGGGCTGGAGGATTTAAGAAATATGCCCATTGTTTCCAATGCTGTGCCAGGAGAATGAACCAGTGACATCTAGATTGAAAGTCTAATGGTTGCTGTGACCATTACACCATAGCAGCATCATAGAAATAAAGTATATTATTACTCTGACTATCCCCAGAGCCCGCACTGGAAAGAGGCACTCAATATCCTAAAGCTTGTGGTTGGCCGATCAGCCAGCCTTGGTGCCTCCAGCTCTGTTGCGGGAAATGCCTACAAGGGTCTGCCTGGAAAAACCCTGGAGTTCCAGTTTGACATCACAGAGGTGAGTGTGCATTCACGATGTCTTCGCACCATGTCGAGATTGTCGTATGCCGAGATAATATATTGCCTCCCCGTACTGCGAGGCACCAATACGTGGTAGTGCTTCACACGTGGGTTCAAGCGATCTTGATCAGTACAAGTACTCATGTAAATGTACAGCCATTGTTAGTCCGCTGTTGATGAGGGCCTCCACCACACGATTTGGGTCGTGGGGGTTATTTGACCATACTTCACACCGTTGCTGGTTAGTAAGATTTTGCGTTGCGTAGAAATGCAATAGAAGTATACTTTTTCCACTCAGCTCTCTGCTGCCGACGATACAGCCGACCAATCTATCGCCTTTAACAGCTGTCATGCATGGGTGGTCTTCCATCCAAGCACTTTCAGGATCTTCTGAGATTGGGAGCATTCTGGGCGATGGGGGCTCCACGTATGAATGTTTTTGTGTGCATGCATGCATGTTCATTCGCGCTCGTGTGCATTTTTCTCTCAACGGGGAGAGCGGTAGCGTGCGGCACGCTGCGCTACGAACCCAGCGTCCCGAGTTCGATTCCCGCTCATGGCCAACGCCAGTGACTGATTATTTGAACCGATTTTGGGCGTCCCCTAGGTCGACCCAGCCTCAATTGAATACCGAGGACGATGTGTAAAAACATCGCCACTCCGGAGACAAAGGCGGCCGGGCGTGGTGCTGGCCACCCACCCCTTTTGTGTGCCGTGCCTGGCCTTCATAGATGCTCGCTAACAGCACTTGCCCCAACAGTCTGTTAAGGCTACACGGGGGTCTTTGTCGTGGCTCGCGAACCTCAGATCCCGATAGTTGGGAAGCGGCGGGACGATCGGTTGGGTCGACTGGGGCCGGACGGGCTCCTGCGCGGCATGGCGGTCAGTCGCAGCGTCTCCTCCGCCTCGTCCGGATCGGGAGCCGGATCCGGAACTGGGACCGGGACGTTGCTCCACGTCGGTTGGAAGAGACCCCATCTGTCGCAGGTTGGCAGGAAACACCTAGTGGGGGACGTTTATCGCCACCGTGCATAGAGTGATCATTCAGGTCAGGTCAAGTTCGTCCCCACGTTCAAAGAAGTCATAGCGAGTAGTGCTTATTTCCTCTGGAAGACTTAACCCATTAATGGAAAGTCCATGTTTTTGTGACAGGGGCCAGTTATTTTTCTGTTATTTTTCTGTTATTTTTTTGTTATTTTCTTTGACTTTACCAAAAGACCCAATAATATAGAGGCCAGTTCTTTTCATAAGGCAATCGATGCGTAAGAATGAGAGTCAAAAACTTGAATCAAATTGCCACCAAGCCAGATCACTTATTATTATTCCCCACTAATCATCTCTCTTCATAATAAAGGTTTTTTCGTTAGATCGCGTTATTTATAAATGTGTCGCAACCCTCCACCACCCAACACGGCCAATCAGTAAAAAATGTGTCATGTTGACAAAAGACAAATAGTTCACTACTTTAGCCCACCGGTGTGTTGAAGAGTGAATCCACAACATTTACAATTTTTGAGTACGACATTTCGCTGGTAATTACATCCAGCATCATCGGGCAATTTGCCAGAATGGTAAAGCCCTCACTTGCTCCAGATCTTAAATAGAGCAGCAGGGTGCCGTCATCATTTAACCCAATCAGGTGCAGAGATCAGAGGCGGAGAGGGGGGGATATTGTAATTATATAATAGATTAGTAATCAGTTCATTGTTATGATTAGTAATCAGTTGTAGATTAGTAATTAGTTATGTGTATTATTTAATAACTGAACCCAATCACGATACCCAATCAGGTGCAGAAATCAGAGGTGGCGGAGGGGGGGGGAGGGCATTAACAGGCACATGGGAAGAAAAAAAAACATACAATGAATTTAAACAACGTAACCTTGTTCTTCCCCCTCACCTCCGGTCAGCACGGTTCGCTACGTACAATGCAAAATAAGTTGATACGAAAATACAAAGCATTTAAAAGGAACACATATAGTGCCAGGGTTGTGTAGTTCAATGTTTCAGTGAGATACTTCTGCGCTGTGTCAAAGTGTTGACTTAACAGCCCCGGCCTCGCGCGTTTTGCCCGGCTTTGTTTCACAGCGGAGGGTACGAGAGCGACTGGTGAACGTACTGTCCCTTTGCGGTGAAAAGGTTGGCCTGACGAAGAACCCATCCGTGAGTAGTGAGCCCTTGCACCCATCGTAGTGGCTCCAATTCGTTAATGTGGCCACGTGGCGCTGATAAGAGAACTTGATTCACGAGTTGCATGGGTTGTAGATTTGATCCCTGATTTATTATCTTTGGGTCGGTGGGCAAGTCAACAGGCACCCATCATGTGGTTAGATTGACGCCCATCGTAGCTGTGTGCAACTCTTAACCACTTACTCAGGGCCCCCAACGAACACGAGCGCCGTGCCCAACTCATTCGAGAAGGGAGACAATTGGACTCTGTATGAGACCGCATCACAAGGTATACACTTCAAGGTGAACTTGTTTGACCTTTGACCGTGAACTCTGTGGTAAAAGTTAACAGCTACAATTCCCATTCGTTTACATGAACACATGGCCATTCGTTGTCATGACCAGAAGCCCATTCGTTGACATGAGCACTAACCCATTCATGTGCATGAACACGTGGCCCATCGTTGACACGTGCATGCTCGGGCCTGCGTGGGGTGACCTTACAGGTGATCTTCTCGTCCGACGGGGAGCTCGAGCTGCTGGAGCAGCAGGCGGGGCTGGGCGGCAGCTGCGAGGAGGCCGGCAGCCAGGACATTGAGTCGACGGAAGACACGACTAGCGAGCAGCAGTTTGGCGTCTTCAAGGACTTTGACTTCTTGGACGTGGAGCTCGAGGACGTGGAGGTGAGGGCTGCGTTGTGCGCGTCTGGCCGAGCGGCGGTGCCGGCAACACATTTGGCTGGTGTGCGGTGCCGGTGGGGTCATCGTGCTGCAGTGGAGTCCGCATGGGACACGTGCGCTCGGCGTGCCTGTAGGAGAAAGGGTCAAGTCGGTGTCTGGTCTATTGATGTGAAGGTTTGAACGCGTTTTCCCCATGATAGTTCCGTCGATGATGTGTTTCCGGGTCGTACCCGCATGTTGTTTGGCACGATGTCAGATGCTTGGCTCCACGTGCCGGGAGCTTCTTCAGGAACTGCCAACATGTGGAGTGTGGCGTCTCGCATTGTGCGGGACAGCACCGCGACGGAACACGAAAAAAAAAAAACGTCCCAGAGCGATGCAAGTCCGAGGCCAAGATCCTTGCTTCTCATCAGAAGTTACGACGTCTGAATGTGCCAGTTTCCATTGTCTCAAGCTCCGTAGAAACACGTATCAATCTCAAGTTGCTGGGTGTTACACTCGACAGACGTCTCGCCCTTTGAATCACGCATCAGCGCGTTAATCCGGTGATGCGCTCACCACACCCGAGCGCCACGTGACATCGGACAAGGATGCCGCAGTACCGTCACTTGTAGTCAAGTTTCCACATTTATTGATTATCTCAACTTCCTGCTGTACGGAGTCAACAATCATCTTGGCAAACGCCACCAGCGTCTCCAGAACACCCTCCTAATCAGAACCGTTTGCCTGGCCCCCACGTCTTGCGAGCTCTTCAAACCCTTTGAAGTCGCTCTGCACTGGTTACCCGTGCTCGAGAGAGTCCAGTTCAAGGTCCGCAAGCACTCGATTTCATAGCAAAGAGAAACCGGTCAACCAACCTACCTGAGCAATGCCATCCAGCCATATGTATCATCACAAAAGCTACACTCATCTCCTATGGAGAAGGGTTGCTCTGTGTGAAATCCACTGAGCTTCGGAGAGCAGAACTAAAGTTTTGTATCTGCAGCCCCATGGTCTGGAACAGTCTGTGCCAACTTAAGTCAGCTCAGCCGTGACAATTGGTGCTTTTAAGACCAGACTCAAAATGTTTAGTTACATTTTCTCAGTGCCATTCATGTTATGCATCTCGATGTCTTTCTGACTACGGTGCATTATAAATCTGATTGAAATTATAATAATAGGGTTTTTCCCCTTTTTTCTGGCAACAAAACTGAAACCATATCACAATGATTCATGTCTTCATTAACCACAATACTTGCAGCCAAAAGGCCTTTTGGCGTCATCTGGTCGAGCACCAATTGGGTCGAGGCTCAAAAGAAAGCCGTCCCTTGGTGTGGACCAATCAGTTTCAAGGACAATGCCACATATATTATCATAGTGTGTTTTTTGTTTGCATTATGACTGCAAGTATTGTGGTTAATGCAGTAACATGAATCCTTGTAATAAGGTTTCAGTTTTGTTGCCAGAAAAAAGGGGGAAAACCCTATTATTATTATTATATATTGGTACTGGCAAAGGAGGTCTAATGATGATGTAATTATATGATTATCGTTCCCTTGCGGGTGAAAATTGAGCCATTGTCTCATGCTCAAACTTGCAATGTGGCAGCTTTTCAGTGACTCTTGAGGTTCACATTCCCATACCACGGCCAGTGATCATACTTTGGATGCACCGGCTCCTGTCATGGGAAAGTGGAATGTTGACGACTGAGCATCAAGAATCAAGACGACCGCTCTCCCACTGTTTGTGCAAGGAAACACTTTGGCTTACTTTTGCTTCGTTCGATGCCCACATTAGAAGTAGGTTATGGATTAGAATATGTATTTATACTGGAGGAATCCGATGAGCTATAAAGCTCTTTTGCACAAATATCCAGTAGTTTTCACAGACGAATGCCATAGCACGGGTGGGGCGGGGCGGCTGGAGGCGCAGAGCAATCCCGCTCGCAGACCCCGCGGCGATCCTGCCCGTCCCGAAAGCCTGGTCACGGCACAGCGCCATGCGAGTTGGCCAGCCTTGGGTTGTAATGCAAAGAAATTCCACCATGGCTTATGCGCCAGTCAGACATACATTGCATGGGAGGAATTCTTGAAAGCCACAGCAAGGAATGGAGCAAGTCAGAATGATGGGGGACTAAACAAAAGGCCACGACTAAATAAAATGCAACTCTCACAGTCGACAGGACGTTCCCACCCACACTCGCTGTCAGATTAAAACCATCTTCACGATGCATATGAAGGCAAGCGTGTTTGCAGCGTTATTTACCCGCAAACGCACTGGGATAGCCCCGGCAATCTCTCACCCGTGTGTGCTACATACTCGGTTTGATTTATCCAACGATGGTGGTTTCTACCAGATTCCACTCGTGGTATTTCTTTAACAAGGCGTGCTGGCCTGTTGCTGCCAACCTGGTTCGGTCATTTTCCTGTTGAACCAAAAACAGCCTGTCTAGTAGTATAGATTATTTAAAGCCACATTTCCCAATATTCTATGGTCTCCATGCTTGAATAAGCATTGAATAATGTTCATTTCCATTGGTGGCCTTTAGCCAATGATGGAAATTACATATTCCGAAGGCGTGGTCATCGATGATTATGAGTATTAATGGCAGGGACCAAATTATAGTGAAATTCATATGGGAAGTCAGACATTATTTGAAGCCTATAATTCAAGGCAGTGAAATGGACTTTAACGAAAAGTACTCTTCTAGATACTTAATTGTATCTATACTTGTGTGTGTAGTCCTATTTTTATGCACAGCACTTTTAGATACTTCTACATGAAAGGTGCTTCATAAAAGAGTGGCTCTTCTTATTATTATAGATACAGTTAGCCACAGGATGTCTGCTACGGCAGAAACACGCTCCGACAGAGCTTTGAAAGAAATGTTGGAACAATTATATTTTGGCAGGTGACAGAATTCATTTGCTTGCAGCTGCAACTGAACAACAAAGTTGCACTAATATAATAGGAGATTTGATCCAAGAGGGAATGGTGCATGACGACGACGACGACGATCATGACGATGACCTGGGGAACACTTGTGGAGGGACATGAGCGGGATTCGGTTCCCAAAGAATTCGATGCCTTTCGTACTTCCTCGTTGTGGTCGATGCTCGGTTCGATTTGGGACGTTTGTTTTTACTTCCTCGTTTCCGTAATAACGCGGTCCCTTCTCTCCTCACTCCCGCTGACTTGCAGGAGCTACAGGTAAGCTCACGTTTCGGTCAGCCGTCTTCGTCGCAAGTGATGCATGCTTTCTGCCGAGTTGCGTTTGTCAGTGCATCTGTCACGCTGCCCCCCGCCGCCCCCCGTGTTATGTTAACTGCCTCCGCGCTTTCAAGGTTGGTTCGTGACATCACCACGCACGTTGATCAGATGCAGTCCGCGGCCACATGCGTTTGGCGAGTGACGTCCTTGCCATTGAATCGGTTTTACACTGTCAGGCGTTCAAGGAATGTTGATTTACTTAACCACACCATTAGTCTACGGTAAGGAGTAGGTCATGGCATGGTGGTAAAAGGTAAAGGTGCAGCCTGGCATTATGTTGCTGAAGCCACCATTTTGTGAAATGGAAGGGCCTCAGGGTATTTTGGCCTACTCATCCACTCGAGGCAAAAGCCTTGGAGAAGGAGGGAGTACTCACACTTTATCCCACCACATGTGGCCTACTGATCGACTGTCGTTGTGGTATCATGGTGACATCGGGGTAGCAAGACCAAAATGTACGTGTGTATGGTGAACTTGTTTCGCACCATACGTAGCAAACCGTGATAATCTGAGGTGGCATTTTTGCCGCTTTATCAAAGTAAATAGTTTGTTGTCGTTTTTGTTGTACTTGAAATGAAGGCCCCCCCACCCCTCCGCCGCCAGTGCCCTCTCACCGTCGCGTTTCTGCCCTTGGCGTCCCTTTGACTCGGCCGCAGGGCGAGAGCGTCGACAACTTCAACTGGGGCGTGCGGCGGCGCTCGCTCGACAGCATCGGCAAGGACGGCCCGCCCGCCGCCCAGGAGTCCAACTTCGCGGGCTCCACGCCCAGCCTGCACCGCCTCAACCCCGACGACACGGACGAGTCGAGCGAGGAGGATCAGCTAACCGTCAGCCAGATCCTTACCCAGTCGCAGGTGCGCAGCGCTCGCAGAGAAGAGGGCCTTGTTGTTTTTGTTGCGCTCGCTTTCGCTCGAATCACCGGTGCTTCAGGGGACTCTTCCCGAGGTGGATGACGGACCAGTAAGTGGTGCTTGTGACAATGTGAACCTTTTGACTTCTGCTATTATCTACTTTGGACAAAATTGTTATTCCGTAGAAAACCTTTTTTTTTTTTTTGCAGTGTATGGAGGCACAATGTCTGGTGCTTGGAACAATTAAACATGGCTCTTTACTCTTTGGGTCTTTCGGTATAGTCACGTAGCAACACAAGCCATCGTCCTCAGGTGAAACAATACAGCAGGCGGACTGCTGAGGCATCTCCGACCAGCACCACCTAGCCAGTGAGCTTGAGCACGTACACAAAGCCCTCAAGATGAATGGATATTCAGACCGCACAATCCGCAAAGCTGTATCCCCAACCATGGGGAGACAATCATCTGAGGACCCAATCAAAACCATCATCTTGCCATACATAGCAGGTGTTACCAAAAAGATTTCCAAAATCTTGAACAAATACAAGATCCAGGTTCGATTCAACACAGTACACAAAATCCGTGATTTGATCCCATCTGTGAAGGATGTGATTCCTGACATGCAATACCCGGGTGTCTACAAACTAAGTTGTGTCTGCGGCAGCAGTTACATTGGGGAAACGAAATGACATGTCTCGGACCGTGTTCGCGAACACAAGGCAGATTTGAAACACGGCAGAATCAACACCTCTGCCGTGGCTGATCACTGTTTTAACGCGGTGGGCTCACATGATATTGATTTTTTCGAGACCAAGGTACTCTGCAAACCTTCGGGTTACCATCAAAGATGTGTCCATGAAGCCATCCAGATATATAAGCACAGACACAATTTCAACCGAGTAGATGGGTACACACTGAGCAATCATTGGAAGGACGTTATTAAGCAGTTTAGGTCATAACTGGCTGTGATGTCCCCTTCCTGCCCGCCTATGTTAGCAGCTTCTCTCGACTCTTGAGTCGCATTCACGAACACAGCTTTTCTCTCCCCCTGCCACCGATTATCTCTGCCCCACCCCCCTCTCTCTCCCCCTTACCGGACGTGAAGCCCTCCTTTGTTATCGATGTCCCCCCCCCCCCTCTCTCCTCCTGCCGCCGATCTCCCCCCATCTCACACGCAGCCCCCCACAATTAGAAACAACGTGCGTTTTAGAGTACTTGGCTGCTATACATGTCCACATGATGAGCCAGTTAATTGAGCTATCGCTTGTGACCAGGTCGGTTCTGAAAAAGAACTGTACAGGCAGTTTCCGTTTTATGGGAGACCCGACTTTACAGAAATGCTCCCAGTACGCGGAAATGTCTGCATTAGTTACGCGGGCATAAATAGTGCAGCGCGGTGAGGTTGCGGATTTAATCCAGCGGTTGCGAGGTGTAAGGCAGGGCCGCATATTCCCCAAGGCGGTGGTGTACTGTTTTATAGCAAGCTTGAAGTCACGCTGTTACATTGATACCCTGAGTATGCTGTACCCACCACATCGTCTCTTTTCCTTTTGTAGCATTATGTAATTGTTTGTTTTCTACGCTTCGTAGTATTTATAAACAATTGGACACAGTGCAGTATAATATTAACCTTTTGGCGGGACCCCGGGGTGCCATAAGTCCCCGGCTCTCGCATAAACTGCGTTGCGACGTCATTTTATGTCTGTTGAAGGCGAACGATACGGCAATCTGTTCCTCTCGACGAGCTGTACACGATGCGGTTATCAAAGTTTTGTTCATGACTACGGCAGTTTTGGTAACGACGGGTGCTTGGTGAAGAACGAGAGGATTGATTTCTGGTGCGTCGCAGCGTTCATGCGCGCTGTGGGACAGAGTCGCCAAAAAATATAATTAATTACGATTTTGACTTACGTTTATTCGGGGCCCCGGGGTTCCGCCATAAGGTTCATATGGTGCCATTAGTTTAATTTTGGGTAGTGCTTGGGTAAATATTCGATCAAATGAAATAATCAAAGTAAAAATGCAGAACGTATGTACAGCAATATAATACAGGTAGCAATAGAAAACACGAAAGCGCGATACAATGCTAAGATAAAACGAACCAGTAATTGGGTAGGGGAGGCACAGCTATTTACGAATATGGGATTTTAGTGTTGATTTTGGGGGAAATTTGTTCCGTTTCCGACATACGGAAAATTCGGGTTATGGATATTTCCCAGGAACCTAACCCTTCCATAACGCGGGGACTGCCGGTACAGCTCAGTGGGCTTGACCTGGTAACAAAAAAGATATACAATAACATAATTTGGGAACCAAAAAATACATTTCTAAAAAATTTAATATAACACAAAATAGATCCACGTGAGACATACACCAGCGGTGGACACTGCCACGCACACCGTGAAGAAGCGCCTACCCCCACGGGTTGCACGGCACTCACCCGTCATGTCTGCTTTGTGCTTCACAGTTGGCGCATGACTTGCCCGGAGAGGACATCTCTTATACTCAGCAAACAGATGCACAGAGCAGCGATCTTGTGGCTAGCCTGCTTGGGCATGAGGTGGGCGATCAGTGGGTTGGATAGCTTTCTGCTTGGGCCTCTATAAACTCATTACCCTATCCCTTCCTATCTGTGTTTGTGTCTGTTTGTGTAAATTCTCTTCCGTGTATATACACGCTTCTCTTTGGGTGTTCAGGGCTGTGTGTTTGGGAAGCTTTGCAGATGAACTCTTGATTTGCTTTTCTTTTGCATAATCTAGGATGCATTTTTCATTATAATCTGTGAATATTACGTGTGACGTGGGAGTCCCTTAAATTTCCTTCAACCTGCATGCTGGAAAAACTTGAATTCTGCACAGCTTTTTTTTTTGCGTACTTTAGGCTGTTCCAATTATGAAATTCGTAATTTGTTAAAATATGTACGTATCAAATTGACTGAAATGTAACACATTTTTGTGTAAATGCAATCATTACATTGCATTGTGCCAAAAGCAATGTTTTTAATTAATATTGCCAATTGAATTTTAAGTAATATATCTGTTATTAGGTGTTAAACAAATACGCCATGGAACCAAAACATATAGCCATGTGCCTTTAATTCATCCTCAACTGTTTAAAAATAACCCAATCATATCTTCAGACTTTGGTCTCTGGGATATATTTTTTTATGCATGCAAACCCCATGCATAAAGTGCCTAAAATGAGGGTCGATCAAAAGCTATTGCCTACCTCTTGATTTTCCCTCGGGTGGTGGTTCTTTGTAATCGATTCAAATCTTGCATAACTCTGAGCTTGCATGATTGGTGCAAAAAAAAGCTAGCCAGCTGCATTTGCAAATGAACCTCTAATCGACGTAATGAAGACAGTCACCTGAAGCTACAGAATTTTTCTCCAAAACCTGCAACTTTCAACGAAGCCCTCTGTAAAGGTTGGTATCGTTTAATCCACATCATTTTTGCTTCTATCAGTGCTGCCCAGGTACCTTTTCGGAGTTGCATGCTCAAACAAAATTGGAATCGAACTGGGAACTTGCATGCCTCGGCATGAAATGATTGGGTTGTTGTATATTTTTATTCACCCTTTTTAAATTGGCACATTGTACACGTCGAAGTTTTAAAGTGCTATCGGAATGCCATGTTTTATTCAGCGACGTACTATCAAATATAGGGTGGCTGAATGGCCTAGCAGTTGGCATGCTAGCCAATTGAGTCCGTTTGCATGGATATGCTATTTTTATTTCTGCAACTGCCCATCAATTTGTGGAGGAATGAGCACAGGAGTTTTCCGTTACGGAAGCTGCCTACGTCATTCGCCATGAGGTCACCATGTGCCAGAAATTCTAAATGGGGGAAGAAAAAAAAATCGACATTTATTCCTGCCCTATCAAGCTATAGGTTGACGTTCCTCTCTGTCAGCAGCCCTTGGGAAGTGGTGGAAATTCCACATCATGACATGGGCCAGTCTATCCATAGGTTGCCTGTATTTGGCTTCCAACAAAATGGTGCTCATATAATTAGCACCAGAGTTTGAATGGGTCGGATCCACTGCGGGTTTACAATCACAATCTTCTAATTGTGAATCAAGGACATTTGCCACAGTGCCACCCAGCCCAATTAATTGTAATTGATTGATATCAAAATAGACTAAATCTGATGGAAATATAGCATGTGAGCTTACAGGCTTATTTTAATATTCTCTTTCTTTAAAGCTTTCAGTGTGATAAATGAGGAAGTGCCTGTTTAACGTTCGGATATTCGAGTTGGGTTAATGAAAGATAAAGTGTTTGTGTATGTCTGTTTCTTTGCTTTGTGAGTAATGCAAGCGAGCCTAGATGTGTGCATCGATTGCGGTGCTCTTGTTTCCGAAGCTTGTTTGTACGCATGGCACACATTGCAAGTGTGGGGCATAGCCTTTGTGTGTAGTGTGTGGGTGTGCCCTCTTTAATCAAGAGGATCTTCAGTAGCTCTCTGTTCAAAAACACGCGCTAGCAATCGTATGGTTACATGTTCAAATCCTACTCAGGCGTATACTAGATCCATCCCTCCAAGTTCATGAAATGAGTGCCAATTTGTGGGAAGTAAACATTAACTTTTAATATTCTATGATTCTTTCGGTAAAATCACGTAGATAGAAAAAATAATAACAATAAGATAATAAAAATAAAGTCAATGCAAATATCACGACGTTTCGATCACAACACAAGCGGTCGTCATCAGGAACAGGGAGGTTAGCCTCTGAGGGCGGCAAGCGGTTTATAAAGGTTTAGAGATGGGCGGGGCAGCTAATGTTAATGTAGGAGAGGGCCCCGACCCCGGAAGTAGGTCTACACCAATCAAGGAGCTGTTTATAAAGGTTTAGAGATGGGGGCGGGGCAGCTAATGTTAATGTAGGAGAGGGCCCCGACACCGGCAGTAGGGTCTACACCAATCAAAGCATTGCACCTCGCTCCACACACCCACACTGCTGACGGTGGAGGTTGACAAGAAGACACAAATCAAGTCATGACTCAAAGTGGTTGATGACATCTTTCCAATGATTGCTCAGTCTATAATTTTGAATTTACACCACTGGCTCAGGGCTACCAATGGTGATTAGCACGAGCCCATGCTCATCTGGGCAGAAAGACAATTTTATTTCCTCGACCTCACCCTGGGATATCTTTCTCAAAGGGAATACTTGGCGTAGAAGCATAAACTGATCTCGAGCACCATGTTGTGCACAGTCAACAGTGGTCATGTGTTGGAGAGATGGGCCCCTGCTATAGGATTCAAAGAATTTCCACTGGCCACCTTTTTGTGACCAACAAAGATGAGTGAAATCCCTTTTTTCTCATTAGAGCGGGGAGACAGTTTGCCTTTTTTTCCAACTGGATTGGCATTAACGGATAGTCAGGAGAGGGATGGCGACATTGGTCATGTTTGTACGTACATTGAACTACTTTCACACCGTACGTGCTAATCGGAGGTGCGGCGGGGGGGGGTGCGGAATCGAACGAATGAATTAAACGCGGAACCTCTTGACCGCAGGTGGCCGGCGACGACGCCTGCGATAGGGCGCAGCGGGAGGAGCAAGCCGTGGACAGCGAGGAGTCCCTCACCGTCCAGCCCACCGTATTTTTCCTGTGCGACGGCGATCCCGCTGACGACATCACCGACAACCTCCTCGCCTCCCCCCACTCAGACGACGGCCGCGATGACGACGATGACAGCCAGTCGGTGCAGTGGAAGTGAGTGCACGCGGCTGTCATGCAGACTTCGTGCCAGAGACGAGCACGCGCATGCACGCGCTTATTAATAGCAATCAAAGCAGCAATGTATGTATGTTGTACGTAGACAACCGTGCTAATCGGAGGTGCTTTCATTTATTTTTGAATTGCGTACGCATTCCAATGTGCTGAAGTGTAGCTGTGGTTAGAGCTCTCGAGTTGTAACCAGAGGGATGGGGTCAATTCGGCTTGTCATCCATCTCATGTTATAACAAAAATATTTGTAATTTGTGATGAATCAGCGGTTACATGTGGTTGACTCCACCACATGGCAATGTGGAATTTCTACCTCGGTCAAACCCAGAGACATCTGGGATTTGCTCAATGAGTCACTTTCAGCAAGGCTCTTATGCACACCCAGGGCTTGGGCAGCACGCGTCGCTAGAAGGGATGGTGGCTGCTAGCTAAGAGTTCTAACGGAGTGACAGCCATGTAATGGGGCAATCCTCCTAGGAGATGAAGTGATGAAATCAGTTGATGTGCTGGATGATGACAGGTGGCTGCTGCTTGAGGAGGCCTTCAACCAGCGGTGGATTGACCATGGCTGGTGATGAATGTAAATGATGCAGCTGGCCAGGACAGCTCGGGGTGGTTCTCCTGCTAACATTAGGAGCGTTGATACATTACTTTGTCTATTGGAGTATTTGGCGTTTACACCAAATCGTATTCATCTTAAAAGTGTGGTTTGGTGTGACTTGGGCAACTTGCAGTGGCCAACACTTTAAAAATATGCTGATAATTAGGGTACTTCTTCTCTCTGTTTTATTAAACTAATTATTTTACGAGTAGTGTTACTCAAACTAGATTCGAAGCTTTCGTGACCACAGGAATTTCTCTTTGGTTCTTTCGGTAAAGTCACGTAGAAAGAAAATAAATTAAATAATAATGGAATACGACGTTTCGATTGCAACACAAGCAACCGTCATCAGGTACAAATGAATGAGAAAACAATCATAGTAAACTTAGAAATATAAAGCAATGCAACACAGAGAGTCGGCTAACACAACAGTCAACACCCTACCTGGTTGATTACGTTCTTCCAAAGATTGCTAAATTTGAGAGAGAGACAAAACACAGACACACGTAGACATACACACAAGCAGAGAGAGACACAGAGAGACACGCACACAGAGACACACATGTATGTCTATGTGTCTCCGTGTCTGTGTTTTGTCTCTCTCTCAAATTTAGCAATCTTTGGAAGAACGTAATCAACCAGGTTAGGGTGTTGTGACTGTTGTGTTAGCCGACTCTCTGTGTTGTTTTGCTCTTTACTTCTGAGTTTGCTATGTTTGTTTTCTCATTCATTCTTACCTGATGATGGTTGCTTGTGTTGCAATCGAAACGTAGTGTTCTATTACTTAATTTATTTTCTTTCTACGTGACTTTACCGAAAGAACCCAAGAGTACTGTTACACATGTGAAGTGTGAGAGGTGGCATTCGCACACCACCATTATGTAACCGTCAAATTCTTGTCTCCTTCTCCATTATGATTATTTTCTTTAAACCACATGTGCTCGTTATTCGCGATTTTCCACTATCAGGCTCACCCCGTCTGACATAAACCTTGCTTGAGTCACGTTGCTTCGGCGAAGATTGTTTAGACGTGAAACCGATTTGATGTGTGTATGCTCTCCCCCCACCCACACCCCCCTGGCCTTCCCTGCTTCCTCTTAAAACCTGTCGCGATCGCTCCACCAGTGAGCCCGAGACAGCCTCACCGCCGCCACCTGCTCCGTTCTTCTCGGCGATCCTTGCCGCGTTTTGCCCGGCGCCGTGCGACGACGCCGAGGGGACGTGGCGCCGCCACCTGACCCAACTCATGGCCGACGCTGATGGTTCCTGCGCCGTCTACACTTTCCTCGTCTTCTCGGCCCTCTTCCAGGTGTTCACATCGTCCCCATCCTACCCCCCCGCCCCCATCAGCACCGCCATCACAAAGCCGTGAGGAGGATTAGGGTTGCCACCTCCGAGGTGACAAAACCGTCACATGTTCGTCGCGAAAGTCTCTGTGTTAAATTGACTTGTCGCATATATTGTTTAAAGAATAATATCTTTCAATACCGGAAGAGGGTATAATTGCATGAACATGCATTGTCTCCAGTGGTGCTGTTACGCAATTGACAAAATACGGGATGGCCAATTTCTTTGGAACACTTGCACATATCCCAGAACAGCGACTTCAAAGAGGGGATGATAATGGGAAGATCAGGGCAAGTGGCAACCATATCTAGGATGCCATAATTGTGTTCCCGACGCAGTTCTGTAATGATTAAAAAACTTAACACATGACATATGAATGACTAATGTGTTGGTTATCTGTGCCTGTGCACAAATTTCAACGCGCTGTTACGTTTGTCTTAGTTTCATGTTGATTTAAAGGGCAATGCATAATTATAACATATCTGATAATTTCCCAATGCAATTTTTATTCTATTGCCATCTTTTATGTTAAAACATATGACACTATTACAACTCTGGAGTAAATTGTAACCTATACATAATCTAAATGCAGAAACATCGTGACATAGTGGCAGTCTTATTCCACGCAGTAATCATCCTGGCATTTTGGAGACATTTAACGCAACGCACATTTTTCGGTTTCCCCTAAAGCGCAGTGGTTCTTAACCTGGGGTGCATGCACGCACCCCCTGGGGGGGGGGGGGGGGGTGGGTGCTAGATGCCATTGCTGAGAACCAAAGGGGTGCAGGCTCTAGTATAGGTTAAGAACCACTGCCTTAAAAGGACAGTTTTGCAATTATTGAAACGTCCCCCACCCCCCCCCCCACCCCGTTCCATTTTCTCTGTGTGGTGTGCAGAGCATTCAGAGCAAGTTTTGCCTGCTCACCAACGACGTGGCCAGTTTCCTGGGTGAGGGGCTGCATGGGATCGGCTCGAAGTTCACGAGCTCCCTGGAAGTTCTGCTCTCCTGTGCCGAGTGTCCCACGGTGTTTGTCGACGCCGAGACGGTGAGACAGCGGCCGCCCTCGCGTGCGTTCTCCTCTCTCTCTCTCTCTGTCTGTCTCTGCTGCCCTGTCCATCCACCCGCTCGGCTGTGGGGAGCGGTGGTGTGTATGCTTGCGTGTGTGCGTGCGTGTATGTACGTTGTGGGGGAGCGGCAGTGTCGCGGTTAGTGCGCGTTGCGCTCCGAACCCAGCAAACCCGGGTTTGATTCTCGCTCACGGCCAACACCAGTGACGATTATCTGAACCAGTCATGGGCCTCCCCTAGGTCGACTCAACCTCAAATTAGTACCTCGTGCAGTGAGTAAACATCGCCACTCAGGAGACAGAGGTAGCCGGGCGTGGTGTTGGCCACCCACCCCCTCGTGTGCCATATCAGCCTTCATAGGTGCTCATGAACAGTACTTGCTCCTAAAGTCTGTTAAGGCTACATGGGGGATATTTGTCTTTACCCCCTCCATCCACCCGCACAGCTGACGTCTGCTCCTGCTGTGTGTGTGTCTATTATCAGTTTTGGAAGGGGTGCTCTTAAAAATCTTCCTTCAAAATATATCCTGAAGCAGAAGATTAGTGCTGGATACAAACACATTTATAAATGTGATTTGTAACTTTGATCCTTACCACCTATGTATCGAGTCGTTATGACTGCCACGCTCCAGTCCAGTATTTATGAGTCGTTATGACTGTCATATTCTGCAGATGTTCTCCCATCCAACCTTTTCACATATTCGTCTGTACCTCCCGAGTCCTAGGATTCTCTTGCCGCACAGGCTTGTTGTTTTACTGTGGGGCACCACGGTGGCGAGATGTTAACTACTACCTCGCTTGGCATACAGGGGTTTGTGGGTTCGATCCTGATCCAGACGCCTTTATATTTGGAGTTTGCATGTCCTCTGTGGTCACTTGGATTTTTTTTCTGGTCCTCTGGTTTTTCACTCCGTTTAGCTATCATTTGTGGCCAGGTCACTTCTGAAAAAGAGCTATATAGCTTAGTGGGCCTTTCCTGATAAAATAAAAAGTTTCGTTTTATTTTAGTTTGTACCTGATTAAAAATTAAAGATTGCAGGTCTCAGAAAGATGGTAATGAATCTCACATAAATCTCAGATTATTAGAAAATATACATCATATGTAGGTATTTTGGATGCAAGTACGTGAGTAATGTGTGTTCACATATCAGGGTTTGGTTGTACATTCAATTCTATTTCATGTCACCATTATTGTTTGCTGTTGCCATTAAGCTGGCCGGATGGCACTGGCAGAGTGCTTGTAAAGGTTGTGAGTTCAGATCCCCCTTTGGATATCAACGTAGCCCATCATCATCCCTGTAGAGTTTATAAATATAGTGCCACTTTGAAGTAAGAGTACACATAGACTGACCTCCACCATAATAACTTAGACATTCTGCCTGTGTCTAACTTCCGCCAACTGAGAGACAGAGAATCCCACCACAGTGCTTCTTTGACAATGTAATCACCTTTCCTTTCAAGTTATCATTGGCTTGTGTAGTCAGTGGCCACTTATTTATTTCACTATTTTAATACCGGCACCAACATTTACAGCTTCTCCCATTACACACTTCTCATTTATGCCTCCTGCAAAATTAGGCCTTATTCAGATTCCTACTTTGTGATCCTTGATGGTACTTTCTGGTTCGTTTGGATAAAAAAACACGTGAATGAGATGTTATGTTCCGTGCTGTGTCTGCCTCTTAGCTGGTGTCCTGTAATCTGCTGGAGAAGCTGAAGTTCAGTGTTCTTGAGCTGCAGGAACACCTCGACACATACAACAACCGGCGGGACGCCACCAAGCAGGTGCGTGCACAGAGGGAGGTGCCTTTTAAAAACCCATCGTGCCACGCACCAGACCCCTGACGGTGCTTTGCCGTTCCATTTCCACCCTCCCCACCGCCCTCACGCCCCTATCCTGCCGTTCCCCTCCCCCTCTACCCCGACTCGCTGGGATTTAATGGTTAACAAAAAATAGTTCAGCCCAGAGTGGCAATTTGATGCGGGAAAGCACAGGTGGTGGTGTACAATGCAGAGATTCGGCACAATGCGGTTGATTGGTATGGATGTAAGTGTACGTGTCAAAGAAAAAATGAGTGCATAACAACACACAGAGCACATTGTGCTGGGAAGTAATTTCGTCTGGGCTATGTACATTATAAGCCCCACTTGCACCAGCGGCATCTCTTACAATGGCACGATCTAATTAAAACTAAACAATTTTATTTTATTTTATTAGGTAGGCCCACTGAGCTATAAAGCTTTTTTTTTCATAAGGGACCTGGCCACAAATGATAGCTCAACAAAGTGGCTTATCAGGCGAGGTTATTGAGATCTTATCACCATGGTACCCATGGTCAAACCAGCGCTTTAAAAAATGCGTGGGTGACTATTTGTTTTTTTTCCAATTGGCGACCCTCGTCCCCGCTCCCCACCCTACTTAACCAGAATATGTGCCCCACTCGTGTGAATAAATTCCCTGTCGGGAGAGTCGCTAGCCCAGAGGACACAACCCTCAGATGGCCCCCACACTTCCCCCCCCGCCTCCTTCCCTGCTGAGTGTTCTCTCCCCTGTAACTGTCGGATATGCAATGGGTCCAAAAAAAGATACATGGGGGAAACAAAATCCAAAAGTATAAATGAAAGCCTACATTTTGACTTGGATGTTTCCACGCTGTGCCAAGAAGACACTGCCATCTCTAATTGGACGCCTCCTGTTGCTAATTTTTTTTTTACCCCGTCTCTTGCAGTGGCTGGAAGAGTGTCTGAGAGCATTCCCTTCAGAGGAGGCCATGCACCCAGAGATGTTGATGCAACACCAAAGGAGCTCCCTGGATGAAAAGGTAAGGCGGTTGTGGCGAAATTGGATAATTGCACGCAATTGCCCAATTCCCTTTGGCACACAGCGGCAACAATTGTTTTTATTGTACAATTGTGATAATGAAATTATAAAGCTATAAAAAAACAAATGTTCTCAGGCAACGGTTGAAGATGAGGATATGCAAGTACCAGGGTAGTGAGTCTCAACCTTTTCTGCTTGTTATGCATCCCCTACCTGACCTCTCAACACGCGGTGTACCCCCGCCAGCATATCGCTATACATACTTAAACAAAGCAAGTGGCTTATTTTCTATTTATTATTTGTATACTGCAAATAATTGACACGTCGACACATTCTACACTCAATTAACACGTACGACATAAAAAAAAAACCTGAACAACAATTAACTCGTCCCACGCAACAGATTAGGGTTTGCGAGTGCACGCACGTGGAGTGGCACTGCCGAGTAACCCCGGTGCGTGGCCGCCGAGAAACATCCCGGGCGCCTGTATCCCCCCTTGGGGGGGCTCACGTACCACGGGTTGGGAACCGCTGTGGACCAGTGGACTTGTGGGTATTTAACACGAGGCTTTCGCGATCTATATTATTCGTAACAAAAGTTATTTTGGGTTGGATCGTGTGAATATAAACGTGTTGTTGACCCACCACCACCCGACACGGCCAATTACAAAAGGTTTGTCACTTAAACAAAGCGTGCCAATTAGTTACTACTTCAGCACACCGGTTGCGTGTTGGGGAGTGAAATGTTGCGCGTTTACTCACCAGTGAACCCACAGCATCTGACTGACTGGTCACCGGGCTTCTAGTCGAGTGTGTTAGCCACTGTGCACCGCCATTCCACCTTTTGCATTGAATAAAAAGGTTCAGTATAGCCGACAATGGGATATTCACATGCATGCCCTTAATGGATTAGGTAAACTTATTCTTACATCGTGGGAAGGTTTCGCATATGTTTATTTGTCACGAGTATGGGATTGTAAGTTCCCATTGCTCCACAATCTTAGCATTTTCTGTAACAGAAATTATTCCACGCTCTTTAGCCTGAAAACGAAATTCAAGTGCTGTGTATGTGTTGATCAATGGGCTGAGTGTACCTTTTATGAAATTAACTTTCTTCTCATTAAAACGTGGCTGGGGACTGAATGTTTTTTTTTTAGCTTGGCAAGCTTGTTTAAAATAATTAAACAATCTTGCCAAGCTAAATGCATCCATTTGTACAAAATGTACCTTAAATATGAACTCACCCATGCATGCTGTCCAACACAATTAAACCTTCTGAAAGTCATTACTGTGTGTACACACACGCGTGTGTGGGTGTTTTTGCATCTCTAACCACTACTCATTCACGTGTCTGTGTGCATTTCTTTCCGTGTGTCCTCTTCCTTTTTCCTACTTTCCTGCCTGCTTAGCAAATGGAAACACTAGCAGTAAGTTGCTGATGATAACACCTCCTCCGTTCGATCTGCAGTCCAAACACGCGTCCACATTTGCTCATCGTCCAAATCAACATGACACTTGTTCTCATGCACCCTGTCGTGCGTGTGCTCTCGGATAGGATGGGAATATTTTGTGCATGAATTCTCGCTCTATTCCAGCGTGAGCGTATGTCAATAGCAGCCGCAGTCTTTGTGTCTCACTTTGCTTTTTCTTCCTCTTATGCATTTATGTTCTGTTGCTCACGCATTATAGTTGTATTCAAATCCTAGTCGGGGGTGGGGGTTGACACAGGAAAGTGTTCCTCCTGCCTTAATACAATGAGTCGTGGAAGTCAACAGTGGTTGTCCTATGGAGAGGCTGACCCAGGTCCTTGGAATGTGGAATGTTTACGATTGGCTCAGGGCCTCCAATGACTTCACTTGACATTTCAATTTGTGTGCAATGCTGTGTAAATGATTCACCAATAATAAAATTGTTTTTTCTCTCCTTCCTGTCTCTGAATCTCTCCCACAATCCTCTGCTCTCATTCTACTCCTGCCATCGTGCATCAAAAAACCAAACTCCCTACCTGTTTGTATCGCTCACTCCAACTCCATCATCAACTCCTCACCATTCCTGAAACTGCTTCCTTACATCTCTCTATCTCCTACTCGAAAACCTCCATTGCTTATCTGTTTTTCTATTTTATTATTAATCTTCTATTGCTTTATCCATATAATTTTTATTCTTCTATTGTTTCGTCTTTCTTTGTCTTCTGAATTATCTGTGTTTTATAATTTTCTCATTCATCTCCAATTTCCTTATTCAATTTCTTCCGTTATTGAATCTTTCTCTCGTCTTATTCACCTCCGATTGCAATCGTCCATCTCAATCTATCTTCTCGCATTGTCTTATCCACGTTACACTTTCTCCTCCGTTCTTTTCTCTCTCTCTCTCTCTTTATCCATGACCCTAACTATCCTCTCACTTGGCACCTACCTGCTCCCTCCTCATCCAACTCCTCCTCGCCGCCACACACAACCATAAACATCTCTCCGCTACGATCCTCCGCTCCGATCGTCGCCTCTGCCTGCCTCTCTGGACCCCGCTGCCCCTTCACTCCCGGCCCCCGGTCTCGCCATCTTTGCCTCCGTCCCGGCATCCCTCCCCCCTGGACCCCCGCGACCGCCGTGCGTCCCTGCTCGCTCCGCGGCCGCCGTTGCCCACGGCCGGGCACGCCCAGCGCCTCGAGCTCTGTCGCCGCCTCTACAAGCTGCACTTCCAGCTGCTGCTGCTCTTCCAGGCTTACTGCAAGCTCATCAGCCAAGTGGAAGCCGTGCGGTCGTTCCCCACGGTAACGCGCGGCGACTGACGGCTCGGTTTGTTTTTAGAAGCACCGAGGAGCGTGCGCCGTCCACTGGGCGATGTGGCACGGCCCTCTCTGGTGTGTGTGCGGTTTTTTTGTTGTTGCTGTGGGGCGCGGTAGTGTAGCGGTTAGCATGTGTATTGCTCTACGAATCGGTCAACCCCGGGTTCAATTCCCGCTCACGGCCAACACCCAATGGGGGTTATCTGAACCGGTCCTGGGCCTGCCCTAGGTCGACTCAGCCTCAAATGAGTACCTAGTGCGATGTGTAAAAACATTTCCACGAGGGAGACAGACAGCCGGGCAAGGTGCTGGCCACCCACCTCCCTCGTATGCCATTCGTGCCTTCATAGGTGCTCGCTAATAGAACTTGCACCAACAGTCTGTTAAGGCTATACTGGGGGGTTTTTGTTTTTGTGTTTTTTTTGGGTCGTACCCTAGTGCCATTCAGGACGACGGTCCCGATGTTTCGCTCCATGTGCTGGAAGCTTCTTCGGAAGCCGACGTACACGAGATGTCACTCAGGAACTGAAGAAGCTCCCAGCGAATGGAACAAATGTCGTGCCGATTTTTGCATGTGTGCACGTTTAACTTCTTTCGCAACGTACATAGCCAACCGTGCTAATTGGAGGTGTGGTGGAAGGACAACAAACCAAATGCAAAGAGCTATTGTAAAAAAAAATTGTTTTCACTCTAGATTTAAAAGTGCATAGCTCCCAGTGGCTTCCGAATATCGGAAGGGACGAATGTTACAGACGGCCGCAGAAGCGCATCTGAAAGCGCGCGATGCGGTGACCGTCTTTGTTCAATTGTTAGCCACAAGCCGCTAGAAGGATGGATGCGACCCGCAAACTCATCTAAAAGTCCATGTAACACTCGCGAAAGCCAGAGTGAGCAGTCAGAGTATCTGCATGGATTTGTAATCTGCCTGAATTTTTTGCCATGATGATGCGTCACGTTGTTTTTAGCGCAACGTCACATTGTCTAATTGGTTGCGAGGATTGTTTTTCAACGCAGCGGTGAGCTGCAAGGTTTCTAATATAACGGATATGGCCAGAGCATTTCGTGGCCTGACCAAAAGATCAATTCTCATTTAAAATATTGGCTGCAAAACATACTTGTTATGGTCTTCTACGTTTACGTGGTGAGCAGACCATTGTTCAGTCAAATCAATTTATTTTTCATTAACACCATTCTGGCACGAATCTGTCCCAAAACGCACCATCACAGTTTAACAAAAGAAAATTGATCAAGTTGTTCCTGTGAATTGCTTGTTGTACGCAAGCGATACAGAGATATGTTTTGAGTTGTGTCATTCTGGCCTCAATAGGGGTTCATTGGGGCTAAACAGAGGGACCTTTTTGACTTCTGTTGTTTGTCCTGTCAGCTGCTGGACATGTCCGAGGAGATGGAGAAGCTGAGGGTGGGCTTGCGGGCGGCCTCCGTGAGCCAAACGGGAGAGGCAGACGGGGAGAGCCGAGCGGAGAGCGGAGGCCAGGGGGCCGAGGCTCCACAGCAGCCGGAGGGATCCTGCAGCTGCCCCGAAGCGGCCATCCAGTGCCTGATCGAGTGTCTGAAAAACTGGGAACTTAAAAGGTCCCTGGTCCTCACTCAGTCCTTCAGGTGATGCAACCCGTCATTTCTGGCATTCAAATGGAATGAACGCCTGTTGCCTTTTGACCAAATCACCTGCAATGTACCTGACCTTGTTGGATGTCAGAAGCTAAGTGTAAGGTGTGAGTCTGGATTGTGCTTGGATGTGTAAATGGACCACCGTGTTAGCTGGGTAACGGAGCGTAGTGCAGTAAAATCCATTCTTGCTCTTTGTTTCTTTCGTTAAAGTCACGTAGGTATAAAATAAAACAAATTAAATCATGACGTTTCGGCCGCAACACAAGCGTCCGTCATCAGGTGGGACAACCACAGCAAGAAACAATTGCCGTCACGAAAACTTCAAATCGAGATTAAAAGCCATTATCGTCCTCTAATTATGTGCCCCATCCTCCCCACCTTCAGCAACCTGGACTGTTCAGCTTGGTGAAGTATGGTCAAATAACTCGCGCTGCCCACACAGTTTACGGACGCCCTCATCCACCAGTCGATTGACAAGAGTGGCTGTACACAACCGTATATACCATCGTCTTCATAACTTAAAAAAAATATTTGTGATGTTGCTCTTCTCGGTTATGACGTTAATCAAATGTGTAATGCTGCTAACTTTGGCTTGGAGCAGCGGAATGGATTTTGGTGAAGGAATGTTGAATGAGTGTGTAACTGTTCAGAGCCCAAATAATAATTTCACAATGTTTTGTGATATTATATTCATATTCTTAGTTTTTTCGGTAAAGTCACGTTGAAGAGAAACAACAAAACGTGACTTTACCGGAAAAAAAAAAAACTAAGAATATGAATTACTGCATTTATGAAAGCTTTAAATAAAAATTTAATGTTTTGTGACTCGAAAAATGCATCTGTCACAGCGTGCGCTTGTTCTTATGCCGGTGGAAAAGGACAAAAAAACCACAATGGCATTTGTGTGAAAGGATTGATATTGTTATCGACTTCTTTTGTTCTTAAAAAAAGTTGGCTTCTGTATATATTTGTCGCATCTTGCAATTATATATTGAAATTAGGCTTGTGTTAATGTGTTTTATGCTGTTTTATAACAGAAAGATAAATGGCAAAGTATTGATTCAGGTGGTCGTTATTCGTTGCTAACAGAGATATTGTATTTGTCAATTGCTTGAAATAGCTTTGTGTGTGGAATATAACTCTATAGGTGGCCTCTATAAGCCCAAGATCGAAAGTCCACGTATCTTTGGTAGGGGTCAATCTCTCTGTAGGACAATCCATGTTGATTTCCCAAGAGTAGTGCTCATCAAAACCGCAGAGCGATTGTTGTGAACTTAAAACGTATTTGCCTAAATGGTAACTTAATGATGGCTATTTTAGTCAATGTGCACACATTTGACAATCACATCAGCCCACACAAGTTAATCAAACTAGAACATATTTCGTAGAAGTCAACAGATTTCCTGTTGCAAGACTTCAAAAATCGAATGTGGATGTATACTCTGATCAGAGACCAAAAGAAATTAGCTCAGCACAATGATTGATTAATTAATTACAACCGTAATATGCATTCATAATAAACGTTTTTGGGTTAGATCGCGTTATTTATAAATGTGTCGTAGCTCTCCACCACCCGACACCGCCAATCAGTAAAAAAGTGTCACGTTGACAAAAAACAAAGAGTTCACTACTTTAGCCCACCGGTGTGTTGAAGAGTGATTCAACATCATTTTCAATGTTTGAGTACGACGTTTCGCTGGTAATTACAGTGAGGGAAAAAAGTATTTGATCCCCTGCTGATTTTGTACGTTTGCCCATTGACAAAGAAATGATGAGTCTATCATTTTAATGGTAGGTTCATTTGAACAGTGAGAGACAGAATAACAACAAAAACATCCAGAAAAACGCATGTCAAAAATATTATAAATTGATTGGCATTTTAATGAGGGAAATACGTATTTGACCCCCTCTCATTCAGAAAGATTTCTGGCTCCCAGGTGTCTTTTATACAGGTAATGAGCTGAGATTAGGAGCACACTTTTAAAGGGAGTGCTCCTAATCTGAGCTTGTTACCTGTATAAAAGACACCTGTCCACAGAAGCAATCAATCAATCAGATTCCAAACTCTCCACCATGGCCAAGACCAAAGAGCTCTCCAAGGATGTCAGGGACAAGATTGTAGACCTACACAAGGCTGGAATGGGCTACAAGACCATTGCCAAGCAGCTTGGTGAGAAGGTGACAACAGTTGGTGCGATTATTCGCAAATGGAAGAAACACAAAAGAACTGTCAATCTCCCTCGGCCTGGGGCTCCATGCAAGATCTCACCTCGTGGAGTTGCAATGATCATGAGAACGGTGAGGAATCAGCCCAGAACTACACAGGAGGATCTTGTCAATGATCTCAAGGCAGCTTGGACCATAGTCACCAAGAAAACAATTGGTAACACACTACGCCGTGAAGGACTGAAATCCTGCAGCGCCCGCAAGGTCCCCCTGCTCAAGAAAGCACATATACATGCCCGTCTGAAGTTTGCCAATGAACATCTGAATGATTCAGAGGACAACTGGGTGAAAGTGTTGTGGTCAGATGAGACCAAAATGGAGCTTTTTGGTATCAACTCAACTCGCCGTGTTTAGAGGAGGAGGAATGCTGCCTTTGACCCCAAGAACACCATCCCCACCGTCAAACATGGAGGTGGAAACATTATGCTTTTGGGGTGTTTTTCTGCTAAGGGGACAGGACAACTTCACCGCATCAAAGGGACGATGGACGGGGCCATGCACCGTCAAATCTTGGGTGAGAACTTCTTTCCCTCAGCCAGAGCATTGAAAATGGGTCGTGGATGGGTATTCCAGCATGACAATGACCCAAAACACACAGCCAAGGCAACAAAGGAGTGGCTCAAGAAGAAGCACATTAAGGTCCTGGAGTGGCCTAGCCAGTCTCCAGACCTTAATCCCATAGAAAATCTGTGGAGGGAGCTGAAGGTTCGAGTTGCCAAACATCAGCCTCGAAACCTTAATGACTTGGAGAAGATCTGCAAAGAGGAGTGGGACAAAATCTCTTCTGAGATGTGTGCAAACCTGGTGGCCAACTACAAGAAACGTCTGACCTCTGTGATTGCCAACAAGGGTTTTTTTCCACCAAGTACTAAGTCATGTTTTGCAGAAGGGTCAAATACTTATTTCCCTCCTAAAAATGCAAATCCAGCATCATTGGGCAATTTGCCAGAATGGTGAAACCCTTATAACATTTTTGACATGCGTTTTTCTGGATTTTGTTGTTGTTATTCTGTCTCTCACTGTTCAAATAAACCTACCATTAAAATTATAGACTGATCATTTCTTTGTCAGTGGGCAAACGCACAAAATCAGCAGGGCATCAACTACTTTTTTTCCCCTCACTGTACATCCAGCATCATTGGGCAATTTGCCAGAATGGTGAAACCCTTACTTGCTCCCGGTCTTAATAGAGCAGCAGGCTGATGTCATCATTTGACCCATTCAGGTGTAGTGATTAAATGTTGTGGATTCACTCTTCAACACACCGGTGGGCTCAAGTAGTGAACTATTTGTCTTTTGTCAACGTGACACTTATTTACTGATTGGCCGTGTTGGGTAGTGAAGGGCTACGACACATTTATAAATAACGCAATCTAACTCAAAAACATTTATTATGAATAATGTTGGTCGCGAAAGCCTTCGTGTATTATGCATTGTTGTGGAGCGTTATAGATGAAAGGTCACGGGTCACACACTGCTGCTGAGAGAATTTTTCCTACTTTTCCACGCTGGCCAGACATCTATGAAGAGTTAACAGCATTGTGGGAATATAATTACGGGTAACAATTTATGTAAACAGACCTACATTCTCTGTCTGCACATACCCTTACAAATAACACATTTTTGTTAGTTATTGGCCTATTGCCTTTCAAGACCAAAAGACATGTCAGTTGTATGTGGAGACACTGAACCGTGATGTATTTATACATATATACAGAGTGGCCCAAAAGTCAGGACACAGGGTTATTATATTTATTTTAACAAATGTACAAATTGACTTCCATTCACATGAATTCATGCATGCATTTTCTGTAGAAATGTTTTTTTAATGACTCCAGATGTAAGTTTTAACCATTGATCAATTGTGTTTCGTCTCAATGCATTAAGGGTTCTTGGTCGAGTTTCGTCTTTAACGGATTTGATATAACCCCATGGGACAAAGACAAATCGATATTAACCATGATGATAGATGCAATCTGAACTTAAATAATAAACTAAACATTTTAATTCCCCGTGGGCCCTGACTTTCGGGGCCACCCTGTAGATATACTTGTCCAATTAATTTCACGAATTTGTTAAATTATTAAGCGATTGCGTAAGAAACGCAATTGAATGCACCAAAAACATATTTCCACCTCCCCCCCCCCCCCCCCCACTGTGCTTGCAACAGGTCTACGTGGCCCGATGACATATTCGGCCGCTCGGAGGATGACATGGTGCGGACGCTGCTCAACATCTACTTCCGGCACCAGACGCTTGGCCAGACGGGGGCGCTCGCCGTGGTGGGCTCCAACCACGACCTCACGATGGCGTGCACCAAGCTCACCGCCATCAACTTGCAGCTGAGCCAGGCTCTCCGGCAAGCTCAGGCTCTTGGCTGTCTCATCGGCCCCTCGGGAAACAAGCAGATCCTGAGCACCAGCTTCTGAGAATCTCGCGCTTCGGGCCCGTGTGTTGCGGCGGGCAGTAACGTGTTAGTTGACGTAAATTCGTTACTCCCAACAAGGCCATTCTGATCCTGTGGCTGGGTGCTGCCAGGGTTTGAGGTCTAGGCTGGAAGGCGACATGGGGGGGGGGGCACCCTTATTCATTGGCGACGTAAAATTCAGGTTCGTTGTGAGGTCATCTTATTCGTGAGGCCTAGGATAAATAGCCCATCCCTCCCCCCGACCTTCTGTTGCAGTCCTAATCCAATGCTGTTGCTCTCTTTTCAGTTTTTTATTCAGCATGTACGAGTTGCTTTCTTTTATGATTACTTTCATTTTTGAGAATTTTAAAATGCCTAAATCCCCTAAAAAGGGGGAAATTATTTGTCGGCAGTTTGAGGATAATGTGGAGGACAGCAGAAGCCAATTTATGTGGGTTATACCACAACGAGCTTTCTTTTGCGATTTAGTGCCACACTTTCTGAGGTGAACGAAGTCTCTCTACGAGCATTGGGCAATGCTCATCACTGTTGGAGACCATCAGCCATTGGTGGAAATTACACATTTCTATGACGGGAGGCAGTCTTGATATAGGACAAACCACTGTTGACTTCCCAATACTTGGTGGTCGGTATTTATCGACCCAGAGAGGTATTGGGCTAACTCAACCCCTGACCGAGATTTGAACTTCGCACCCTTCCAATTGTGAGTCAATCGTTTCGACCACAGAGCCCACCGAGATGAACGTCTTCAGTGTCCGATGAACCTACTGTACGTTCAGCCACAGTAATCATGGAAGTAATCGGCTTCTCAGATTACATTACAGATATACCTACCGCATGTTTGCATTAATTACATTGCTCAATTAGACACCGATTTATTTTCACATGTAACTCTCCCATCACTGCCCACGTGTGCATATTCACACCTGCACTTGTGTACGTGCATCATTGCGTAAGCAGTTCTGCTCTTTTTTATGGTGTGGCTTTTTTGGGGAGGGATGTGCGTGAGGTTGGTACATTTACAGGAAACCACATGCACGGCACGTTGCATGAAAACCCTGCTGAAATTGAATAATTATTCTTTAATCATGGAATCGGAAGCTGTATTTAAACTGGAGGAATGCGATGAGCTATGAAGCTATTTTTCACAGATGTCCAGTATGGGCGGGTCAGCAAGTTAGAACTCTCATTCAACCAAACAAATTAGGTGTTTCCAGACACACATTGACACTGGCACTCGTGTGTGTGCAGCATAAAGACGTTATGAAAGTTACGGTAATACAGCTTAGAGGTGGGAGTGCAAATAATTAAAACAACTCGTATTAGTGGTGTTGTTATAACTTGACCATCATGTTGGCACAAGCAAGCACTTGATGCACAGTGGGAGAGCATTAAAGGGGAAACGCCATCTGTTTTATTTTGAGTCCACAGCACCTCGTTCTCTGATCACCACGCATCGATTCATTCCAATTTGTATTTTTTTTTTTTTACGATTCAATTCATTAGTGATAATTTTTTAAATTACGTCTAAATCTAAAAAAAAAGGAGGGTGAGGGGCAACGACGGTGGAAGTCATCCTTCACCGAAATTAATATTCCGCCTGCAGAGTAATGATTGGCTCACGTTCTCGGAAATGTTTTGTCCTTTACAAACGTACAATGTTAATAACAAGATCCTGCACGGAGACCAGGGGCCCCTACTAAGGCTGGCAACTGCGCACGGGCTGGTGCGACCAGCAACCGCACAGCTGATATTTAGACACTGCGTTGGATGCTACTTTTTAAGTCTTTGGCAACCTGGTAGACGTCCATGATCCACTCGAATAGCACTTGCGACCCTTATACACGGCCGGGAATCGGACGCAGGTCGCCAGGATTGTAGTGCAGTTAACCACCACACCACCACCACCACCACCAATTGTCACATCTACGCATATATAGATAGTATGTATATATGTATGTATACTTGTATATGTACACCCAAGTGTAGACTACATATATATACCTAAATGCTCACGTGTGTTACATTATATGCATATGTTGTGTTGTAGCTATACACAAAAAAAGAGCTATAATCAAATACTGTACGAATTTAAAGCGCAACGTTTCCTCTTGGTCTTGCGAGTGATGATGTGGTTTTGTAATCACTGAACTTAACCCTCTGTTATACTCTTCCGTGCAAAACTGCCCACGTGCCCAAGGCGTTAATTACTCGCACATCGTGCTCATTGTGAATGATGCATTGACGGAACCACCAGGATGGCGAGAGCCGTGGTCGTATAACCCTTGCATGCAGTGCTTCATTTATGACTGTGGTGACCAGATGCGGAATGCTTTTCCAGGTCGCACTACCGCAGCATTTGTACCAAAAGTTCAGCGGCGATGATGCTTCAACTGAGACGATACTAAATGCGTGTAAATGTATACATGTATATATGTGCGTGTGTTTATACGTGTATCTATGTTCGAGTATGCACAGTACATTGTTTTTTGTATATATACTTGCATATAACTATTACTCGGGCCTAATACATTGCACAGAATGGACCCCCCCTTTGCCCAGCATCCCACGAGACACCAAAGTGGATACACTGTACTTTAATTACCCCCCCCCCCCCCCCCCCAAAAAAAAATGATAACACATCCCACCAATATTCAGTTGTGCAGTCAAACAAAGAGCACAATTTCTGCGCAAGTCGTTTCGCCTCCTCTCGCCGCGTGTCGATGTAACCGCATTTCACACGCCGTCCCTCTCTCGCTGCTTTTAAACGATTCAACGCCACCTTCATCGCGGTCACAGAACTATTATTTCATGACACCCCTGCCTCCACACCACCACAAAACAAATGCCAATCATAACGCGATACGCAAGTCACCATACATATTTAACTTTTTCGAAAATCAAAATAGATTATGATTAATACGCTTTTTGATATAAAATATCTTGGAGGGGGGGGGGGGGGATCAGGGGTCTTTGTTGTGTGCCTTTTTGTTGTTGCAAGAATTTGTTTTATTTTTGAGTCGCAGCTCTTTAAGTGGCTCCCTGATCGTTTTCTGTTGGCTTGCTTGTGAAATCGATGGTTTCGAAGGCTGATGTGTTGTCGGCGATGCCTATAGAACAATTCCTTACAGCATAGAATATTCATGGTAAAGAGTGTGGTTATGATTGGAATGTTTTGACTTTTTTTGCATGATCTTCGAGACTACTCTAAAAATCACGAGCTGCTTGTTATCACACTGTAATATATAAGGGCTATAAAACAATTACACTTAACTGATGCTTAAGGTATTTGAGGCATTGTGGCGATAAATTCCTTGCGCACAAAATTTGGTGCTTTAAAAACATTTGGGAAAACAACTCTGTATTTAGTGCTTGCTGTCTTGAATAGTTTTAGGCCTAAATGAGGTTGTGTAAGCATACACATGTGAGCTGCATACGTGCCACAAAACAATAGTGGAAGTACTATCACGTCTTGATGTATTGTATATTTAGAATGTCTTCAGGTTACAGGGTGCCCTATACATAAAAAAACTGCTTATCTTTTACGGAGCGTAGTGTTGGTATACGCACGTGTACGCTTATGTGTATGCATGTGTTTGTGCGCTTGCGTGCGTGCGTGCGTTAATCCGTGCATGTGCATGCATGCGTTCTTGCGTGCGTGTGTGTGCGGTTGTGGGCTAAGGGTTGCCGCGACGTTAGCGCCGTGTCGGGTTAAGGAGGCCGAGTGCGTCCCCCCAATTGATGAAGGTTTAAATACTCCGTCATTACGAGTCATCGTAGAGACAAGCCAATTATTTTACTCTTTAAAAAGCCGGGTCACACGGCCAGCGCCAGAATTTGAGGCTGAGACATTGTGTACTCTTTTCTCCAGCGCCTTTGCTCTGGCCCGCTTTTTCATGTTTATGCTCAGAAAGCTCGAATTGATGGAATTTGGGACGCGAAGTTATAATTCAAATTGAGCAAATAATTACATTTAGCGAAGGCATGCCTAGGAAACCATTTCTACTGCAATTGCTATTCTACACTGTTCAATCGTGATATGATTCATCAATGCAAAAAGGGATTATTTATGTTGAAGCTAGTATATATGAAATTGCTATGAATAGCTTTTAAGGCAGTGGTAGATTTGGCAAAACAAGACTGCCCACAGAGGCTATATATTTTTTGCAATGTTTATTTTTCAAGCGTGTGGGTTTTTTTTAGTTGTATTGTTTAGGTCGCCATGCTACTATGTTATACAGTGGTTTCTTGACTCTCCGCAAATGCATGCGGCCAACATTTTTAAAGCATTGCTGAATGTACTATTGGGACGCTAACTTCTTATAGAACTGGATTCTCAGAGCTTGCCATTGGTGTCTTGTGATCATCCAAAATGTGTGTTTTTGCTTTTAAATAACGATAACAGTGATCAAATCAATCAAGACAATTCAGAATATGTGTTTATACTGGAGGAATCCGATGAGCCTATATGGCTCTTTTTCACAGTTGTCAATTAGGGTCTCCGTGGTCCAAATAACACTTGGTAGTGCTCGTATCCATTGGCGCCGGTGCTGCGAGTGGTTGAATTTCCACATCGTGTTGAGGACCGGTCTCTGCATGAAACAATCATTGGTGAGTTATAGCAAAGTGGTACTTCATCGTCCCCAGATGGATAAGTGGCTGAATTTACATAAAATCATGATTTGAGCTTACATAAAATCATGATTTGAGCTTACATCATTGAGAATCGTGTTCTCTAATAATAAACTACACTAACTGCATTAATGTATATGTATGTGCCACTTATGAGCAATATTGCAAGTATTTGTTCACGCCGGTTTAGCTTAAAACTCTAGAGGGAGGTTGCATGAGGGAGCAATTTGTATCCCTTGTTTCTCAATTTAATACTTGCAGTCACTGTAAAATATGTGCTTTTAGAGAGGATAATGATCTACTGTTTTATAGATGTCACAGGACATATAATATCCACTGAAAAGCACACTACACATTGCTGTTGCCCATGTTTCTGTAAAAAAAACGCATCAGTTGTCCAATGAATTTTAAAGCTCCACACCGTTACAATAGTACCGCCCAATGACAATTGAATGTAATAGTTACTAACAAAATAATTGTGAGCAAGTAGTTTCAAATATTAATTGATACTATCATGCAATCAGCTGAGAATCCAGGTCTGTATAGTTTTGTGTTCATTGTGAAGGCAAAACAAAGTTGCTCTGCACTGGATAAAAACATATGCACAATTTTGTTTTAAATGTTTTGAAAGTAGTTCTTCTTGATATAATATTCTACATCTATAATCAAAAGTGGATTATTTAACTTCATCAATGACTCTGTATGTAACGAATCAGCGAACACCTTAACAAATCCTAAGCAAAGTGCAGCATCCAATAAAACTAAAACTCTTATTGACTGCTAATATGTACAGAGATATATTATAACGTAGCCAGCTTTATTCAGATATCTGTCAGTTTGTAGTTATATTTTCTCTCCCTTTTTATTTAAAAACTAATTAATTTTATCTTGTAGATTCTCGCCGAGGGGTTTTTAAATGCTGTTGTGTTCGATAGGCTAGATGAAGCAGACCTCATTTGCACTACTGAAGGCCTTGGCATGCGTTGTGTCCTATTGATAAGCGTGTCTGTGTCGTGAACTCATGTAAGTGGAATGCAGGTCTATCATAACGAAAAAAATTTAATTAAAAAAATAAGCAAATGTTCTGTAAGTATAAAAAATATATACCGCCTTACAAGTATGATTCCTTGCATAAAAGGAGGAAACGCAAGTGTAACTAAGTTAAAACACTGTACATATTTTGAAACGTGTATAAACAAAAAGGGGATGAGCTGTCATTGTTTTTTTTTCTCTCTGTAAAATCTGTAATGTGAAAATACAAAAGAATAAAAACTTATTTCAATTCATTTCAGTCTTTCCCCGTGGCTTTTCTAACCAAAGAGGGCGAACTGCTCTTGAGTATTATTCAACGACTGGGTATGCCGCAAGCTCAAAGGTGACACTCGGAAAACACTTGAAATTTCATACAAAGTACGCTTCGTTGCATGCAGTGCAACGTCGCATATCGCAAATCCGTCCAGCTGACCAATGTGCCCGCCCTCACCGAGTGCCCCATTATTTGTGCGTGGTTATCTTGCATAGATTATATTATCCCACTCTCTCCAGTAGCTCTGTGATATCCACTTCTGTGTCGGTTCTCTCCCATGAATGGTCGTAACTGCTCTTGCTGGAGACTCAAATAAATTCTCAATCTCGTGAAATGGTTCTGATAATGCAATCACCAGTATAAAAACAAAATATGGGGGGGTGGGAGTTGTAAATATATAAATATTTATTTTTTTAAAGACCCAAGAACATGGTGGGTGTCCTGGACAATGGAATGTGCTGCAGTGGCAGACGATGAGGGCGCTCACGTTCGTTTTTATCCAGACACTGGAAAATGGGACCGGAGCAATGGACAAGCTGTGTTTCCTGTGGTGGAAAAAAAAAGTTTGTTTTCCCCATGTGTTCTGTCGTTACTTTTTTTTTAACTCGCGCGATGTGTGTGGACTATGTTTGGTAACTTGTTTATTTCGGTGTTTCCTGTGGTGGGGAAAAAAAGTTTGTTTTCCCCATGTGTTCTGTCGTTACTTTTTTTTTTTTAACACGTGCGGATGTGTGTAGGCGATGTTTGGTAACGTGTTTATTCCAAATCAACGGGGACTCATGTGAACGTTAACCTTTATGGTTATCTCCTTTCCAAATACCCATAATACCTTTCTTTCTTCAAGGCCTCTAAGGCTAACGTTTGAGCATAGGAAGATAACATCTCGCCACCGTGACGTAGTGTTCTCATCCTACATGGTTGCTCCGGGTTATTCCTTTCAGCGGGTGCTACTTTTCATTTTCGGTCTTGGACCCCTGCAAGATGACTCTCTTTAAAATACCCCCGCCCCCCTCTGGACTTCGCACGTGAAGGGCTCACAAGTGACGTCGTCACATCCACTCCTATGTTTAAGGAACGAAACAGGAGGATTTCTCCACAAATTACTGGCGAAACGTCGCACTCAGATTGTAAATGTTGTGGATTTGCTCTCCCAACACCGGTGTGCTGTACTAGTATCGAATTGGCATGTTCTACTTACGTGACCAACTTTACTAATTGTCTGTGTCGGGTGGTGGCGGGGTTAACGACACATTAATATTTACGCGATCTAACCCAAAACAACCTGTATTATGGATGATATTGGTCGTAAAAGCCTACATGTTAAACTTAAATAAACCAAATTTTGATTTAAAGCTTTCGTGACTGCAGGGATTCATATTCTTGGTTCTTTCGGTAAAGTCACGTAGAAGGGAAACAATAAAATAATAATTTTAATAAACCACTTTATTTTATACGTATTAGATTACACACACAGATTTGCACCCGACATCATTACATTTCAGAAGATAAGCAGGCGTTAGCCTGCACTGTGAAGTAGAATGGAATGAGACCACAGTTCTCGCTTTTTAATTTCAGGAAAATAGGATTTTACCGAAAAAGGTCAAGAGATTTCAAATATATCGAACGCTAGATGCTGACTGCAGGGCTGCATCATGGTCCCATGCGGCCCCTGGGCACATGTCTTTTAGAGGACACCCCCCCCCCCCCCTCCTTGCAAAATCATCCACTAGATAGTCAAAATCGAGCTGTCTAACAAGGTCTGACTATTGGCATAAGTGACAATGAGCTTTGTGTTTGGCACATGCTATTCTGCAGCTCATTTATTATTCTGCCTAAAAGGGAAAATGCCCGCTCACCCTGGCAGTTTGTCACTGGCAAATTTAGAAAAATCCGAAGTGCCAAGAAAACATTGGGGAACACTGACTGCAGATTAAGTGCCTGCAACGTCTCAAGCAATATACTTGAACACTTCTCAACCTCAGAGTCAGACATGATAGACTTGAATGGGATTTAGTTCGTTCGCAAAGTTCATATTCAGGTCTGATGGATATGCAGCGGAGAGTGCATTTACCTTTTCCACCATGACATGACTGTTAGACACCTAATCTGGCATAAACAGAACCCCAAAGAGACTTGTCAAATGCTTGTAAGCGTCTAAGCGATGTTCAAGGCATGCCACTAGCTTATCAATGACCAAATAAAATGTTTCTATTTTGAACTTCTCCATCCCCTCAAGTGTCACACCTGGCTCTGCGCTCTCATCTGCAAATGTTTTGCGTTTCCTCTTTCGCTGAAGATCGTGCTTGTATGACTGAGAGGCACATTTAAGGCTGCCCTTTAAAAAGCCTCAAACTGGTCTCGCTGTCCCGCCACAAAATCCCTCAACGAAGACAAAAGCTGTGCTGCTACAGAGATGTCAATGTCACTTTTCTGTAGGTGCATGCTTATAGCGTGGAACCGGTCAAGTATGACGTCCCAGAAATTTGCCATGAACACCATCTCTAAGGTGTCCAATTTAGCACATAATCCAGCGGCCTCAATTTGAGTATCTATTTTCTCATTATCATCATTGCACACCACCGAAGGCCTCTCTAATGTGGGTGTAATTTCTCAACAGTGCCTTGGTTGACTGCCCAGCGCTCCACCGAGTCCTGGACAACGATTTTAATGTCAGTCTGACGTCTGTCTTCTGAAAGACTTTCCCCCATCTGTGTGTGGATGAAGAGCAAAATATGTACAGTGACTGCAACATGTTAAAAAACTACTGCCGTCTAAGGTGATAACACCAACTAAGTTAAGTGAATGCGCTTCGCAAGGCACACACTTATCAAAGGGTTTTTTTTTCTGTTTTAGGTGGGACTGAAACATGTTGCTTACATTGTCATAAGACTGACCTCTACAGTTTCAGAGGTCCAACCCAAGGCACTCCACCATCAAAGTCACACAGTCTGCTAAACTTTTATCAGTGTGGCTCGTAATTGGCTCAAAGCCCAGGAATCGCTCCACCACCTTCCCGCTGCTGTTAACAAACCGGAATATGAACGTCAATTGGTCCACATGTGACAGGTCTGAGGTGGAGTCAACAATTATTGAAAAATATTTGACATCCCGAATCTCATCTGCTATTCATCTTCTTGGTTCTTTCGGTAAAGTCACGTAGCATTGAAATAAAATAATAAAAATAAAACATAATAAAATAAAAATTCTCACGACATCGTGAATTTACCGAAAGAACCAAGAAGATGAATCCCTGCAGTCACGAAAGCTTTAAATCGAAATTAATCTGCTATTGTTTGGCGAGTTTTCTGACCCATTAGCTCAATGAGTTATTCACACATTGTCGATGCCAAATAGGACACTGTGCCTCTTCCTTCTCCGCCAAACTTTTTTTAATATGTTCAGTGAAGAATGGGTCAAATTGTGATAGCAATTCTAGGATGCCAAGGAAATTGCCGTTATGGGTTGACCCAAACCATTCATCATCTCCCCTAAACGCAAGTCCTCTTTCAACCAAGAACTTGATCACTGCTACAACTCTTTTCAAAATGTCCCTCCAGTATTTACGTTCCCCCATCAAGTTGCTGCATGAAATCTGCTTCATTAGCAATGCCCCTTTGTCCGCTGGTGCAAGGCAAGCATGCATGATCTGTGTTATGCACTCTTTTCGTGTTCCCCTATTCTTTCAGTGCTTGCAAAACAGTACACACAACCTGTTGAGGGTGAGTACAGTAGCCACCGTCTAGAAACCTACCCATTTGGTAATTTTCAGTTCAGAAGTTCATTGTTGAAACTTCTCGTCTTTTCACCAAGCGCTCTATCTCGGACTGAAGCTGGGCATTTTTCACTCCGGTTTTGGAAGTGGACTGCTCCTCTTTCAATAAGCACTGACTTAACAATGTCGCTGGAAATGCTTTGCCATAATGCAGGGTCAGTGACCTCACAGCACCAGGAATGGCTTGGTTGCTGATTTGATTCTTGTGAACTGCCCAACTGCTCCTGAGGTGGAAATGATGGTTCTTGTATACCATTAGCTGTTGAGAGTTCGCCTTCAAAGAATGGCTCTGGGGGAGTGACAACATTACTGGAAACTGAACTAGGGTTAGTTCCTTCCTCACAGCTGACAATAGTGCTGCTGTCATCATTATTATCAGAGGGTTTTTGAAAGAAGTTGGCAATTAGTGGAACACTTTGAAGCAAAACTGCCTCTCTTGCCTCCTTTTTTGTCTTTCTGTTTGGGAAGCACCACTATTCCAACGTTTGTGGTCCATATTTCAGAACGAGTATGCTATTTATATCAATCCTTATCAAATAATAATTGAATTAATATATTAAAAATGACAACACCCTTCATATACTGTTGTTGGAAAATAAAATCGAGTGGTAGTATTTTATAGCCTACTTGTACCTAAAGGCAGCTTTGAGTAGATAAAAGAAAAAAAATAGAAAAGTACATAAAATAAAATACCCATAACCCTTTAAAAAGGCTGTAAGAAGAAAGCCATTAGGAGGGATTGTTGAAATAGCCTTTAAAAAGGCTGTTGTTTTAGAAAAAGATGAAAATAGTCTGAATATTTTGTTGTGGCGTACCAAGCAAGGAAACAGGCATCTGTCTGTGTCTTTTCTTACAAAGAAATGTCTTATATACCTGCCTGACAGAGAGAATTATGTTGCTTGAAATTCAAAAGATAACTTTTTTTTCCTGGGCTGAACAACCTAGAAAGGTTTCTGATAAGTCAGTGAAATTACTTGGTGGACACTATGCACATAGGCCACACCCCATCGATGGGGAGGGGCCACACCCTATAGGCCACACCCCATCGATGGGGAGGGGAAAAAAGACCACGTAAGAGCTCTTGACAATTTGCATGTCAACGTTAGCATTATCTACTTCCGTAGATTTAAAAACAGACGGTCTATGGAAAAATTTTTATGGGGTTTTCCTTAATCTTTAAGTCTAGATTGGGTCTCATATATGCGTTA